GTCGCCAACGCTTTGGTCGCCGGCGCACCCCGGCAAGCTTGGAAGCTTGGAAAAGCGGCTCGTCAGGGGCCAAGGCCTGCGGCCAGGCCAGACCAAGCAGGTCGGGCAGGGGCCTGCCATACAGTACTAGCCCACTGCCGTTAGCACAGCTCGCGCTTGACAGAATTTGGCGCTTGTGTGGTTGTGGTCGATGTGGTGGTGGATGTGGTCCTTATCTCCTGGGCTTTGCCCCGTCTGGGATGACAGCTCCAAAAGTCATAGGCCCCTGACTGGAGGATGCTACCGGATGTGGGTTAGTGAGCCAACTGGTTCTCCCCACCCATGTGCTCTATTTGCAGACGAGCTGGAGATAAAAATGGCTGATGTGGGATGAGTTGGTGGCCGCATACCGTGCACCGCGCCGCAATCCTACGGTGCTCCAACTCTGTCCGCCAACGCTGCCTAGCTGGCGCTGTAATAGGGCAATTTGGGTCCTATTTTCAGGCAGGCACCTCGAGGCTGGAGGCTGAGAAACCTGGAGAGACAACATGAGACCCGATGATCGGCGAGGGCGCGATTTTTGGAGGCTCTTGAGGCGTGGCTGACGGGTAGTTGGTAGTCTGGGTGGCAGTGGCAGTGGCAACAGCAATGGAAGCTGTATCACTCACACACACACACACACTCACACACTACACTGCTTCTGCTGTGCGATGGATGAAACACGTCCTGTGCATCCTTTGCCCCAACACGGCCCCAACAATAGTTCCCACTCTCCCAAGCTGGCTCGAAGCATGTTTACTGGGGAGTGGCATGTTGAAATTGTGTCGGGGCTTGGTTGGTTTGTGAACACGCGGGGACTTCGAGACTGGGGGGGACTGGGGAATGGGGAAAATGGACAAGCGAGAGGCGACAGCGCAGCAGTTTGAGTGGGTGCGATGAGCTGTCTCCCGATGCAAGAGACGAAGCTGCTGTGAGACGACACGACGCCTGCAGGTGAGGCACGTTCGTTCTCTTTGTCTTGTGGGCTCAGGCCGTCGTGATGTCGAGAGGCACAACTTTCGATTCTGGGCCCTGGGCCCTAAGCAGAAGGATGCTTGGGTGGCAGGCATCTTTTGGAAGGAATTGGCGAATGGCGAAGAATCCGGGGATCGGAATGAGCAGTTGATTGGGGGAGAGAGATTGGCAGATTGGGAGACGGTCCCAGCTGTTAGCAGCGACAGGAGCCACACGGCAGCACGGCCAGGACGGTCTGTGGGGCGGTCTCAGCCTGGCAGAATCTGGTGAGACACAGCCAACGCGGCAACTCGAGCACTCGGGAACGGCCTAACAGGAGGACGAAGGAGCAGGGGCCCAAGGAGCTGGACGCAAGGACCAACCGATTGATTGATTGAAAAAAAAAAAAAAAAGAGAGACCACAGCGACGTCATTGCGAGATTGGCTGGCTCGCGTAAACCCAAATCCAAGCTAGACTTTTCGCGACGATGAGCTGAAATAGATCGTGAGGGAGGCTTCAATAAGTAAATGAGAGACTCGAGTGAGGTCAGACTGGTCCTGTGCCAACCCTGTGTTGGCCTGGGCTTTCTCTCCCTGTGGACTCGCTCGCTCGCTCAGTCACCGCAGAGACGGAAAAGATGGATTCGTCCCGAGGTGGTGGAGAGAGATAGACAAGATGGACTGACTAACTACCTACCCTGGATGGACAGATACGCACGCACGCACACACGCACGCACATACGGAGCTTCTCCATCAACAAAGGACATGGCCAGCATACTGTGCATCAATGGTCCAGAGCGGTCAGCAAAAGGGAAGGGGAAAAAAACCATGCTCTCGACCGACCGTCTATTCTACTGGATAACCACACCACCACGCAAGCTTAATCCAACTCAACCCCAAGCTTATACTGTAAACGGCCCAAGTCAAGGTCCAACTCAGTCCATTCAGTCATCAGTCAAGCTCGCCTCAACATACCAACAAATAGGGATCTTGAGTCGTTTCCCATCTGCAGGGTGGGTCAAACTGGAGCCTCGGCCGGCTGGCGTGTGGGTAACCCGCCCCAGGAGAGGAAGTGCCCGTCGTGCCCGTCTCCAGAAAAAGTAGTCTTGACAGCGACGGCCCCCGTCGAGATCATCGCCCGTCCCGAGGAGCGCCTTGCGGATGGAGAAAAGGAGAGCTTGATAGAGTTTTCGCTTGAAGGGAAAAAAAAAACTCGACTGCATCACCATCCATGGGTTAATCTATGTAACATAGTAACCTCGTCCATCGACTGACTGCTCAACACGACTATCTACCTCATCATCACGGACGTAGGCAAGCTGTGCAGAAGCAGAAGTTACAGCCGAGCAGAGTGCAGATGTAGAGTCAGTCCAGTCGGGAAGGAGCATCAAGGAGCAGCAGCAGCAGCAGCAGCATCAGCATCATTCATCAGTAGGAAGGAGGGAAGGAGTGTCGTTAGAGAGGCTCACTCCCTCCATCCTTCCTCCCTCCCTCCCTCAACCGACTCGAATGCACGATCGTAACGACTGTAACGACTGCAGGACATAATTGAGCGAGCATAGCGAGATATCTCATCTCATATTCAATCTGGGTACCGAGTTAATCTGCTTGTGGTCGTACCATAGCTAAGATGCATCACACCGTCTACCCCCCGTACCCCTTCTCCCCCCCAGCGGCCGCAGGTTCTGTAAGAGACTAATGAGAAACTCGAGGACAGTGCAGCACAGTGCCGACTCGACTGCTGAATTTTCACTTTCAGTTCCTCTCTCTCTCTTCCTTTCCCCAAATGTGCCACAGACCATGTCGACTGTTCTCTTGCTGCCTCTCTGTGCCTCTGTGCCCCCTGTCGCACCTGGCCAAGCTCCCCTGTTCCCTGTTCGTCCTTTCTCTCTCTTTTTTCCTCTCCTCTCTCTCTCCACACACTCCTCCCTCCTCCAGATGCCCTCCGCCTTCTTCTCCTCGCCCTCTCCAGTTGCTTCCCTGCACCCAAGTTCAAGTCCCAGTTTTATTTTCTGTGGACTGCAGAGTACTGTACATACCGTACCACGCAGGTATCCAAAACCTTGTCGCTGCTTTTCCCTGCTGCTGCTTCTTCCTCCTCATCTGCAGCCAGCCAGCAGCTTCCCCAAAGCATCGAGCACCAAGCACCAAGCACCAAGCACAGCACAGGCCCTGGACTGCCCAGAAACATGAGAAATCCAAGCCCAGTCCCATATCAAGTGCTACTGTACCGTACCGGCCGCAGTTACAGCTACCGTGTCCCATGCACCCTGGCACCATCCATCCATCCATCCATCCATCCTTGTACTGTACGCAGTCCGTGTACCCATGTACCCATGTATTCCCGTACCCATGTACCCATCCCATGTACTGTACTGTGGTACCCATCCCGTGAAACCCGCCGCACCACCAAATATCTGTAGCCTCTCCTCCTTCTCCTTCTCCTTCTCATCCTCACCATCTTGGATTTTGTTTCCAATTCTTCCCTATTCCTCCTCCTCCTCCTCCCTCATCCCACCGTCTGCCAGTCACGACCTGTTTTCCTTTTGCCTCTCTTCCTCCACCCCCCAGCGTGATTCTGGCATTTCGTGCATTTTCGACACGGCATTCGGCATTCCAACATAATCGGTGAGTGAATTTGTTGTTGCAATTGCACCATTATCTCTGTGATTACCGTGCGTTCGGTCGGCATGGCCTGGGCCCGGCCTGTTCTCTGGTGCGATGCTATGCCATGCTCTGCTAGGTCGCCTTTTTCCTGCTTGGTGGTGGGCGAACTGGGCAAGTTTTTTTTGTTGGCGGCGACTTGTTCCCTCCCCACGCTACTAGACGCTACCTACGCTACCACCACCGCAAACACCGGCCTGCATTGCCTGCCTATGCCTACCTATCTATCTCTCTCTCCCCCTTCCACACACCCTCCCCCTCCTACTCCCACTGCCACTGCCACACCACCTTTACACCCTACACACCCTCCACTCCCGTCCCGCGCCAGCATTCCTGCCCATTCAAAACCAGGCCGCTTCCGCACCCACCCACGCACTCCAAGCACCTCTTATTACCGTTCCAGCCCACAGCATCTCTTTGGCTCCCATTCCTCGTCTACCACTACACAGAGTTGCCCGACCGGCAAACACAAGCAGATGCAAACGGCTGCTTCTCACCCGGTCCCGAATTATTTATTTGTGTCTTATGTCGCTGGTTGTCTGTTGTATCAACCATCGTGACTAACCACGACGGAAGAAAACCAGCCTCTCCGACCTGGTCCATCGATCTGGTCGCGACCCGTTTCTCAGCTTCGCCTACATCACGACCGCTTCGGGAACAGACGATAAAGAGAAAAGTCCTCCACCCTGATATAGGAGGGAAAGAGCAGAGGATACCCGCCAGGAATCCCTCATTGCCAGCACCGCCTTGCAATCGTCGACGTCGCTCTCCTTCTCTGAGCTCGTCACTGCTCCGCCTCCACCAAGTGTCACTCGCGACCTTGTACCCTCTCGCCACAAAGACTCGAACTCTCGTCAACCGGCGATCGAGACGAGTTTGGCCCACAATTCAACGGTTCTCCTCCTCGCACGTCACCTGCTTACCGCCACTTCCGGAAGGTTGCACAGTTGCTGGAATATTGCCTGTGCATCTTTCTCACCTGGCCCGCTCTTTCCGAGACAGTCTGCTTACTGCTTGGTGAGTGAACCTTCCTGTCTACAGCTTCCAACTAAATATCACCTGGATTCTGCCTCGAGCCCTCGACTATGCGTGCACCAGCCCACGCAGACCCTCTAGCACGAGATGTGGAGCAAAACCCGCTCGCTTGAGTGCCTTGGGTGGTACCCGACCTTCTACCGCCCACACTGTCCTGGATTACAGTCTCTTAATAAATATGTTGGCTAACCAGTTCTTTCCTGCTTAGATCCGCTTTGCTGCGTTGATCGGCTGTAAGATCGAAGCATTCTCCTCCCTCATGCTTCGACTGTCAGACCCTCCAAACTATTCTACCAGAAATTTCCCATACAACAGCCCAGCCGCTGGGATGCCTTACACGCCCCCTAGCAAGTCTCCTGCCTCATCAGCTCCCACATCACCAGACACCAGCCGACGCCCCTCCCTGCAGGCATCACCTGGTGGTTCTCGTCCGGTCCTCCCTCGGTCGGCCTCATATTTGACCAAGCACCGAAGGACACCATCGGCGGTGGGAGCTAGCCATGGCCCAATAAATCAGCCTTCACCCGAGGCCACCGTGGCCGACCTTAAGGGCATGCTTAACCACAGCGTCAGGCAGTCGCCGCCTCCCGTCACTGACGGCCAGACAATGCCCAATGGCGCCGTCATCTCGCCGCCCGAGTCATCAGCATCCAGTGACGACGACGACCTTCCTCAGCTCCGTGGTCGGCGCATCGAGAACCTCAAGAAGCTGCATGACGCCATCAGCCAGATACCACAACACCGTGAGGGCTCGCCCAGCAAAGCAACTGACACCGTCGATTCTGGAGATCTACTCGTTCTTCCATCACAAACTGAGAAACTTACCGAAGGGGTTCACCACAGCTTTAGCGCAAGCTCGTTGGACGACCTCGCTCACGCACGGAGAACCTCACATAACAGGTCTATGACAATGCCAGATGTGGGCATGTCCAAGTCCGCTGAGGCTTCAATAACAAATTCCGAAGAGGAAGAAGAAGATGAGCTTCTCCCAAGACCTCAAATGCTGCGGAAGAAGTCTGGCGAGCTTGTGCGTCCAGCCCTGCGCCCTGCTTCCCGACGACGGCCCTCCAGTATGCCCGGCACGCCCACATTTTCCAAGGCTGTTCACTTTGACTCCCACCTTGAACACGTCCGCCACTTCCTCCAAGTTGATCGCCCTCTCGCTGTCAGTGCAGGCTCCTCACCGGTAGACAACTATGACAGTGACACCGAGTATCCTTTTGGTGCCGATGAGAAGCAAGGTACGCGGTCACCTCCATTCGAATGGGAAATGGTGATCCACAACTTCCCCACCGAGACACTTGCACGGAAATCACAGGCCGTACGCCTGGAGCGCGTTTGGCTTTCCAACGATCACAAATTCTTGATCGGATCTGTGGTCGTAGCCAACCTCGCCTTCCAGAAGTCGGTCACCTGTCGATTCACTCTGGACTACTGGAAGACCACATCTGAGGTCAATGCTGAGTACGCCTCCGAGGTCACACCGAGGGTCACCGAGCAAGGCCACGACAGGTTCAACTTCAGCATCAAGCTGGCTGACCTGGCAAACTTGGAGTCGAAGACCTTGTTCTTCGCCATCAAGTTCTCTGCCAACGGCCAAGAACACTGGGATAACAACAACGGTCCCAATTTCCAAGTCGACTTCCGCAAGAAGATGCTTCCCCAGAACGGCAAGAAGGGGGCTATTGGTGCTTCCAACAGACCCGCACACTCCCTCCCCAGGAGTAACCGCAGGTCAAATCCATCTGCGGCACCACGGCCCAAGTCCATGCCTGTTGGCTTCGATGACTTTGGTGACAGCCCCAAAGTCAACTTCGACCAGTCGATTCATGAATACCTCGGCGAGGCTGGCCCTGGCCCTGTGCTGCGGCTGAAGAGCTCAAAGTCCACGACCAGCATCCCGAGCGACAACTTGTCCAATCGGCTCTCGGCTCCGAGTGGTCAGGCATTTTCCAACAGATACGATTTTGGCGCGTCTCTCACAGCTGCGATGCAGGCGGCCAAAGATTCCATGGTCAAGCCCGACGGTTTGCAAATGAAGTCGCAGCGCAAGACCCCACCTTTGGCGACGGCCAACATGGGAAAGCCGCTCTCCAAGGACCAACAACCCACTGCGACGAACAAGAATTTGGCTTCTGCAAAGAGTACACTGCCGCCTGTTCCTGGCACCGGCTCTCCTGGGGCAACGAGCATTGCGTCTTCATCTTACGAGGAAATCGTCAACAAATACTGCTTTGTACGTACACATGGATGATGTCTTGCTCTCGGGCTCCCTCAACAACCCCAGGCACCGGACCGCCACCAGCAACAATATCAGTACTAACATGTTTGTATGTAGTTTGGATCAAAGCAGTCAAGTCCCCAACTGAGGGACGGTACACTGGGAGGCGGGAAGTTCGACGGGACCGATGATGCGCTGGCGCGCGGGCTGAACAGCAATGGTTCCAGCAGCAACGGGAGCCCTCTTACTTTTGGCTCGCAGCAGCGCGGACGTGGACCCCAACAACGACAATGGGCAACTTCAGACCCCAACCCGTACTTTCAACACTCGGCCGTGCTTCCTCCTGTTGGGGCATCTCCTAATGTTTCACCCCTTGGCAACACAATGGTCCGGGCCAACAGCCCCTCCAACGGGCCGCCACGATCCTCGCCTTCGGTGATGGGCCAGTCCACCGGACGAACGGCTTCGCCGGCGTCCATGGTAGGTGGGTTTCAACCCTTCACCGGTACGTCGCCAGATGAGTTTGCGAGTTACATGCACGATCGATTTCCATTCTTCGGTCCCGACGCTCATTCTGCGACAGCTATTAGGGGCAACTAGCAGTTGAACATCATGGCGGATCCACATATACACCCGCGCGACTGCCGCCTGAGAGTCTTGTCACTCAGCGCGTGTTGATTGGTTGCTTGTCGCTACTGGCCAACATTTGTCAATACGCATGCACCACTTTTTGGGTCATAACGGAGCACGACAATGCCGACACATGCACGCATCGGCTCTATACCGAATCACCTCTTTTCACTGCTCGTTTTTTTTTCAGCATCTTCTCGGGTTTTCTGGCGTTCAGGACTTCGCAGCGAGCGAACACTATCATGGCATGAATGAATGAGGCCCCAAGCATACGAAGGACGGGGCGTCAAAATTGATTTTGAAAGGGAAAAGGGATAATACTGGAGGGGTTCCTGGTCGGAGTGCAAAGGTTCCACAAAAAACGGAGTTTTGGGGTTCATCATACCTAGGGTTGCTTTGAGTTTCTTTGCTTTCTTCCTCATTGTCTCGTTCTACTCTCTCGATCGCTTACTCTGCATCTGGGCCCATCCAGCTTTGATAGCGTGTCAGTTGGTTCTTGTGGACTGGGTTTTGACGGGGCCGGAAGGAGGCATCATCTGTATAGCCAGCAAGCATTGTGTGTCACCGCTTCAGGTATATGGTTGGCTGGGTTGGAGCTTTGTTCATTTTTTGGGAAGGCAGAAGCAGTCGGTGTGTGGATCTGCAGAATTAATGCACATTGACTCTTCCCTTCCAAATTCTTACTCACCTCAGTGTGTCCTTTTCACTTACTCTTTTCTCATTACTGCTGCATCAGCGGACCTCCGCAGGTGGCTCTGGGTGGTTGCGTCGGATATCTAACATCCCCACTTACTTTTGAGGAGAGGAGCCTCCCACAATAGGAGGGCTTCTTCTCTTTCTGCTGGTTGTGTGCGCTAGGGTTGGCTGTATGAGGACTTTCAGAGAACAGACACGATGGAAAGATGATGGGAACTCAGGACATGATAGACTTTTGGTGGATGCGGGAGTTCTTCCTCGAAAAAAAATTCGCGCGATCTCTCGCCAAAAAATATGATTGGGGCTGACGGGATGAGAAGAAAGGAACGGAAGGGAAGGGCTCCGGGACGCTCAGAATGGTTCATGGGAATATCGACTGCTGGAGCTTGTTGTCTTTTGTCGGGCACACTGACCGCAAGCAAGGGCAGCTAGCCAGCCAGCGGCTTTTGGGATTTTGGGAATGGATTTGATCGAATGCACTGGGATAGAATCGGGTCTGGTTTTGGTCCGGGTCTGGGCACGGGGGAAAAAGCTATAGGGAAATGTACTGTCATCAGATCGAATCGAGAAATTTGAAAAATTCAATCTACGTACGAGCTTGATTGAGTGATGTGTGCTGTGCTTCTTGTGATTTGACTCGTCTGCTGTATGTTGTTGTTCCTGTGGCTGCGTGTGAGTCTATCCGTGTGCTCCCCCGCCCACGACTTAGGACCAGCACGTATGTTTATTCGTTTGGCAGGGCTTAACCCCGTCATTGGCTGTATCGATTGCTTGATTATCGCTGGCAGATACCTGTGGTAGCGGTACCGTCAGCCCGAGAACGAAACGTACTTCTGGCTGTAGAAGGGTCGCAAAGGCTTCCCTGATCTGGATTTCCTCTGTGCTACTGAGTCCGCAATACCATGGTCTGATTATTGCTTTTGGTGCCGGGTCCATCGTAGAAACTCCCAACCGGATTGTTGGCGGAACATTATCTAGTGGTTGAAACGGAGGAGGGATTATGCCTCTGGCTATCGACAACTCAACGAAACACGCCACCAAATAAAACGGCATGAGATATTAATGGGATTCACCTTACTCCGGGAAAACAAGCCATCTGATTGCATTCTTTTCCAAGTTACTATGCAAATACGGCGCTGATCAGTAGATTTGGGATGATGATAATACATCGATGGCGGTTTCCTGGGATCCATATTGGCTACACGGAGAAAACACAGGAGCAACGAAGTTTTGGAGCACGCACACGGAGGGCACCCGAATTCCGAATGGGGGCAATCACGACATGCGGGAAATGGGTTGCGAGAGCTGTCAATGCTAACCTGGGGCCACGATATTGCAAGTTATTTGCATAAATCCCTGGTAAAAGATGAAGTTGGTAATAGGACTTCCACAAGGTCTTTCTTTGTTGTAAGTAGGACGTGAAGAGACCTGCTGACTCGCATCCTCGCTAAAAGGCAGCGGTTCCCAGGGTATGTTCCCGCATGTTGAGACGCGTTCATTGTAGATCTGCCAAGTTCGAGAACTCGCCAGGGCCAGTTACAGCGATGTATCAAGTGGCCAGAGCATCGGCATTTGAGAAGCTCCCTATGTTCTGTACCATGTCATCGACTCATTTCTGTCCCAGGCCGCGTGCATGGTTGCTGGGTATGTAGGCAAACTTAGTACACAATACATAGACTGGCTGTCTAGAAAGGAATCAGGACTTGAGGAGAGATAGACGGGAATGGCCAGATTAAAATGGATTCTGGCGCAAGATGGAGAGTGTTTTGGGAGTTCTAGTCTCTCGATATCCGTTTTCGGTATATGTCATATCTCTTCTCTGATTCTAACTCTAGGGTTCTCTATATCGAATCCAACCTATCCCTTAACGGGTGGGCATGTGCATACAGATAAGCATCCAGTGGTAGTGAAACGTCACGAAGGGACGCAGGAGGTGTAATGGATCACGCTTTGGCATTTTGAGGAACACTATGGCTTGCTCCAATATTTCAGCGTCGTGGATGTGCGCTTTCCCGAGGTGTGAGCTGGCTGTTTTGTTTTTATTAGGGGCATAAAGTACAAGGAAGTCAGCGATTTCTTGAAGAACGTCATCGCATCGAGTTTTTGGGCCTGAGAGGACTCGTCCAGTCTCAATGAGTGAATAAACACCAAAACTAGTATTACCATTACAGCCAAGCATTATTGGGTAAATTGTCAATAAACAGAAAAGAAAATAACTCGCGTGCATTTGACGTTTGACTAAAAAGTGAGTACATGTCCAAAACCCCCTAAGCCCGCCCACAACCGCGCAGGAGCCTCAGCCCAGATCCAACAATCATGTCCTGCTATGCTTGCTGCCCCGCCGGGGCGCATCGCTCCAGATGGTCGTCATCGACATGGCCGCGCTGCCGGCCCCGTCGTCCCCGCCGTCCCCGGGCCCTCCTCCCCTGGCCGCCCCCGCGAGGTTGTTGAACCGCGAGATCGGCACCCTGCTGCTGCTGCTGTCGTGCGACGCGTCCCTCGAGAAGGCGCCCCCGCCCGCCCGCGTCCTCGACCGGCTCCGGCTGCGCCCGCGGCTGAGGTCCGCCGAGTGCGAGTGGGTCAGCGGCCGCGAGGAGGGCCCGTGGTCTACCGACCGGCTCGCCGGCCGGGAGAAGCTGTGGTGGTGGTGCGAGATGGTGGTCGTCGGCGTGGTGGTGGTGGCGGCGCTCTCGTGGCGCGTGTGGATCCGCGGGCTGGGCAGGTTCTCGGTCCTGGACGGGCTGCGGATGCTCGAGTAGATTGGTGTCCTGGGGGAGTATGGGCCGTTGTCCGGCGTGGAGGTGGCGTAGCCGTCTCTGATCTCCGGCGGTGTCGGGAGCTTGCTGAGCGCCATGCCGATCTGGCTGCGGCGGGGGAACCGTGGGTCCTCCTCTGCGAAATCGTCGGGCTCGTCTGGGATGGTTGACAGAAGCGCTGTTGGCTCGAGCTTGCGGATAGATAGGTTTGAGTCCTGATGTGAGAGAGTTCGTGGCGAATTGACGTAGGTGTTGGCTGTGCTTGGTGGTGGGAGGATTGTCGAAGATGCCCGGAGGGTGCTGCTATAGTCTGATGAGGGCACTTGCGCCGCATTCCTGCACGTGAACATATCGTCGTCGTCGCGGCCGCCCTTGCGGAGGAATTTGGGCACGAAGGTTCTGTACATCTTCTTCTGGAAGGTCTTGGTGGTGCCGAAAACTACGAAGGCGAGTAGGCTGGGTGACACCCCTGATAGATAGCCCCTTACGCTGGAAAGCGCCCGCTTGTGGGAGAGGTCGGGCTCGGGCTTGTATGCGCTCTCTACGACGTGCCCTTTCGCTGAAAGTCTGGGCCCGATGTTGGTGTACTCAAAGACGCTAGGCTGTGGTCAGTTTTACCGGATGTCCTTGGGAAAATCTAGGAGCCAAGCCGTAGGTCTGGAGAAGAGACCTACCAAAGCATCACGAACGCTATTGAGAGACGGATGACAAGCCAATTGTCAAATGAGCCGTTTGTCCGTCTGGTCCTGTTTGAGTTGGCTCTGCTACGCAAGCTTCTCAATCCCGACGTCGCAGTTGATGTTCCTCCCTTTCCATACTGAACTCCGTCCCAAGATTTCAGCTGCCGCCGAGTCTGCATGTATTTAAAGAGAATCATGAGCAGAAAGACGCATGCCCCTACTAGACTGATGACGACTGTTTGCATAATTGTCAGTAATACCACTCCCTCCTTTCTTGTCAAATAAAAAGAGGCACCTACATTGCGCATTTGCCACGGCCATATATACCATGAAGCTTCTATGCGTGAACTCAAGCTGGAGCAGTACGATCGATATCACTGCTAGGGTGATTGGGACAATTCGACCCGTAATCGATAGTATACGTAGGGTCTTCGGCTTCTTTGCCCACCAGCCATAGACGGTTGCCGTCAAAGAAAAGGAACTTGCGAATTGGTCAGGAGATATATTCATATGAGTCTACTGCGCAGAAATCAAAGTATACTCACAAGAAGAAAACGAGTGTTGATTCCACAATGAATGCGAAAATGCCTGTTCGTATGAGTGTGTTAGTTTGAAGAGAGTCCTCACAGCGTTGAGCACTGTATGATGCCATGGATATCCCGAGTACATGTCCACGCATCTAATGACGGATATTGTGGAGGCAAGCAAGATCTCTTGAGAGGCGACAGGCTGAAGAGTACGCACGGATGTATGAGAGGACCAGCTTGAGGCCGAATATGCCCTTCTGGTACTGAACCTCGGCATCGTCGGCGTGGTCCTTGCCATAGAAGTACTGTTCAACCATGAGGTCCCTCCAGAAGATGTAATCGTAGAGTTGTTGAATGATACTGGAATAGGTGGCGATTAGTGTGAAGTATGCGATGAAGGCGATGTATGTCTTCCTCTCATTGTGCGTCCAGATTAGCCAGACCAGAAGGCTGTTGGCAATCAGGCATAGGAAGGAGTAGATGAGACATCCGATAGCATCGCCCAGGACGCTGCCGGGAAGCTGAAAGGCTCCCATTCCACGATGTCATCCGGTGGTGGCCGTACCATAGTGCACCGGAGGACCCAAGGTCCCGCGAGTTAAGAAAGAGTGCAGTAGGTAGTAGGTAGGGTAGGACGGAGAAGAATAACGAGATCAGATCGGACTTGGAGAGACGGAAGGGATGATGGTCTGGCAGGGCGGCGGCCTGGTGGTGTAAGACATGACAATGGAAGTGGGCCATGGGGGCGCCCGATGCCGTCTCGGACCCCTTGGCCGGATGCGAGGTAGAAAAGGCGTGGTCCCATTTCGGCGCAGTTCCTGCATTTGCAGAGCGTAGGATCCATGACTCGATGGGGTGGGAGTGGGCCCCACGTGCGTTGGTGATCCCGGCGCAGACTGACAGTTTCGGGTTGAAGACGCGATGCACGATGCTGTACCAGGTGTGCCACACGAATCAGCAGGGCGGAAAGTGTCGCGTGGAGAGCACCGGGACCTTGCGAGCCTGCCCAGCCCGGCCTCTTTTTTTCGAGCCCTTGATGCTGGCCCTGGGAGCCGCAGTGACGAGGATGAGCGCCTCTTGGGGCTGTTTCCTGCAGATGGGGATCTGTCTGAAACACAGCTGCCAACATCCAAGATGCCAAACACGATACAAATAGTAACACATGGCACTATATCAACACAGATAGCATCTCAAGTAAAGCCCAGGTTTTTGTGCCCGGCATAACCTTATAGTGCGAGGTCTCCACCTAGTATATTCATCTTCGTACGCAACTCGAAATAGCATCGCCACCGGTCGTATCATGATTGCAGGCCAGGTCTGGACGTGATAATGCGGCCATGGAGCCAAACAGAGACTGAGGTTTTGCATGTGGCCATAAGCGACATGTGCGCAGGTGGGTCAGGCGTGCTGCAAGCAGGCGGTTGAATCGTGCTGCGGACGGTATCTACGGAGTGCCGTGGAAATAGCGAGGGTGGAATATCCGAGCATCCATTACCGGGTCAGGTCATGACTGTTGACCGATGAACCGGGAACAACATATGCCCTGTCTCCTTTCGGCCTGCAGGTAAGTCCCGCAGTGACCTGTCATTTTATTCGAAAGTCAGTTCAATGTGACTGTATTGCGTTTGTGGAGGAGGCTATTCAAGATCACATCACTAACATCACAATCGGGGGGAGGATACGGCAGTCGATCAAGGAGGGTCGATGGACAGTGGGCGACGATCAAGTGGTACGTGACGGTGATCGTTTGGTTGGATTTGGATTAGCCTTCTGGATCTCGAAAAGGGCCCTGACTTCAATTGAGGGTCCCGGCTCATCCGTCGGCCGAGATACGCAGATACGGCACCGGAATGCGACTCTGCTGCGTGCGTGCACAGTAAGTAGTGTAGGATCTGGTAGGCTAGACCAGGACCAGCACCAGTACCCACGATGATTTGCGTTGGGACGGTTCATCTGAATTTGAGGTTAAAACTTGCTGAGTCAGCAGAGACGCGTCTTGACATTGGCAGACAGACACAGACTCTGCAGCACATATCCAAACCCAGCCAGCTTCACGCGAACGTTCCACCTCCTCATTGAAATTGAGTTCTACCCCATCTCATCCACCGCTTTTGTCACAACGTGATACCTTTTCTGTCTGGCCAGATGCACAGACAAACAGACACGTCATTTGACTGACACGAAGGTCTTTGACATTGCGGGATCATTATCCGGGCGGGGATAGTGGGAGTGGTGGATCGGAAAGGGGGGGCGATTTTGCGGGTGTGTGAGGGTGGGTTGGGTGACAGGACAGGACAGGACAGCACAGGACAGCACAGGCAAGGGGATCGAGCACACATGCAGACAAACAGACAGACGGCTTCCGATTCGATCCAACACCGCCATCTGATTCTCATCAGGGCTGGATCCTGGTTGGCATTGGATCGCATTCGAATTCGGGATTTGGCGCCACGGTAGGCCCAGTCCCACGGTGATCTGTGTGATCAAACCTGTGTGATCGAATCTGTGCTCATTCACCAGATCGCCAACCTCCCTGCCCTCCCCACCAGCAATTCACACTCACAGCAGGCCTTGGCATGCCAGAGTGAACCATGCCAATGCCAATGCCACTCCAGGTTACATACATCCTCCCTCGGGCCTCTCACGCTGCCAGCCTCATCGCACAGGGCTTCTTCGCCAGCTTCGTTTTCGGCATTCTTCTTCTCCTGGCCGCCGCGGGCTACCGGCTTTTCTTCCACCCCCTGTCTCGCATTCCAGGACCTCGACTCGCTGCCATCACCAACTGCTGGCTCGCCTATCATGTTCGAAACGGCCATATGCTGCAGCTGGGCAAGACGCTGCACACCAAGTATGGCCCGGCTGTTCGGATCGGGCCGAACGAGGTCTGGTTTAACACCAAGGATGCCTTCAGGTTGATCTACAGTAAGCCACATGCCATGCCTCGCACCTCTCAGGCACAACATTCTTATCCTTCGTCCCCTGCACCCGGGGACTCAGTTGAACTGGCATAAGCTCAGCCTCGACCAGGTCCAACAAATGGCTATGAAAAGTCATCCTTTTACCGTACGTGATACCACCCCGGATCGGCCTCCTCTGCCTCCCCGGCGCCGGGTCAGGGGCTTGAGCTTCTGATATCTAACACCGGCACTTGCTGCAGTAGCCACGGAGCTACTCAAGCCCAGGCTTGACGCACGCCTGCGCATCCAGTCGCCCGATACGCTCGACCTCCTCGCCGAGCGGGACATGAAGCGTTACCGCCTGCAGAGGCGCCTGATTGGGCCCATCTATCACACGAACAACGTCAAGCGCTACGAGGCCGCGGTCGATACCGTTCTGCTCCGGGTCATTGATCAGCTGCGGGCGCTGGACGGGTCCGAGGTCGACCTCAAGGAGTGGATGCACATCATCACCGTCGAGTGTCTTGGCGCTGTTAGCCTGTCGTGGTCGCCCGGCTACCTGGCCGACAAATCGGATGGCGCCTCTGGCAAGCACGCATACATGGGCTGGAGGCGCAAGAGCGTCTTTGGCCTCTTCCCCCTCGCTGTCATCCTCGAGCCGTTGTCCAAACACTTTGGCCGGGCCTTCTCTGTCCTGTGGGGAGTGACCTACCATACGCCCAAGGAAGGGTTCAAACCTTTCTTCCCTGTGAGTTGAATGAATTTCACATATCTGTGCCCTGCTGACACCGCAGACAAGGCCGTACAGAAGAAGATCACCCAGCGGGTCCGAGCAGTCCTGCGCGGCAAGTCCAAGAGGGACAACCGCAGGGACATCATGGCCGACCTGATCCAGCTACACCAGGACCGGCCCGACGAGTTCAAGGAGCAGTACCTGCGGCGCATGGCCATAACCAACTTCGGCGCCGGGCACGAGACCATGACGTCGACGCTCATCTCGACGTTCGCCATGCTCGGCGCCCACCCCGAGGCCCAGCACCGCGTCGCACAGGAGGTGCCCCCTTGCGCGGGCCCTCTTGCCTACGACGACGCCGTGCGGCTCCAGCTCACGCAGGCGAGCATCAGGGAGGCGCAGCGTCTCCACCCGGTCATCGGCATGGCGCTGCCGCGGAGGGTGCCGAGGACCGGCATGGCCGTCCACGGGCTGTGCATCCCGCGTGGCACCACCGTCGGCTGCAACCCGGTGTCGCTGCACCGCAGCGCGGATATCTTCGGGCGCGACGCTGAGGTTTTCAGGCCGGAGCGCTGGCTCGGTGGCGGCAACGGAGGCGGCGGTGATGATGATAGCACCAGGGCTATGGAGCGGTATAACCTCATCTGGGGTGGGGGTGCGCGGACGTGCCCTGGCAGGCACCTCGCTGAGATGCTGGTCTCCAAGATTGTGCCGGCGCTGGTTGCGAACTTTGAGGTCGAGGTCACTATGCCGCCGGAGGATGAGATGCCGTATTACTTCATGGCCATGCTCACTGGTGTTAGGGCCCGGTTCGTCCCCAAGAAGGTGGCATCGCAGGAGTCTGAGGTGATCGAGTGAGCCTATGCGTTTTGAGGGTCAGAATAGGGACAGAGATGCGATCCCTTACCTCGGCCACTGGAACTTGCAAGAACCTCAGGATGGAAGACGAATGCCCCAGAGCACCACGCCCTCTTAAGAACTGTTATTGGGTATTTCACGACTATACGTGCACCAGACATACTATATGATACCCAAGGATGCAGGACCTGCACGCTATATCGATAACGGCACTGTAGACCTCTGGAGAATCCAGGAGAATTCAATCAAGACAAGATGAGTGATTATGAAGGTTGCCCATCCAGAAAATCCAAAACTATGGAATTGATTTTGTGATCGCTAGCAAGATAGACTATAGAACTCAGATCGACTCACGGTAGGAACGCCTTGCGATGAAGCCGTCGCGGACGTCCTCCTTGTGCGCGTCGTCTAGCAAACCGATCAACGGGCCTTCGCACTATCAGAGATCTGCGTCCACCAGCCGATCCCCCGAGCCGCACTGGCAATACTTCGGCCCTCTGGTCTGTTTCATGTATGACTCGAGGCCGTAAGCTGGGGTAGTTGAAGCATTGAGGTAGGCCGTCGGGAGCGCACGCGTAATGGGTGGGATCCCTTGGAATGCATCATTGATCTTCAAGAGACCATCCAGGTACTCAATCGCTGGAAAGGACAGACACACACGTGTAGACAGGGTTATCACAACGTGGGAGTCGATCTCTGGCTGGTGGCTTGGAGCTAGTCTACTATGTAATTGATTGATTGATCTTCCCGAGGAATGACATTCTTGGGGTACGTACTTTTCCCTACAGGCGCCTAGGTGCTGGCTGTTGGCAGGGTGGACAGGGTAGCACGCGACCAGCTAGGCCCAAACCGTCTGGGAGGCTAGAGGCTACAGGGCTTATCTTATCGTGACATCACATGGGAAGCTGAAGCTCCGCCTGCGCCTGTGCCTGTGCTGCGCTGCGCTGCAGTGGGTGACTTCTACCCATTGTTCTCATGCAGCCTCACCCTTTCTCTCCCTCCTTTCTTCAACCCTTCAACAACCACCACCAGCATCAACAAAGATGTGACCAGACTGCTGGCTAGTGCAGTCCACGCAGCAGTTGTCATTACTAATTATCCTTCTCAGGGGTCGGTAGCCAGTGGATGTTCAACCATCCAACCCGCTTAGTTTAGATTGATCGCATTGCTGCAATGGCAATGAGCTCAGCCTCCTCGTCGCCTGCCAACTCCCGACATGGCTCCTCATTGCACGCCGCCGGTCCAGACGACCAGCCTGACCAACACAACCAAGATGCCGCCTCCTCCGCATCTGTCCCCGTCGAGGTCCTCGTCGAGTACCTTCTCGCCGCCAAGCGCTCCCTCTCCTCAATGACCCTCGTCCTGCACGCCAACGACCTGACCACCCACGCCCGCCAGCTGCACGAGGAGTCTGTCATCCTCCGCGCCCAGACCGCCTTCCTCAACAAAGGCATCACAGAGCAGAGGAGGCTACTCAATAGGGTCCGGCGCAGCATGATAAGGACATACGATGCCGGCAAGAAGGACTTCAAGCACATCATCAAGACCCTCGACGTCGCAAACGGCAAGCTGGAGACCACCATGGACATGCTGAGGAAAACAACCGTCGATCCAGTCTTCCGGCCCGAGGGCGAAGAGCCCAAGAACTTGTTGGACTTCGTCGACGAAAACCAGGTCCACGGCATGCGCGAGGCTCTCAAGGCTAGCATCGCCGAATTGCAGGTATGCACTCGATTGGACTGACCCTGGTCGTTTGCGCCATTCCTGTCTTCTATGCAGCCTTACTGACTGTTAGTTTGTGTCACAGGCCACGCAGACTTCCTTCGACGGCGACCTCTTCCGTTTCGACAATGACCTCCGCGCCATCGCCAAGATCCTCAACTCGTCCGCCTCACCCACTTCGTCCAAGTCGCCTGCTGACTCGACCAGCCAACATCCCCCAATTCCTCCAATATTCGACCTCCTAGCCACCCTGACAGACCACTCCCACACGATGGCCGAACACCTCTCCTCCCTCACACACCACTTCGACATGTGCGTCACCGCAGTGCGCATCACAGAAGGCGGCACCGCCCTCGCACGACGAAAGGCCGCCGAGGACAGTGGCGGTGCCGACGCGGTATCAATATCAGGCGTCATCGCCGAGCAGGAATCAAACGTCACAGACCTCGACCCCGAGGAAAAGGCCGAAATAGTGCAGGTGGTGATGCAGGACGCCCCCGAGGTCGATGAGGTCGTCGCCGACCTGAACGCAGAGATGCAGCAGATGGATGTGGAATTCGCCCAGCTTAAGGACCAGGCGGACCAGGTCAGGTCGGGTTATGCGGCCGTCACGCAGGCCTTCCAGGTCCTGGAGGACATCGGGTCACGGCTTACGGGCTACATCGCGGCCGAGGCCGAGTTCGCGGAGCGGTGGGAGGCCGAGAAGCAGGGCATCGCGGCGCGGCTGGGGGAGATGGAGACGCTGCGGGACTTCTACGAGGGCTACGCCAGCGCGTACGACAGCCTGATCCTCGAGGTGGAGCGGCGGCGCGCGGTCGAGGAGAAGATCCGCGCCGTGTGGCGCAAGGCCAAGGAGCAGGTCGACAAGCTGGTCGAGTCGGACTGGCGCGACCGCGAGGCCTTCCGCTCAGAGGTCGGCGAGTACGTGCCCACCGACCTGTGGGTCGGCATGAGCGGGCCGCTGCGGCGGTGGGAGGTCGTCCGGGCCGGGGAGCGGGATGAGGGAGGCGGGGGAGAAAGAGACACGCCTGGCGGTGATGAAGGCGCCGCCGCCGAGAGCATGCCCAGGCAGGAGGACGGCAGTGCTGTGACGTTGAGCCGCGAGGTGGTCGATGCTGCGAGGGAGAGGATCAGAACTGGAATGTCCGGGGGGCCATGAGTGAAGTGAGTAAGTGCGAGAACAAGTGGCGTGAGTGGTGATATCTGTTTCCGTCTAAGTGAAGCTGCATATCATTTTGGTGTACCCCGTTTGTTTTGTTTTCGTTTCTTTGGCGTTTGAGCGGATGAGCCAAAGGGTGGGATTCTGGGTTTTTTTTTTTCATACCCTTTCACCACCCAACAAGATTTATGGGTCCTGGTGGGCGTGGCGTTCATATTGAATTTGTTTTCGGTACTCGGCAGAGATAGAAATTATGGAAGACCACTTCACTCCAATAGTCCTGCTGACTTGTTCCTGACTCCATTGTCTTCGTGAAGCGTGTCTTCCTTGCGTCCTCATTGTGTATCACGCAGCCGTGGGCCTGCCCATGTGAACTAACCTCCCGGCCACCTTCACGTGTGTTTCTGGCGTACATACTTTTTGTGTGAGAAAACTTGACAGTCAAGGCTTGATTTCAAGTAGGGTTACTTGCGAAGCCACAGGGAGCCCGGAGGACGCATTTTTCAGCCACCAGTTTAGCTGAGATGGAGCTGGAACTGGTTGGGGCCAGACTAGTGGGAGTCAAGGGAATAAAATAAAAGTTGTAAGCCGGAAACTCACAACATCAAGAAGATGTTCCCCCGCCTATGTGCTGACTAGACGCTCGAAAAGAGCGCGAGGGCTGCAAGACTGACTGGGAGAAAGTGCAAGCAAGGGGGTAAGGTACTGGTTTAGTCTGAGACCCAGTCGAAATAATTCAAAATTTGGAGGAGTTTGGTACTTATTCGCAGGCATCACGCTACCAATGATGATTTAGTAGGACCAGAAGGTCTCAATTTGAATCTTTTTTTTTGTGGAAGGTGTTGTACACCCAACGCGTGTTGGCAATTCGAATTCTATAATCGAGCAAAACAAAAGATAATTATTTCGACAATGATGATGCCATATATTTTACAAAGGCGCATGGTATCCAACAAAGTGGACTCCAGAGCCCAAAGCCACGTCGCAGATGCTCACCTGCAAGCTCATGACGAGCTACCCGGATGTGGGAATCAAGGGCCTCCGTTTCTTTATTACTCCCAGCCGCCAGTACACCTGTGCCGGCTCCAGCTCAGACTCTCGCTTGATTCTTTGAATGACGGCACAGGCGAAGAGAAAGCAATCCTCCAACTGCTTCGCCTCACTTGTCTACGCCGCCGCCTGACTAGTGCCTGCTGCAGCTTGGGCCGCCGGCGCAGGCAGCACAGGCGCTCCGCCACGGAGGTGTGGCCCGGGGAAGGCATCGCACTGGCAGTTGATCCCCATGTTCCCGAAGTAAGCGTCGCCGTAGTCGAATGTGAGCTGCTCGTCTGCGGAAATGTCCCTCAGCGCGTGGAACGTGATCGCCCGCCGGTTCCCGTACATGCCGTCGTCGCCCCTGACATTTGGGTCACACGAGTGATTAATGTATCGCGTCCAGTTCCCGTAGTCTCTCGCGGCTGGTGGGAAATCCATGTTAGCCAAGTCTGTTATCTGGGGTGAATGAATGCGTCTTTATGGAGATGTCCCAGTGGGCCTTTCGCTGAAATGGCGCTCCACCAGTGATTTCCACCTGGACGGCCCAAGACCAAGAATGGATATGTATATGTCGAGAAACTCACTAATGATACATATATTATCGAGAGTGAATTGGTAGGCATCCGTGTTGTCTTGAGGTGCATTGAGCGGAAGGAGCTCCCCTAAGTATTCGCCAAGCAATGTGTCTTGCTCAATGTCTATCTTCGCGAAGATGCCCTTGCCCACTGCAGTATCTAGAGTTAGCCCTGGAAGGAATTGAGGCCTGAAGCCCAATATTTGAAAAAATGCGCATGGGGCAGGACAGCATGTGTCCATAGGATGCCTCGGAGCCTCCAGCCTGGCGGTAGGCCTGCGAGACACGCGGCGAAACAGACCACGGAGGGCAGACGTCTCTCAGTAACGATTCAATTCATATTCGGAAGCAGCTTACTAAGACCGGCTCCCCTGATCTCAACCATGTCTCTCTGAACTCTGTCTGCATGGGCTTGGAAATCGTCCCTGCATTCATCATCGCCGCACTGGGCAAATGACACCCTGCGTTTTTTACCTTTACCGCCACAATACTGGCAGGTCATGTTTCTGGTACCGTGGTTTTCAAGAATACCCCTGGCTGTCCTATTTAAACCAGGCCACTGACGGGGATCAACTGTCAGCCTCCGGAGCCTTTTCTCATAGCTAGGCAAGTGAAAATGGGAAGACAATGGAGCTTTGGTTGGGGATGGGGGTGGCATGTGATCCGTATGCTACACTTACTTTGGCATTGTTGAGACGATGCCGTGTAATCATCCATGGACCTGGATTTATTTCTTCCATCACCCCATTTGCGTTTCTCCATTGGAAACGGGGCGTCAAAGGGTTATGTAGAGTTATCATAGCTACAAATCTAATAATATTATATTGGCAATCTAGGCTTGTTCAACAAATAACGGTGCCCAAAAGAATCATACTGAATTTGATAGCATTTTGAGAAGCTGGAAGACTTATACCGCCCTCATATATGATCATGGTGTTTTCTTTGACCGTCTGGAAGGCCGTTGTGGTATTCTTGCGTCCTGTTTTCCTGGTTGGGAGGATAAGGGAGCCCAAGTACAAGAATGCCACTATGGCTTCTCGAGCCGTGCCGTCATTTCAAAAGGATAAAGGAGCTCGTCAACAGTAGCTCCACCGTGTTGGGCAGCATGAGCCCCCGTGAATGGAAGAAGACGGGCGGCAGGCCGAGTGAAAGGAAGAGCCGGAAAGAGACCATAGTAGAGGAGCGGAGAAGCAGATTTAGAAATGCTACTCGGCTTCAAATCTATCTGGATATGCTTGAAAAAAAATAGCTGATATTGTTCGCAATACTTTCAAGGCTCTCTTGGTGAAATTGGGCGTCGTGGAGGAAGCCAAGGTAAGCCGTGGCCCCTGCATGTGCCAAAGCAACCTGGAACATTACAAGCTGCCAGGACACTTAAGAAATACAACAGCGAACGTTGCTCATAGTGGATCGTTTGTAGGCTCCCGGAGGCATTCTAATATTCTGAGTATTAATTCATTCGGAAATGACATCGGGAAGACTTTCACACATATAGATAAGCCAAATCCTGCACGACCATCTGACTCAATGCGGTCACCATCTCCTTCGTCTTTGGATTATAGACAAATCAAAAGAAAGAGAAATGAAAGCGGGCGAGTTCACGTCTGGCGAGGGTACTACTTTGCCGGGTAGTGAAGGGATCGGTAAGACCTGCTACATGTACTGTTGAAGATGAAGTCTAGTATGTGTACTACTCTATGATATGTAATAAAGCTTTGCCTACCGCGGACAGCCCCAGAAATATCCCCCGCTGTTTGCTTTTCCCTCAACACCCTCGCCAGTGATCATGACGACCTGTGATGCCATGACTGTCGCTATTCGTATAGTCTGGACTGAACGTGGCAAGTTTTGAATTCACACCACGTCTTCTTTTGTATCTTGTCCTTTCCAAACTATCCATCCAATACTGATGACAAACTTGATGGCAAAGACAAGCCATAATACAGGCTGCACTTGCTTCGTGGCCTTCAGCATCCACCCCCCAATTATGCTCCCAACCAGGGTTAACACAAACCCACCAATCCTGTTGTTCCTCTTGCGATTGCCAGTCAGCACAGGCCTCGTCAGAAGCTTTGGGTCGGACATGAGGTCGCACATCAGGCTGGTGATGACGACGGTGGGGATCTCGTTGACGCCGAGCACGCGACTGGCCACGATCTGGCCGGCGGCCTGGAAGCTGAGGAGGGCAATGGGGGCCATTTCACGCCAGTCGGTGTGCTGGCTCTCCTCCTGGCGCTGGTTGACGGCGCCGGCCTCGGCCAGCGCCGCCGCGATGCACACGCACGCGGCCTGGATGAAGAAGCCCAGGGACAGCACCCCGCGCTGTGTGGGCTGGGGCACCAGGTACTTGTGCATCCGACTAAAGAAAACGGCGCCGATGGCGAAGCAGCCTATCGAGCACAGTGAGCGTGCCCAGTCGTAGGGTTTGATGTTTTGGTCGGAGGCACCGAGGGCAAGGAAGATTGTGTTGCCTGTCTGCATGGAGACGAAGGTGCCATATGCTACAAGTATTATGACGTTAAAAAGAATTGATCAAATAATTCTCAAACTTGGGCATGCGTGTCGAATCAGTACGAGGAACTCCTCACCTTGGAACATGGTTGTGTCCAGTAGGCCGGTGATGAAGCAGCAAGCCAGGAGAGGGATGTTGGTGAGGCTGAGGTCGATAGTGCCATTCCATCGCCGTCTCACGGCAGGCCCAAGACCCGAGTCGAATTGAGACTCGAGGTGTCCAGTCTCGTTGACCTCTTGTTTGTTGGGCATTTTTCTTTTGAAAATGATGAATTCGTACTCGTGCACAGTCGAGGGATTGAGCCTCGGGAGAGAATGATACTGGGGATGTTGAGATATCAGAGATTGTCCTTTCTATCGGTGTTTCTCCGGGGTATACTTCAATAATTTCGCAAAGCACGGAGACCGTAGGCCTATGACCGATTCTCGGGTCCTTGGCACATTCCAGGCGGATAATGTCGTCGACGCTAGACACGTAGTTGCGGCAGCCACACACTTGGCTTGCTGACCAGACAGATGCAAGAAGGGCAAAAAAGGACCTGGTTGATGGCGTTCCTCGGCAAGATGTGACACAATTTGGATTATCACTGCGGCAAAAGCGATTCAGGTCGCTTAACCAAAGATCGGCCTCTGAGGATTAGATATTCCGTCCTCTCGATGCCGTCTCGACTGCTCTATCTCCACCGTGAAGGTGACATGTCACGTACTCAGACGCGCCAAGGGGCCTTCATGGACCTTGCGCCAGGCCGCTGCTATCTTGGCCGTAGACGCCGAGGATTTGCGAGAGCGGGTCGACAGAATGAGGTCGGGCTAAACAGATGTGGAGCCTGGCAAGAGTGGAAATGATGGTGTAAATCCATGGTGCCAAGGCAAACTCGTGGGGGAGGACAAAGAACGGCTTCCTCCATATCCGCCATGTCGTGACTCAAGATTATGCGACGGCTTCAGACTCGTGGACCAGAAACATCTCTGACAGGCTTGTGAATAATCCGGCCCGAGTGCTTGGGCCTGTAGATGGGTCGCCAGAGACTGCCACTGTCTATGCGAAGATGATGGATCAAGAATGCCGCCTGAGAGCGTCGTAGGCCTCCCCTTTTGACCATCAGCAGCACGTCTGACAAACCCACGTGGGCGCAAAGAAGAAACAAGCAAGCGGTCAAGACTTGGCCCACGGGACGCATCTTCGGAGTCCGGATGAGATCGAGACGGACAGAACCTTCTAGCCCAATGCAGACAGATGATCCCTGGGGATAGTAGATTCGGGAGCTCCCGCTGCCTGCCAACGGGTAGCCAGGAGGACGCCCTTGGCGGTGACGACTTCGCGGTTGACAGTAACGGGTGACGAGCTTGGCTCAACCTTGGCGTGATAACAGCCTCTTGGCCTCCATTAAATCTCGCCGACGTATTCACCGAATCAGGGCCCGAAGGCGGCCACGACCTCCTCTGCCGGGCCAGCACATGTAAGTCAGCACTCTAGTCGTGTACGGATCGGCCTGGTTCGGTGTGATGCTCATGACCAGCCTACGAACCCCGTGCCGTGCTCTGCGGTGGACTCTTCTTCATTTCTTCAAGTGAAATGCAACTGAGTGCAAGTATATGCGAGTGTGCCTGCCCCTGACCCCAGCGACCCCTCGGCCGGCTCGAGGCGGCCCCGAGCAAAGCCCCCCACGCTCTGTGGAGGCATTTTATTCCCTCAGTTACCTCCAGGCCGGCCTGCATATCAGGTACGTATACGTATGCAGCCGCGGCTTACCCTGCTCGGATTCATGCGCAAGCCATCATTGCTTGGATTCTACTTCATCCGGCAGTGCCATTAAGCCCATTCTGCCGAAAATGTAACCTTCAGATCCTCATTGGAGACTGGAATTTCAGCCTCGTCTACATACGCACTTGGCACTTGGCAAACGACGACTTGGCAGTTGTTTTGGCTGCCTTGGATTCGGTCCCATGCATCAAGCAATGGGTATTGGAGCGGTTCGACCCCTGAATCACCGAGGACACGAAGGTCCTTCTCTTTACAGCTGCTCGACGTCGACGATGGCGATGCCAATGGCGATGCCAAGGTACCTAGCTCTCTGCCGTCTGGATAGCCCTCAGTGGAGGCTGCTAAGTATCACCCTCCAATCCTAACTCAATTTTCAAAGATTCTCTTGGAGAGATTGCTGAGTGGCTAGATAGCACCACGATTGATTGCGCACGGCGTTCGAAATTCGTGCTCACATCAGCTGGAAGACAAAATGTGACGTTGCCACATGATCAGCATTAAAACTACAATGTGGCTTGAGGTGCTCTTGAAGCGATCTCTTGTTCCGAAGCTTGGTATCCACTCTGAGTGGATCTCATAGAGTGAGGCTTGGGGCGTTGCGGGAGAATGGAGCGGGAGGAAACCCCAGCCGCCAAGTTCTACAAGACAATGCCGCATGGCGTCAAATGACAGCCACTCTCGGGACCTTGTAGAGGCCGGCCGCTTATATGATTGGCGTGCACGAGTGTAAACGTGTAACGTCGTATAAGTGGCCCCGCGATCCTTGAATGCTCATTACTTTTACTCTTCTGGTGTGGATGCTGATAGAGATTGCCCGCCGCCGCTCAAGACAAGACATGAGCTCCCGAAAGGGCAGTGGAGGACACCTTTCCCGAATCTTTTGAGGCAAACACCGGAGTCGCTGGCTGTCTTTTCAGGTAGTGATGAGACGTCTTGGCTGGAAAATTTGTCATATGCACTCAGACCGCTTCTAATGCTGTATCCATCTTTCACACGGTCTTCGCTCCGCACAAGGCGCATCTCGTGTCATTCTGTGTGACACAAGTACACTTTTCTCGAGTCAACTGCCATCGACTGAGGTGCAGTTCTGAATTTAATCTTGACTATCAGCAGTCCACGAAAGCCACATGATGAGCACATTAGAGTGTTGGAAACACGAGGCCTGGTGCAATGATGCCCTGCGTCGAGCAACTTTGTTCGTTGGCATTAACTTCTCCGGAATTCCTATAGAGATTGTTGGCCTCCCACTGTGTTATTCTACAGTGGGTCTTCATTGTTGCGAATTTGGTGCGGAAAATTACACAATAGCCGTAATACGCGGGTGCAGAATAACTAAATAGACTGCAAAGACTACTCAACTCCACAAGTATTCAGTACATAATTGGGCTATCTTTCCTGCGTTACTCATGGCTCAGGACAAGCACGATGCAAAGCTTGTGTTTATGCTTGTATATGTGACCACAGTTGCAACGTCTGACTGCATTAAACACACCAAGATCCGCCAAGATGCTCAATGGAGCGACGGCTGGCTGGAATGGTCAACCACATTGCATGAGTGACCCACCACAGGCGGGCACGATCTTTGGTCATCCCCGATGTGTGTGTGAGCAAAATTTTGTCCCCTTCACCCATCGGACTTCAACAACAGCATCTTGTATCACACCGAGTCCACACTGACATTGCTGCAACCTCACAGCCCTTGGCGGCGCCTCTCCATCATCAGAACTCTTGGTGACGACGCCGCAATCGCCCGCCGTGGTCTCTCGGACTGCGGCCTCTTCCCACCCACCATCATTATGGCGGCGACGATTTGCAATGTTGTTTGATATCGACCCGATGATCCTCACCACATTGTGACCTGTGGTTGTCTCATCCGCTCTTGGCAGAGATATCGCGAGCCTAGTCTGGAGGCCTACTCCCGATTCCTTGGCTGCCCTCCGTCCGAGGTACGGAAGCCAAAGTTGAGATGCGAGCAAGACGAAGGGGGAAATCAGGAGGCGTCAGAATGTGACCGCTATCGACGGTCATTGAGAGAGCTGTGGCTTCGGACGGGGCGTGGCCAAAAGGTATAAAGCATTGTGTCCGCACCGAGGAAGATGGTTGACGATCGCTTGTTTCTTGCACATCAATCTGACATCCTTCGCAACTCAAACAACATCTAGAAACCCTTCAACGTTGTTCTTTACTCAGTCATGGCTCCTGCTGCTATTGAAGACATCAAGCTTGTCACCAAGCATCTCCCAGGTGACATGTCAGAAACCCCCAGCCCAGATGGACCGCTTTTCGCTGTTCCGTCCTCCAGGTCATCATCCATCTCGACGGCAACTTGGCTGAAACTCAATAGCAACGCGCCTGCGCAATTCAAAGTCGAGAAAATCCCTACGATTTCCCATGAAGAGCCGTTCACAGGAGCCAAGAAGCTTCGACATCTCCTTGAAAATACAGACGAGCTTGTCGTCTGCCCCGGGGTCTATGATGGACTCTCTGCGAGGACGGCTATCGAGCTTGGCTTCAAGTCTATGTATATGGTATGACCTTTGTGTTCTATTTTTCATGAACTCCACGCATCACACCACCTTGACTGGATCTACTTGTGCTCACCTGTGAAAACGCTATAGACTGGAGCTGGCACAACAGCTTCTCGCCTTGGCCAGCCTGACCTTGCCATCGCTCAGCTCGCCGATATGAGAGACAATGCAGACATGATTGCCAATCTTGACCCTTTTGGACCTCCTCTGATCGCTGACATGGACACTGGTTATGGCGGTACGTACAAAGTCCCGAAAATTCACGATCCGAATCACCTACGGTTCAGACTCACAAGCCTTCTTCTCTGCAGGCCCCATCATGGTTGCTCGCACAGTCGAGCATTACATTCGCTCCGGCGTTGCCGGCGCCCACTTGGAAGACCAGATTCTGACCAAGCGCTGCGGCCACCTTTCGGGTAAGAAGGTTGTGCCGCGCGAAGAATACATGACACGAATCCGTGCCGCGGTGGCAGCCAAGCGCCGCCTTAAGTCAGACTTTGTGCTCATCGCTCGCACTGACGCGCTGCAATCGCTCGGCTACGATGAGTGCATCGAGCGCTTGAAGGAAGCGCGCACCGCGGGTGCCGATGTCGGCTTGCTCGAGGGCTTCAAGTCCAAGGAGCAGGCTGCTGCCGCCGTCGCGGAACTCGCGCCCTGGCCGCTGCTGCTCAACTCGGTCGAGAACGGCCACAGCCCTCTCATCACTGTTGAGGAGGCGCGCGAGATGGGCTTCAGGATCATGATCTTTTCCTTTGCTACGCTTGCGCCGGCTTATGCTGCTATCAGGGAGACTTTGCTGAGACTGAAGAACCATGGCGTTGTTGGCACTCCGGATGGAATTACGCCCGTCAAGCTTTTTGAGGTGTGTGGGCTTGGTGATGCCATGCAAGTAGATATTGGAGCCGGAGGCGGTGCTTTTGCCGAAGGAGTTTGATGTCTATGAGCTGGATGAATACAGGCTGTGGCCGGTAACTCCTGATCTTTTAATTTGGGATTTCCTTTTACTTAGGGGCTCAGTATGTTCACGCCCATAGCTTTTCCTGCAGATGGACATGTATGTATCAGACAAACGATCCCCCTCTACTAAATTTCATCCTCTACGTTGGTGTTCCCGCTGTCCAAGCTGACCCTCAATCAATCTGCGGTTTCTTCTGCTACCATTTCAATATTGCGAAACGCCTCAATGAATGATGTTAACCATGTTTTCAAAAGCATGTGAATGAGACTTAATTCTCGACCTGCCTGCGGCCATTACTTGGAGAGCTTGGTACTCAAATTTATTCACTCCAACCTTACTTGATCCTTGTCCTATCCCTGTCTATGAATGATTGCGCTTTTGTCTCCTGGCGATCCCAGGAACACTGCAGAGGCGTGGAACTGTGATTGAGGCGTGAGAAAAACTTTGAAAGGACGGAGAGTTCCGAGTTGATCAATTCGACTGTCAGACTAGCATGATGCAGCATGGCTCCTGGAAGGCTGCTTTGCGTTTTGTGGACCTCCCTCAAATCAGCTGAAGAGCCAGACGATGGAATGTCTGAAGTCCGATGTCGCGACGAATTCGGAGCACATCAGACCGAGGGTCACTATTCCATGAACTAATTGGCCGATGCCTGTCTTGCCCTTCGGAAGAGGTCGCTAGGATAGACTCTTATCGCTGGGGAGTATCACGGTCGAACGGATGCCTCTTAATTTATTGCTGAGTGATCATTGTGCAGGCTTATTGGTATTCAATAAGAACGCAATGCAAGCTTTCCCTGCCAGCCACTCTCATCGGTCCGATGTCTCATCTCGTATCTGCTTTTCCAAACCGTTGCATATATGCCATCATTCTTACAGAAAACCTGCATTCGTCGGGATCTGAAGCAAAGTCTGTCGTCGCTTTCCGGAGATAAGAGTTTTGCGTTGTCCAACTTCTTCGGGGGGATTGAGTACCGAGATGCCGTGGAAGGTAAGACAGCGTGGGCTGACGACCTCGGGAAGCAGGTTATGGCTGCAGAGGGCTGCTGCTCGCGTCCAGGAAGGCCAGGTCATCAATAACACAGCTGATGCTGATGCGCATCAATTTCTGCTTCCAGAAACCTGCAGATGTTCTTTGCAAGGGAATGCTGGTCTCCAGGTATCTTACGAAATCAATGTCCACACTTTCAAGTATATACAAATAATAAGGAAAGATTTGATGGATTTGCTCCCTACAAGAACACTGTTCTATAGCACTTCAAGAATGGTAGTGGGCAGGAATAATCGTGTCTCGCTGGTGGCTGATCCATAGAATATGCCACAGATTGATATAGACAATTTTTCTCTGCGATTTGTACTGTATACGTAATACGCGGAATGTTGTACCTCTAACCGGCCGTATGCAAAGCGCTAGTCAACCCACACAGCTAGCCTTTCAACATGTGTTGTGCGATCGGTTGGCGGCCTGGTTGTACAGCATCGACTCTTGCATGATTTCTCGCTACCATACAATCTCGTGCGTGCCTGCGTGCCGTCAAGACGCCATGGATGGCTGATTAAAACGCTGACAGATCTTGTTCGGAAATAGATTCTCCAAGTCGGTGAATACACTGTGATATTTCGAAACCTGGGCTTGTCGTCAGCTTATGCCACGGGCATGCCAACTCACTAGAGCTCCGTAGTCAGTGTCTTTCAGAGATTGAGTCTGACCAGCGACTGTAAACTGATTCAAGCTATGTCCTTGCGATTGAAAACTTGACAAACTAAACTAAGTAAAGTTTCCTGGAGCGATTGCTTGATGGGTGCCCAAGGCGGCCTTTACCGTAGGAAATCTCGGGAGTTAATCCTCGAGCACCGCGGATCCCATGTGGATGACTGAAGGGATCGTGACCAAGTAAAACTGTGAACTAAGGCTTCCAAAACCGAAAACACCATGTTTGACGAGCTTGGAAGTCCTCGTAATTTGAGGGTTCCCACAATCGTACCAGGTCAGGGGTATTCTGTCTGGCGTACTCACGAAGGCTATCAGAGCCAAGAAGCTGGCTGTCGCTGGTACTGATGGGTCGTGCTCCATACTGACCTGCGCAGCTATATGACCATGACCTCCGGCAGGGGCACACCAGCTTTTAGCTGAAAAAGTTCTTTGTACTGGGTATTGGGATCGTCATGGAGATTGCGAAGGTACGCGTGAAGGCTAACTTGATGTTGCAACTGGATGAAGTCTTCCCTTCCCTTCCCTTCCCTTTCTATGTCCTCCACTTTGGCGTAACTGAGAAGACATGGTACTCAAGAGAGGAAAACGGAACAAATTAGTGGGAACTATAATTAAATAATTTCAGAGTAAAAAGTAGATTATCCATGGCCATTGAAATACGACGCTTGCAGACGTGAGCAATTATCTGTCAAACTAAGCGTCTCTTGACAATGCTTTTGATACCAGTCTGGTCTGCTATGCCAATGATGAACTGATCACTAGCACATTCAACATCTTTGGGTCCAGCACCGACCAGCTCCAGGTCGAGGCGCTGGACCAGGGTTGCTATGATAATGTATATCTCAGCCCAGGCGAGACTGCATAAAATGAGTGATTAGCACCTACACGTGAAATGTGTCCCTTTATGACTGGGTAGATTACTTACTTCATGCCCAAACAGATCCTCGTGCCCCTGGAAAATGGTGAAAATGTCTTGTCCGATCTCTTCCTGTCACCACACCACCTATCGGGGTTGAAAAGCCTTGGTTGTGGATATAGAGTCTCATTCAAGTGCATCAAGAGGACAGTCATGCCCACTGGGGTCCCCGACGGAATGCGCCACTGGTCGTAGAATAAATCACGGTCCGGAGCCACACGTGCCAGGCGAGTTGCCAGCCCTGGACTCAGTCGCAGGCCTTCACAAACGACCCCGGTCAGGAAAGGCAACTGTTCGAGGACGGACAGAGGAATATCTTCCTTACTGCCCTGCTGGTTCCTCGCCTGGGCCAGCTCAGTCCGCAGCCGTTGCAGCATAACATGGTCGCTGTACAAGTAGTACAGTATCAAGCGTATGGTCTGCGCGGACGTCTCGAAGGCAGCTCCAGTAACGGTACTGACCTCGTCGTTGAGTCGTTCAACCGTTTTCTCGGCTGGTGGGAGGTTGGAGTCCATGATGCCGTGTAAGATGGTCCGATGAGATGGGCCTGGATTACTATCGGCTTGTTTTGACGATGGTGTCGCCACGATGGTTTTGGTTATTTGCAGACTATCCTGCGATACTTCAGTTGAGACGCTATGAGGGGATTCATGGGAACATTCCAATTTACCTTCATGAAGCCGAAGAAGGCCTTAGTTCCAGCATCGCCTACCTTCTCGATCCAGTGCATGGGAAGCGACTTCATCAACGGTCCGATCCATCGAACATGCTTGGTGACGCGCCATATTGCGCCTGAGGCCTGAAGAAAGTTCATCATGTCTGCATTGAAGTTCTCATGATCTAGGTTTTGATAATCCTTGAAAAGCACAAACTGCATGGCAACGTCCCTTGTGAAAGCACCGATAGCAGCGGAAATGTTCACTGCGGCCCCTTCGAACTGAGTGATGCGGTCGCAGAGCTTGTTTGCGAACCTCTGGATCATATCCTGCTGGGCGGCGACATTGGCCTTCGAGAAGAAAGGATTAAGGGGAGCACGACGGCGCTTGTGCATCTCATGGTCCACTGTGCAAACCGAACACATTGGCGCTCCGAAGGCGTCGTAGGACCAGGCATACTTGTTCCACTGACCATCCTGGCGGTAGAGCTTCTCATAGTACGCCGAGTCGTTGATGTGGAGCTCGTAGGGGCTGATTCTGACGATGGGCCCGTATTGATGGTGCATCTGAGCAATCTTAAACGTGTACTGGCCATTGAGTATCACATCGTAGTACCCCTCATAGTAACGTGTAATGGCCGCCAATTTTGGTCCGGGGAATTTTGCGAGAGGATGTAGGACCAGTCGGTAGAAAATAACACTGGAAAAGTATACAAGAGCTGTTGCGGCAAGAGCTGCCCAGGGGTTCTGCATGTGTTGAAGCAGCCACATAGTGCCACAGTGATAGTAATTGAATGAGAGAAAGAATTACACTAAAGACATCTGCTCTGCAGAGTAGCAGAGAATATGGGAATTCAAATTGCGTGTTGCTATACCCAAACATTTGAGCAGGTGCAGGTTGAGGGGAGAAGGCATTTATGAAGGAGCATCTGGGGAAGGATTCAACTACTACTGCAACATGCGGCCGCCCCATGCAGCCTGTTTACCCAATGATACCTCTCCTATGGTCAACGTTGGATTTGTCATGCATTGGGCTGCCAAACAATAACTAGTGTAGCATTTGACTTTAGTTTGAGATTAAACATGGTACTATTAAACACATATAGATGTTGGCCCAGAAAGCCAAAAGAACTCGAATATAGGTCCAGGACTCGACGGACAACTGCGCTGGGATGAAGGAGTCTGCACTGGTCAGTTCTCATCAACATGACCGGCTGTAGACCATACTATGCCTTCCGACTGACTTGGTCAATCACAGAGGAACAGCAGTCGAACGAAAAGATTTTCCTATCTTGACTCTTGAGGCAACAAACCTCCATTCATTCAGAGGCTGGTTCGTGTTTATGGGTGAAGGAATTCAAATAGAGAGTGCAGAGCTCTTGAAAACGGCCATAGAACAGCGATATTTTCAATTTACATTCGTCTGTGGTCGGCCTACTGTCTTGATGCCCATAGAATTCCCCCTTCCTTTTTTGTCTTTCAAAACAGTGATGTCCAGTCTATCAAAGAGGATGCGAGCTGCGGCTGACAGGATGCTTTTCTGACAGAGCATTAGTCTTGGAAATCATAGTCCCCAAAGCCACACCTTCTTCGGCTACTCAACGACCATAATAACCAAGGTCATAATTAATAAAATCCCACAGAGGTCAAATCTACAGCTCGTTTCGGTGCCAATACGAAGAAGCATTGTTGAATCTCATTCCCTTGGCGCACGACGCGACATCGAAAAGAAAACAACGCCTCATGTCTACACAGCCGAAGGATGTAATAAGACATGACAAGTTCTCTCTAATCTAAGCCCGTGAGACCACTTCGTCCATGAGAGTTTCCGACCATTATTCTCATCCGCCTGTGCCGAGCCGAATGTAATTATATCCGTGTAGCTTAAACCGGAAATTCTTTAAGTTGAAGATGTGCCCTCCATTACCTGCCATAAACCAGTATCTGTTCGACCAGCGTGCCTGGAAAGCGTGACCACCCTAACTGTCTAGAGAGGAAGTGATCTATATGTGCAGGCGCCGCATACTATCGTACTCTAGCGCTTGCCACAATATCATGACCTGCTAATTTCGCCTCAGAATGAATTGTAATGCATCTGGTCTTCGTCGTCAGATTTTGCTCGCGGAAGACTCCCGTGGCCTGGAGGTCTTCCGTATAATGACCCGGGTGCTGGCCATCCTCGCGTGGTCGGCCGATCGAAGCTGATGGTGCCCCGATCGATGATGGCGTTTCTCTGGGGTACCTCAACCCTCATCAAGATAATTCATACCTGTGCGAGACAGGCAATTCCGCCTGCGGCATTGACACCACTTCCGACTTTTGCGGCACTTGCCCCGGCATCTCAGCATGTGCCACATCGCCGCACAAGACATCATGACCGTCAGGACCACAGTATGTCTGCTCACCCACACCTACATCCTCAATATTCTGTGGTATTTTCGCACGTTTTGACCTCCTGCGTCTAAGGAGGAGAAGTGCCACCGTACCAATGAGGGCTGCACCTGCTACGCCGCCCACGACGCTACCGGCTATGACACCTGCACTGATTTCCGAGTCGGAGCTGGAATCTGACGGGCCCGAAGACGGATTGGAGTCATTCTTGGAGTCTGTCGCGCCTGACGAGCTCACACCCAACCCAGTGTCGTCAGTTGCCGCGGCGGTGAAGTTCTCAACGGTGAATATATCGGCCAGGCCCGCGTAGGTAAAATCGGCCATGCGGTCGCTTGAGAAACCAAAATAGTCAGTTACATGCCCAGAATTGATCGTTCGCGGGAGGCTCGGTGGACCCACTGATTGTCGTAATAACTCTGTACATCTGGTGCCAGGTTGTACACCGTCTGATTGCTCATGTATCTTGTCTTGAAAGACAAGCTACTCAAATCGAATACCGCCAATCCCTGGGCGTGCGCATCTCTCGTGTTGAACACACCATCGTATAATGAATCTGGTCCGACCTGAGTTGTGTCGACACCACCAATCGTCAGGACCTGGCCACCTCCGATATGCTCGCAGGTGAGGCCGTGGCGTGGCTGCAAGGCTTGGTAGTCTGCCTTGAACCAGCGGAAGGACGGCAGCGACAGCACGAATGCCTGATCCCAAGCGATGGAGGTGGTTCCAAGGTTTCCGTCCCATCCCGCGTATACAAGTATCTCGTACGTGTTGTTGGACGACGCAGCACCGGTCATGCAGTACTCCTTGCGGCCATTGGGAATGTCGCCAGTGGTGGTCTGTTCATACCAGGTATCGGTCGCGGGGTCAAAGACCTGAACCGAAGTAAAAGACAGCAGATATTTTTCTGATGGACCATTTTGGAGCTGATGACCTCCGGCAGCGATAATGACGCCGGCGGGCCCAAAGTTGGGCACGTATTGCATCCGGCCAAGCTGTAGATACCCGGATGTAGAAATGCCCACGACTGTGGAATTGGTTGCAACCTTGGTGGCAAAATTGTACTTAAGGAGACCACTGACGGGCACTTTGGTCCCATTATCTAGCATTTTGCCTGGTAGTATGGTTAGAATCCAGCGACAGCCCCTTAGGTTCTGTCAGGCCTGGTGTCCGTCCACTGAGCAAGGGATGGCTCCTCGACTTACCACCCAGAAAGAATCCAGCCCCATTTCCACTGGTCACTGGTCCCGCAAAATGCCTAGGCTGAGTCATAAAGTATTCATCCGTCGTATCATTGAGATTCGTCCAGGTCCCGGTCGTCCCATCCTCGCTTGGCTCAAATGACCACAGGCCCTGCGATATCTTCGGAGCGTCGCCAAAATCTGACGGCAGGCCAGCAAAGCCGGTATACAGCAGATTTGACACCTTATTAACCCATATTCCCGCATAGTTCAAGTCTGGTACGCCTGATGGCTTTGCTATCGCTGTGTAGATCACGGTGTCTGGTTCGAAATCTGCCGACAGATGGATGGATAACAAAGTCGACGCTAGCAACAGATTTTAGACGTGCATGTTGCAAGTACCAGTCTCAAAGGCCGAGATAAGACGTGTACAGAACGCTGGGGATGGCTTACAGTATTGAATCACCACTCCCTTGCCGCTGGTGTATGAGAATTCACCACCATCGATGTAGACCTTACCATTGAGCACCGCAGCTGCTCCAACCCAAGAGTCAACGTGACGTGAGATGAAAGTGAATGCAAGTACAGGTACTGACAAGAGTGGGACGCTCTCCGCAGAAAGACATTTCCTGAAGCAGCACCGTCAACCTGTCTCGAGCGAAGTTCTGGTAGAAAGTCCATAGGGTCAGCCAGTGCTACACCCACCACCCAAGACCAGAGAAGCAACAGCTCCATTTTCAGCAGGAATTGGGGCGGAGGCGTGGTCCGATTTACACAGCACAACCAACTCCTTTGCTCGTAACGAATTTGTATGTTCGCGGGAAGTCACTGTGAACGCGCTTAATCGTATGTCGTAGTTCTCGGCCAGAAGGAAAAGACTGATCACGTAGAAGAGCGTCAGAGATCCTCGGGGGGCTACTTTGTCTTTTTGGCTGAACCTGCCTCTGGCCATGGCCACAATTCTGGCTTGCAGTGCTTACGGTGACACAGAAGGGACTCGGTCAGGCGGTTGTGTTGCTGTGATGCGGGCTGCAGAATTTCGTGTCTCCCGAGCGGGCGGTAAGAATATAGCATCCCTGACCAATTTTTCGTAGTCGCTCCACCGAGTATCTTATAATCCCCTGCATAAAAAGACATTTCGCAGGACAGGCCGGTAGGCTGTGCCCGAGCTTCCAGAGGTCCAACCTGTTTGGACTCCGCATGAGAAAGTTATGAAAATGTCGTTCAAGGTGTAAAGCTCCCCAGCCGTGGCGGCGGCTGTGTGGGTGGAGGGAGGCTATGCCAAGTTCGTTTCCGATGCAACATCTTTACCGCCAAGGGGATGCAAAATTCTACAGACCGGCACGTGCCCGGATCATTTGTGGGGGGTGGGCGGGCAGGAAAAGGAAAACGCAGAGAGAGAGAGAGGATCCTCGGCCGGCCTCAAAAACACACACAAACACGCGAGCACACGAATAACACTTGAACTAGTACTCTATTGGCCAGTGGGAACAAGACATCAGCCGCAAGGGGCACAGGTCTACCGCCCCCACCGGAATGTCTCATTAATGCGTTTTGTTCGTGCCACACACCTGGGTCATTTACGAGCGGACAATTTTACTTCGCCCCTGAAAAGCAGTTTACTTGTTTTCCTATCTTCTGGCAGGCTTTAGTCTTTAGTTCCATTTTCCTCATGATACTATTCCCTCCAAGCACCTGGACTTAGGGGACTCACAACAACTGCCACGGACAGATGTATCTCTTCGACGTAACTGTCAACATCAAATCAACATTGCCTGGGCATGGCCTGTGATGTCCTTGCTAATTTTTCGCCGACTTCACACTTCCAAAATTCCACCGGGCACTTCCGATTCTTCGCCCACAGCCCTCTTCAGTACAACCACCAACTCGTCCACTGTCCCTAGCAGTGACATATAAGAAGCCAAGGTGCTGGCCCAGAGTCGGCTGTCATCGCCAGTTAAAATTCCTTTGATGGTCAATTCCTCTAATTCTTTCGGAGAGATGTCAGGTTCTTTGGACGTTGTGGCCCTTTTCTGAAATGAATTCCCGAGCAGTGGGGTTGGGAGGACTGCAGGTAGGGGACCCCCAGAAATCAAAGACCCTTGAACCAGTGACAGTACTGCCATAAAGTCTGAAACGAGACTTTCGTGGGTTGCGCCGGTATATAGCATGAATCTTGATCGTAAATGGGGTGGCAGGCGCCGCGTTTGAAGTACAAGTTGGGTAATATGAGTGTTCAAATTACAACAAAGGGCGCAGGCCGCTGAGAGAGTCGCCGAGTCAATTTTGCTCGTGGAAAACTCGAACTTGAGGAGCATGATCGACGGAACAGAAGCTTCGAGTGTGGCTTGTGACAGAAAGAATTCTGCTTCCGTGACCTGGACCAAGTCGGCCGGGGCATCTTGCCAAGTAGAGAGGTAAAGGGCGTAGCGCTCTTTAACAGTAGCAATTTGCCGTGACAGAAGTTCTCTGTAATGTCGGCTCCCAGAAGGAGGACGAGGGAAGAACAAAACTATTGTTGCCGCTCCAAATCCGACCAGCACAAGCAGAACTCGCCGCCAGAAAATGGTATATCCGACTCCTGGATCGCCATAGGTAGGACTGTGCGTATCCATCCAGCTATAGCTGACGACCAGATACATTGTCGAAGCCATCATGATTCCAGCTTGCATTTGATCGGGCGGTGCAAACAGGCGCCACCACATTAGAATAACTATGGCGACGCCCATTATCGCCGCCAAACCGTACGGATTACCGGGACCTGAGCCAGCACCAATATACCAGCACACAAGGCCGAGTACTCCACCGGCAACCGTGCCTGCTACTCTCACAAGGAGGCCGGACACGAAATCGGACGCATATGGTACTAGGACCATTTGTGCCATGATGAGCGCCCAAAACCCTTTCTCACGATAGTAAAACCCAGCAGAGGTCTTGACGACAGCCGGTATCGCAAGCCCAATTGTGACTACTAACGTGCGTAGAGCATGAACTCCCTCATCGTTCGCGAGCCAATTGATTACAGCCAACAGCACAGTGCTGGCCCTGCTCCGTTGACGACTCCGGGAAGATCTTATGTTCTCGAGGCGCGCCTGTGCATTAGGGAAATGCTGAACTTCGGAAGCGCCCTGACCAGCCTTGTTGGATGGGGCCTGTCTGTCGTCGTCCTGGTCTGAGTCTGTAACCGCAAGTCGCTCCGGGCTCTGGATTTCCTTCTGAGCTGTAGAAATTGTTTCGTCTTTCGCTAAAGTCCAATGAAGCAGCTTGTCAAGGCCACGTGGCACCCATAAGCGGTTCCGATGCCGATGACTATCGACCTGGACTAAACCAATGAGAAGTTTCAAAAAAGCATCGTTGACGCTTAGAATCCGCTCCTGATATAGGAGACCAAGCAGATATGCGACGAGTAGGCGTGCATCCTCGGTGTTGTTCAAGTCTCCGGTTCCATTGAATAAATGAGAATGAGGTTTCAGCAGAAGCTTGGCCGAATCAGTGTCAAATTGTCTTCCTTGCTCTTGTACCATGTCGATGTTGTCTTGAAGGGTCTGGGCAAAGTTTGTTGCTTTAATGCCTGACATGTGGCTCATACCTTCATTAATGGTCCGAATGGCATTGGACCATGCCTCAAGAAGAGGGATTGCGCACCTTGCAAGAACGCTATACATGGCCGTATATAATGCTGCAGTATCAGGATGTCTAGCAGCACTTTGCATCGCAAGGGCTTTGACTAGTTGGTGGTGGGCAACTGGCAGTCGAGACACGGCCTCTGATCTTTCGTGGAGTGTGAGGAATGTATTCATTAGCTCTGAATTCTTCTCTCTCGATCGTGAGATGGTCAATTGAAGCTGGACAAACTCGCAAAAGACCAACACGAATTCTCGAAAGTGTGAGTGAAGAGTACCAACATCACCAGGACTCCACCGTCCATAGGAGAAGTCCAGCGAAAGGAAATTCACAGAAGTGTCCAGATCCTTAAACGCCATCGTCGTATGGCCTTTGAGCCCCTCCAGTCGCTCTATGTCAAATTTGCGACTGGGATCCAGAAAATGTTGGCCTGTTGCAGCGAAGAAGCCAGGCATTGGTGTCAAGATGCCGCACATAGAATCCAGAACTAGAGAGGACGTTGATTGTGGGAATATCAGGATGTTACACAAGAGTCCAACTCCGACGGCTATGGCAGTAGGCAATATAAGCACTACCGGGATGGTGCCTTGAAAGGTTGGAATCATCGGGGCGGTTGCCAAGTAGATGTCCGCAACTACCAACGCGAACATGCTAACCAGAGTCAGCTTTGGAGCTGCGACCCGTAGTCGTGCCTTGTCTTTATTCAGCTTAATCACCCCAGAAAGAACGCGGACATAGTTACTCACAACAAGGTAAATAAACAAGCCAACCATGCAAAAGTAACATATTGTGACCCTTGTATCTAGTAGAAATCCTTCGTAGATTGCAACTTCCAAAGCTGGCGTGGGCCCGGAAGCTTGAATGCCGCCTTGCGAGATAGTTTGTTGGAGCTTAGCATATTGAGCTTGAAGGTCCTCGTCTGGTCTTGATGCTAATGCGGCTTTCATCGTGATGACGCCCCATACCCAGCCCAAGGCAACACCAATACAAATGGAGATGCCCGTCATCACATGGAGTAACACAACACCAGACGGAGGAACAATGAACAGGACGATACTGCCTTTGTGTTATTACTACGTCCTGCCGCGTACTAGGTGGAGGCGAGTGTGAGTGGTTCTTACCATGCAAAAAACGTCGCCTGTCCTATGAACTCGAGCGTGGGATTGATGAAGATGAAAAGAGTTGTGATCCAGACAGCTAGCGATGTCTTGAAGAGGATCTTCAGATCCTTCACATTGAAATGGTCGAGCCATTGCGGGATCCGTTTTTGCGTCTTGCATGTGCTGTCGACGAAGAAGGTGTCGTCCACTGAATTATGAACAAATGGATTGATTGTTCTGCTTTGCGTCTGCCTAGGTGGCTCATTGGTTTCGCCACTCGATGACATTATCACAAGTCAAGTTAAAGCTTAGATGGCACGCACCTGGGAATGCGCGCAGATAGGAATGGAGGAACGACGTGATAAATAAACAGCCGTAAAAGGACATGGTGTCTTGCCTCTGAAAGCAACCCAAATAAATAAGCGAATGAGCCTATTGATAGTATTCCATGTGTTGGGGGGGGGTGCTTCAAATTTCAGGACAAAATAGGCGGCGGCCTTCATGGGGCACGGATTATGGAGGTGCCGAGCTAGAATTATGCAAAAGCGGGTCTAGTCATACACCGTGTATAGCGTACTTGTAGTTGCTAGTAGCCTCTCGGAATCGTATTCCTTCGGTTACGGCTAAAGTTTATGGAATGCAGATCGAGACATGCCCGCCAATGGCCGGCAAACGAAATCGTTGTCGCTGCTCCGCAATCAAGCTTTGCTATCTCGATGGCCCGCTAGGGCCGCCTAGCTGGAGCATAACCTTTGTGCACGTCTCGAATTCCCATTCCGGAGCGAGTATTTGCCGTACAGCGTCCCAGCCTGCCAAGAATATAGTCCCATCATGGCCGCCACACGCTCCTGGTAAGACAGTTCCTTCTACGTCTGCCACTGTGTCTTTGCAAAGACGAAGCGGAAACGGAGCAGCGCAAGGTCATCACAAAAATGATGACTGACCCTATAAATCTTCAATCAACAGAAGCGGACACAAAGAGAAAGCATCGGAGTGTTGAACGTGGCAACGATAGGCAGCATGTCAAGCTGCTTAAATTCCTAACCTTTGGTGACTTGTGCTCTTCCAGCAAATCTATCTCTACAGAACGAGTCCGCATATATGCTCATTCGAATCACACAGCCCTCTTATCTTGTTAGTGTGACTTTTGTACCGGATCACAACGCCGAGACTTAAATTGAACGTCATGCACAGCCTTCACTCTAGGAAATGCCTAGAGGCCTTTCGTACGTAAGTGACCGATTTATATTCCACAGCAGCCTTGTGAGAAGCCACACCCTCCACTGAAGTTAGCCCATCGTATTTCGTTTTCGGGCCCGAGTCGTGCTAGCGTGTCGAAGGTCGCTTTCGTAGTGGTGCCAACTCAGGTGGTTTTTACGAATACGACTTGCTGAGCCGTTATCAAATCCTTATCGGCAGATTCCACGCTCTGAAGTATAAGAAGAACTAGGGGCTGCTCCATGGTCTGTTTTCACACGCTGAAGCCTAGCGGCCAATAGAAGACCGCTATCAATGTTGACATCAGTCCTCCTTCCAAGTCTATTTAGTACCTCTGTTACCTGCACAACCTCAATCAAAGTCGTGCGGAGAATAATGAAACGAATCGAGTCGTCATTTCCATGTTGAAAGGCTTGTACAATCGTGTCATTCGTTGAAGCTGACGATAGACACTGTCGTTTGGATTAGTCCGATCAGGGTACAAGCATAAAGGGGGTCCCTCATGCTTTTACCTACATCACCTCCCACCTCGCCTTGATCAGATCCACGGCCCGTTCAGCCATTCCATAGACGGTGGCTTGGGGGTTCGCCATAGTGATGAGCGGCAAGACGCTCGCGTCCACAACCCGCAGGCCCTGGACATTGTGCACTCTTAACTTGCTGTCGACCACGCCGCGCTGTTCTAAATGGGGCATCGCGCAAGCGCCGTTGTGGGCGGAGCCGGGCAAGAGAGGGTGCGAGAGCACTGCGGCGACCGTGAGGAACTCCCCCGGATCGGGCCTGGTAGGTGATTCGGGGCAATAGGAGAAATCCGCGGGAACTACAGCCTGAAATCAAAGTTATCTATTCTGTAAAGACTATCGATTAAACCAGGTGGAAACTCCCTTCAGACCCCATAGGTAAACTGCTTCGATTTATATTGAAACTTATCTCAATAAAGCAATAGTGGGGGCCGGGGTTGCTGAGCAAGCAGAATATATTGCGGCTACTGAAGAAGAGAGAAGGAAATGCCAAAGTGGCTACTTTCTAAGGGCTAAATACTCCACAGTGGGCAGTGACTCGAAGGGTCAGCGAAAGCCACTATTTACAGTCCAACACATTGAAATCTCGATTTTGTTTTACCTCTCCTTTCAAGCGTCGCAAGATCAGCTAAGTAAGAGCACCACCATTACTACACACACCAAGGTGGTTGACTTAGTAGTTTATCCCCTTACTCCAACGAAACTTGAAATAGTTAACCCGAATTCAGAAGTTCAGATACTCGGGAGGCACAGCAGGGAAGACATCTACACCATCCTGGATAGCCACGGACATGCCACCGTCGAAGTGCGATGAGATGTGACAATGCAAGAACCACGCTCCCGGGTCGTTGCTGTAGTACCTGACCGCCAGCCAGGCTGGTTGGCTGACCGTGGCGGCCGTGGCGAACGTGTCCCTCCTGGGGGGATTGGCGAGATTGAAGCTCCCCGGGACGGCCTGCATCGCCTCAGCCACAGTTGCCCAGGGGAAAGGCCCGGTGCCTTGCCCGATCATGTACATCTTGTCTCCGTGCTTGTGCATTGGGTGTTGTGGCTGAGGCCAGGTCGCGGTGACGAACACGAGGTCGACCCAGGTGTCATTCAGCGTGGAAACGGTGACATTGTTGCTCAGGAAAGGCTTTGGGAAGAAGAGAAGAGGCTCTTCGGTCTGGTGTGTCAGAGGATATACTGTTGAATTCAGAGCCCAGAGGTACGTCTGTCCGGCCACAATCATGCTGAGAACGAAGGTGTTGTCGGCGGTTTGAGAAATCGTTACTGGTGGGAACGCTCGCATCTGTGTCTGCGAGAAGACCCTGACATTTGCTGTGATATTGGCTCCCACATCGTTGATGTATGCTACGGATGGCGTGTTTGGGGCTGGCTGGCCGGCTTGGTGGTATGAGAGAGTAGCGTAGTTGCTGATGGATTGCGACGCCCCGATGGAGGATACCCTCATGTTGAAGTTCCCTAAATCTTGCAGCTTGATCAGAACTGAAAATCTCGCCCCGTTCTGAATCGGTATGGCCTCTACGGGTATCGGCTCGACAAACGCGCCGTCTACGGCGTAGATGTACATTGGGTGGCTGTCGATGGAGAACATGATGGCTAGCACGCCAAATGTAGCAATGAGATCCAGCGCCAGCCACTGCTCGCCGTCTCCGGATTGGACCACATCGATGACCTCCCGAGAACCTGTTGTAGGAATACAGACATCGTACACATCGCTTGGTAAGGCTGAGAAATCTTTCACCACCTGGGGTGCCTGGAGAGAGATGGTTTTCGCAGGAAGACATCTATAATGCGTGTGTCAGATCACTGGCAGATGTAAAGCATGGTTTCAATGGGGAGTGTACCCTTTCGCAGTGAGGCTCGTGGCGTTGACTAGTGACAATCCTGGTCTCTGTGCCGGAGTAGTGACGGCTCGTAACTCCGCCGGGGTGTAACAGCGGACGTTTCCTTTCCCATTGAATAACAACGAATCGTAGCACAAGTCGACGATTCCAGACTTGACGGTGAAGTCAGCCCGTTGAGAACCAGTATACTTGCTCCAATCAGATAGCATAAGTGGGCGCACGTTATCAACAGCCCTTTGGATGGCACACAGAGTTTTGGGATCGCTCGATATTAGGCTGAACGGTGTCGTCTGATCTTTGGAAGGGTGTATCACGATGGGGCCGAAGAAACCATCATCAATTTGAGACGTCTGGTGTGAATGATACCAGTAGGAACCGTATTGAGTTGCCTTCCATCTGTAAATGAAATTTTCTCCAGGACGAACACCTCGCTGAGAGATTCCAGGTACGCCGTCGGACCAAGGGGTACGGTGTTGTTCAATTCCTACACGCAATGGTCAGCCTGCACCATTGCCACTGGCTGAGAACGTACTGACGGAAACTCACCATGAAAATGAATAGTCGTATTGAAAGGAGACTTGTTTAGCAAATGTATCTCGACATCATCACCCTGATTAATCTCAAGTTTCGGACCTGGAAATTGATCATTGATGAGGAAAATTTCTCGAGCGTTCCCATCTGGTGCACGTGTCCCCCAGGTCACCGTCAAATAGAAGACACGACGACCCGGGCTGCCTGATAAGCCAGGTGGGCCAGTAGAACAGGGGTTGCCATTTGACGATGGGCCTTGGTCCCAGCTCGGAACTGTGTCGCCAAAACAAGGCAGGCCATCAGGTCCGAAGCCGTAACCGCCGACACCTGAAGTTAAATCAGCCGGGTTGGTTGGAGGGCAGCCCCAACATTTTTCGATCCCAGCTGGCCATACACACTCCGTCCCCGCGAATGCAAGACTGGCCTTCCAGAACAGAGGAAGGTAACAAACGATTCTATGCAAGGAGAGTAACTTTAAACTGACCATATTGGCCAGAATGATGGTGAAAAAAAGAGAGGGAAACCAGGAAGTGACCGCAGGCAACACAGTTCGCCGGGTGAAAGACACTACACGGAGCAAGCAGGACGGGGCAAAACCAGCATTCCGTGAGATAGCCCACAGTTGAGATTCGAACAAAATACATCCCTCTATATATGCTCCCGATGGCGAAATCGCGAGAGTGGGGGGTGGGGGTTGAAGCTACATCTCACGAGATCGGCGTTCTTCGTGTGTAAACTCTGATCCAGATGATATTCGACTATCAGACCAACTGAGGTCAAGACGCACGTGGACGCACTACATCTCCCTTCCTTTGTAAGAGAGAGTGCTAGACTTGAATTGAGATCATCATCTTCGGAGACGATTGTAGGATAAAAGCATTAGTCGCGGATGCAGCTGGAACGGTTTATAGACTGACTAGTTAGACATGCTTTAACTAGTTGCGTTCAAGAGGATGTCTACCCAGGGATGATGTCTTAGAACAGAAACGCGTCAATCCGTCCCGCTAAGTCGCGTCGTGTTCGCCGCAAGACGCGTACCCAATCTTTTGCGAATTAGACCATAATCCGGAATCATTGATTGTATATAAGAGGACCTAACAATTCAATATACGCTATATTTACCTCAATGATCACCCCTTCTATTGAACCGCCCCCCTCCTCCTATTTACAATGGTTATAAACTTAGAATGAATTCAAAGTAAGTTTCATCGACACCAATTCTTTCTTCTGGGGGAGGGGGGCGCCTTTGCGGCTTTGCAACTTGCCGCGTAATAGGGCCACAAACGTACGGCCGCGATCCTGCTGGACCATGGTGCATATCCCAGCATTATCCGACCAGTACTGGGAACAGCTTTGGAAGATGCGCTCAAAGGGTCTATCTTGGAAGTTGGGTGACCTACTTCTGGTACGTGGGGCCCAGATTGACCTCCATTGGGCCTATCTTGGTGACCTCAAGGACTTGGGGTCGTGTTTGCAAATGTTCAGTGAACGGGGCTACCTCGCAGCTGTTGCCTACCTTCTAGATCACAGCAAAGATATAGAAGACCGCGGAGGTCAGAACGCCAACGCGCTCCAAGTTGCCTGGGATGCCGGCTACGTCGATGTTGTTGAGGTTCTACTTCAAAGACGCGCAGGGGTGAATGCTCCAGGGAAGGCCCTCGGAACTGCAATCCAGGCCGCTGAAAGAAGGAACCACGAGCAGATAGTCAAGCTCTTGAGAGAACACGGCGCTGGTATCTAGTTGATCCACCGCATCCAATGAATTCAAGTCGGACCACATGCGAATGGCGGTTTCGGCTTAATCATTTCTTGATGCCCCAGCAACGCCCCTAGACCTTTCTCTTAAAGGAATATTCCAATATCCACCAAGGCATTCATACTTTCACATCTCAGAACTTCACTGCGACTTGGGTCGACAGAGCTCTAGCTTCGTCAGGAACTCAATAGTAGTATGATTCTCACTTGCGACTGTATAGGTACTACCAAATATCTGCTAGTGTTTTGTTGCAGACAGAAATACAATGAATCCGATACGGCTAACTCCCCAATAACACACGGAATCTAATGCTCCGTGTGAATTAGATTTAGTGTTAGATCGAAGTCCCGTTTTAACGCATATCCAATCTGTCTACCGGATCAGAGCTAGCCAACTAAAGAGTCCGATGGGCGCTGTTGCCTAACGCTTGAATGCAATGACACGCTTATGTCGCGTCGCCATATAGATCCGTAACGGAATTCCAAACTCTAGAATTTCCTTGCTTCCTTTTTTTTTCCACTTCCACTTGTAGTGCAAATTCGCTCTCGGATCCCGGACGCTATACGAAATGGCCGACACGGCGCCCAAAATCGCCGAGGTAGAGCGTGAGGAGGCTCCCGCCGCCGTGGACCGAAAGGCGCGGGCCCTAGCGGATCAAATACGCAGGAGCAAACACCTGGTCGTCTTCACGGGTGCTGGAGTCTCGACGTCAGCCGGCATTGCTGACTTCAGAGGTCCGGAAGGCGCCTGGACGCTGATGGCACAGGGACGTGAACACGACTTGCGATCCATCGACACTCTGCAAGCTATACCCACGCCGACTCACATGGCACTCGTGGAGCTGCAGAGCCGCGGGATCCTCAAGTACCTCATCAGTCAGAATTGTGATGGTCTGCATAGACGGAGTGGGATACTGCCTGTGATTTTTAAATCTGCCCCTGGGTATTGCCACATGAGCAACTCCGGCTGAATCTTCATAGGGCACGATATCTGAAGTCCATGGGAACAGCAACCGCGAGTATTGCAAAGACTGCGGGAAAGAGTACATCCGCGGTATGTTCAGTTGTCTAGAAATTCGGGCGGTTTGACGAGCTGACTGTACTTTGCGTCCCCAGATTTCCGGGCCGTTGCCCCCGACGAGCGTCCAGCGCATGACCACCGCACAGGTCGCAAGTGCGCGATATGTGGCGGAATCCTGCTCGACAGCATCATCAATTTTGGCGAGCCGTTGCCTGAGGCAGACTTGCAGCGCGCGTTTGACAACGCGGAGAAGGCCGATGTTTTTCTCGTCCTGGGATCCTCGTTGACCGTGACCCCTGCCAACGAGATCCCCGAAATTCCAGGCCGAAAACGCGCCCCATCGTTGGCGATTTGCAATCTTCAAAAGACGCCGTTGGATGGTCTCGCTGACCTCAGGGTCTTCTCGAAATCGGACGATCTGATGGTCCGCGTCATGAACCAACTGGAAATCCCCATCCCGCAATTCATTCTTCGTCGAAGCCTGATCATCAGAAACGGGCAAAATGCTCGGGGAAAATTTCAACTTCATATAGTTGGTATCGACATCGATGGGACACCATGTACATTTCTCCGTTCCGTCAGGTGTCGCAACAATAGACGCGTCACCCGTTCCGAACCTCTCATTATAGATTTCCGCGGTGGCTTGGACCCCGGGACCCAAGTCGAGCTCGAGCTCGAGTTCATGGGAAACTATGGCGAACCCAATCTGTGTCTTACCCACGAATATGGCGGCCAGGCAGACGAGGCAGTCACGTATGATCTGAGGTATAACCCGGCTGATGGGAATTGGGATTTCAGCAGAGCAAGCCCGCCAAATTGAAGCTCTAGCTAGTCTTGATATTTTCTGTGATGAAAGCGGGAGTCTTTCACGTCGAAGTGACCGAGGGAGATTGAATTGCATATTCTCAAAGCCAATGAAAGTCTCATTTAGGTGGCGATGTGCCGACGGTTTAGGAGAATGGGGGGGCACAAAAAATAAGCAGAGACGTGAAACAAGTAGATGCAAGGAGGCATGCTGCAACCAAAGCAGTGGGGATACAGCCTAGGTGCTGTCGAAATAGGCGTGGTGATGACTGTCGAACGGGCACCAATACACTTCTTCGTGGCCCTAGGTCTCTTATCTTTTTGCCTCAAATGTGCGTACCCGAGAAGCCCATGAGCCACGACTTGCGGGTCATGAATCCTTGACGGTCAGCGGGCTCTCTGCGCATGTCAAGCCGGGGGGTAGGACAACGTGCAACAAGCCAGGCGGCTACCAGAGCGGACTACGACCGAGTTCACCACAGACGAACGCGGAATAGTGCTCATCCCGAACGCACGATCACGAGAAAGCTTGTCTGAGAAGCAGCAGGTTTAAAGCCGGCAGTCACGAGGCTGGAAGGGTCCACGGGGGCTGAGCCGATGTGACAGCGGGCCGACCCACCAGAGAAGACCCGTTCACGACGTAATGGTCCCACAGAATCAGGGGTCCAGCTTCAAATGTTTGGCGGGGAGGCCAGCATTGGGCGAGGGGCTGTGACTCGCGTCGCAAGCAAGGAGCAGCAGCAGAATCAAGCGGTGGAAACAGTTTCTGTCTTTTATGTGTTGATGTGGTCTCCTTTGCTTCTGTGCTTTGGCTCTGCATTGTGTCGTTGTTCGTTGTTCGTTGTTCGTTGTTCGTTGCTCGTTGCTCGTTGACTCTTGTGAAGTTTGCCAGTGTTGTCTTTTACATCCAATCCTTGCGTTGCTATCGTGCATATCTCTGCCCACCATCGAACGACCGAGCCGGATCGACCCGCCAAGATGACTCGCAAGAAGGCATTGCTGATCGGTATCAACTACACCGGCACCGAGAACGCGCTCAACGGGTGCCATAATGACGTGAATAACGTGCGCGACTTCCTTGTCAACGACCGCGGATTCTCGGATGACTCCAAGGATATGGTTATTATGACAGACACACCAGACAACGAGGGCACGCCGTTCTGGCCGAGCGGCGAGAACATCCTCGCCGCGTTCAAGTGGCTGACATCCTATAACCAAGACGGTGACATCGTATGGCTGTCATACTCGGGACATGGAGGTATGGACGACCGTCGAATCAATGGAGCCGGTTCAGAAGCAGAAGCAGGCATAAGATCTGAGCTGACCGACAGATGGCAGGCCAGGTCAAGGACACCGATGATAACCGGCCGACGGGCTTCGACGATACCATCTGTCCTGTCGACTTTACAGAGCATGGGCAAATATCCAGCGAAATTGTAAGAAAGAACCCAATTTCGGCGAGACACCGTCATCCTGGTCTGAACGCCACTGATCCGATGCCCATTTCCAGCTGCACCGGAAGATCGTCTCCCCTATGAACCCGCGAGCGAGACTTACCATACTGTTCGACTGTTGTCACTCGGGCTCGGCCTGCGAATTGCCTTTTGTGTTCCGGCCGGACGCGGAGGGAAACGTCAACCTGCTGGACCATATAAAGAAGGGCGTGGGGCTGGTGCACGCGGCGGGACAGCTGATGCGAGGCGGGTTCAGCCGTGACAAGATCGCGGACGCCAAGATGCTGCTCGGTGGTGCGACGGACTTCTTCAACGGGTTGCACCACGCGCGCAACGGCGGGGCAGACGACGAGGGCCTAGCGCCAGAGCAATTCGATGAGGACTGGGAAGATGAGGGCAAGGACGTGTGGATGTTCTCAGGCTGTCGAGATGACCAGACATCGGCAGATGCGACCATCTCAGGGGCAGCAACAGGGGCCATGTCATGGGCGTTTATCGGGACGATGAGGGAGGACCCAGACCTGAGTTATCGACAGGTTTGTTATTTCCTGATCCTAACAATGTTAGTGACAACGAATGAACGGAACGCGCTGATGGAAAAGCAGATCCTGCAGGCCACTCGCGCGAAGCTGGTGGATAACTACGAGCAGATCCCGCAGCTGAGCTGTGGCGGGCATTACGACCTTGACGAGCCTCTTAGGGTGAGCCTTTTTGATATCTAATAAGTACTCGCGAACCTTGCCCAAGTACTGACAGTCAGCAGCTATGATTTCGACTGCCACGCGATGGAAGGGAAATGGAGCAAACACAGCATTGGTGAAGCATCGGTGGTGTATGAAGATGGTCGCATTTGCACGGAGCTCGGCTGTTTGTTGTTTTATTTGCGCAGAGAGCACAGCATCTTGACATCCAAGCATAAGCGTCGTATAGATCTTTGAATGATATGTGGAATTGACTGATGGATTCAGGATCTACGTCTGATAATGAGCCTGTCTATGATGCTGTCGAGGTGATGGTGAGGAGAAAGGGAGGACAGCAATGGGAGGGAGGCGCTGAAGCCCCGCGATTTCACGACCTGGACCGTGTGGCCCCACAGTGTGCGCCAGCCCAAGACGGCCCAAGCTCCCTGCCCATCAAGGTTCTGTCGCACCTTCGGTACATCAGAGCTCAGGCTCAACTCCAACAACACCAATCTCAATCTCAACTTCACTTTCCATCTCGACCTCAGCTGTCTGTCCAGTCAGCACAGCATCTCACATTTGCTTGCCTTCCACCTTTCATCTCGTCAGCCGACACGCATCACTCAAGTAGAACTACACGCGCCTGACAGGTCAACAAAACAATGGATCGCAATCAACCGGCTGCAGCGGCCAGTCTCCTGGGTGAGTCGCCCTTCTCATCCCATTGTTCATCGCCCGCCCAAAACAGCAGCCCCAGTCGGCATCTCTACGAAGGCCTTAGCATTGCGTTGTCTCTTCTGAGCTGAACCTTCATTCGCCTTCTTGCACGATCGAGACTTCTCTGCCAGGGGAACTACAGTGCAGCAAGTCGCATGCATGTCGCGCGAGGCTTGTGGTGCGCGTCCGAGGCCGTCCACTTCGAGAAGCACATATTCCACGACCAGCGCTTGTTCATAGCTGCGTGAGACACTAACCAGACACCCTCTTAGATCAGGAGGGTAAAATCATCGCAGAGATCCTCCGAAGCTACCGCGACCTCGTCAATTTTGCGACCGAGCCCATCACCAACAAGACTTCGACAGGTCAGGCCTCGTACAACAGTATGGCCATGGACCTGGAGACTCAGAACCTCGTATGTGCCCTCTCCCACCCTCAGAGTAGCAATCTATGGCTCACGCTTCCACAGATAAAATCAGTTGAGAACCTGCTCTCCCTGACCCGCCGTATCCGTGAGCTCTGGATCGTAGGCCCGCTGCGAAAGCCTGGAGAGGGTGACCGCACCGAGGAGACTATCGATTCTGAGGTGCAAAAGGTCGTTGGCATTCTCAACCAGCTGCGAGCAAACAAGCGCCAACAGCTCGTCAGCGAGGGAGGCGGCTACGGCCAGTTTGAGGTGGGCGACCTGGCCCAACCAACACAGCCCAGCTTGCCTAGTGCTCCGGGCTCGACATCGGCTCCTACGAATGGCGCGGCACCGCAGAATGGTGAAATGGCCTAGAATGCCTTTTCATCAGCACATGGTGACGCGAGGGAGCTTTCGATGCTGTTGGACGGAGAGGGAATAACCGACGCAGAGTCCGCCGGCACCGGGCTGGCACGTAATCTGGTGCGCTTTTTGAGGCTCTGGACATCTACTCATCGGTACCCGGCCCCACCAGAGACGACTTCGGCGTTGCTGAAGATCCTTGCTAACAGCATGGCTTCGTGGGAAACCCGTGATGAGACTTTGAGAAAGGGCTACGAATTTGTGATGAGTGCCCCTGGTATCCCACCAGAGCGACCCGGTATCACCGAAGCTGCACCGATAACAAACGAGACCATAGAGGACGGAAATATCACGCTGATGTTTCCACAAGAGGGATTCGTCAGCTTCGATCCTGCAAGACAAGCAGAAGACGAGGATGAGGATAAAGAGGATGACGACTTCGCGCCACTGTCACCTATTGGCACCCCGGATTGGAAATTCGTCCAACAGATTACTCAGCCGAGCCCTGAAGGCAAGTCTTTGATGCAAGATTTCGAGGATACCATGACATCGCCGACCTATCCACCCGAGAGCGTCAGCGCTGCAATGGAGGACTTGGCCGAGGACCCCAGTGCGGACCAGCAAACCAGCGATTCCAAGCCGGCCAACTCGACGGATGAGTCTAGCGAATCGCGTTCATCTCTGACATCGCCATCGTCGCCTGAAGACGAGGCAGCAACTGGGTGCTCCTCTGTAGGCGTGTCGCCTCGGGATGACAGCAAGGATGAGAGCTCGAGCGTGAAGCATACAGGAGAGTCTCCACAGCCGACGGACTAGAAATTCTTTGGGAACTCTGACAGCCTATGCCTCACCGCCCATGACCACAATTGGTCCTTTCAGGACTGCAGCACCGCGGCCCTCTACGCCCTTGGCCACAGGAGGTCAGGGTCTAGCGAATATGGTGTTGAGGTCGAAGACTTATTTGCCCCGGGATCTTTTCTAGATTAAGTCACGAAAGGCATTGAGACGCCACTTGGACAGAGTACTAGCTCAATTGCGCTGCGGGCTACGACAGCTCACATGTGGACCCGTCCACTGTTATGAAGGGCGCTTGCAAAGGGTGGCAATTGCTGGGCGAGCACTGGTCACGAAATGCACATTGTAGTATGTAGTACTAAGGGCAATAAAAGGATTAGACCGCACTTGTCTTCAGAAATGTGCCTTCAGTAGTGGAAAACTACTTACCCAGTCACAGCGTCCATGCCTAGAGCGATCAGTCCCAACTAAGGCAATTAGCACAGTGGCATGGGTCGCCGTGGACAGCGCTCCGAAAGTCGACGATCTATTCCAATCAACGGTTGAAGAACAGCACCGTAACCACCGACCAGACTTAGACCATGGATCCAAGGCCGTAGAGTAACGATCCCGATCGGGCACGATGAGGCATTCCCCTCCCTGCTGGATGTCTGTTACTCTAAATTGCTATGTCAACGCTCTTCCAAGGTTACACCCATGGCTGATGCAGCCTATTGTCTGTTTGGGTTTTTATTTTCCTTGCAAAGCACATACCTATGAAGAAGCACTTGTAGCACAGACTCCCGAGATCTGTGTGTCGAGACACCAATTACTTAGATGGTTTTATCAAACATCATAGGCAAATCTGCATGCGACTAGACCCCGTAGGCAAGCCGGGAGTTGACTTCCAACCCCTTTAGCTAAAAACTTACTGCAAATTTAGGATAACTTCCCGTAAGGTCAGCATCTATGTGAAACTTAACATCCATTTTCACTTCAACGAGATCTTTATGTACCATTTCGGGCCAGTCATCTTACTTTCACCCATCGTCGGTCTCATCAAATCCGTTGTTAGGAACCATTGAGACTCTGCAGCTCAATCTGGCAGAGACCATGTCGCCTGCACGCGCAAACCCAGAAACGGGACTGTGTGGGTTTCCATTGTACCTTCTGCTGGAATTTTTCAACAAATTCCAATCAGCCCAGCAAGGTAGTATTTACATTGAAATATTGAGCCAACGATCTGTTGGAAGTCTAGGACTGTAACCAACGGCCTCTTCACTTTGAGGTGGCGGCTAGTGGATGTAACGCTGGCGCCTTGCCCAGCAGGACAAGGACGGCAGCCAAGGAGAGGGTAGTTGCTTGGGTGTTGACAAGCTTTGGGCAAGAAAGCGCGCGACTGGGCGTATGCAGTGGACGACTTCACGTCTTGGCTCCCCAATTTGTCCAATGTTTTTCGTGGCTATGTGTTTGTCTCGGTATATGACACCGAGGCTTAGGACATGGCTGGGTGGCATATGCACAAAAAAGAAGCAAGTGTTTTTACGACCCCCAAACAATATTAACATGTTGATCTAAGTTGCGCAGCAGCAAACTATAAGGTGCCGGGGCCAAGCGTATTAGCAAACAGCTTCCTCATGCAGGCCTTGGCCGTGACAGTATGTGGAGGCGTGGCCTCGTGTTGGCTGAGAGATTCGGAGCAAAAGTCCATCAGAAGCAAAAGGCCCCGTCTTGGCCGAGCAGCGATGATCTGTCATGGCTAACACAACAGTACGAGAAATGATCCTGTCTCTCTTGTCTCGCCGAATGCATCCAGAACCACCTTAAGATTGGAAGATGCTGAATCACCTCAAGAGATGGCTGGATACGGCGGATTTCAGGCAGCAGCGATCCCTTCCTTTCTTATCGACGGGCCAGTCAGTAAAAAAACTAGACGGAAGGAAGCTGCTAGTTGGTCTCCTGTTGGTTCTGTTGTGGTGTTAGTAGCTCGCGTGAACAGTGCACCTGCTGCTGCTTTCCGGATTGGGCAACAAGATTCATTTCTCGAGCAGCAGATGGCGGGAGGCCAAGGAGTAGACGGGCAAGGCAGGGGGAGCAACACCACGTTTCTCCAACGGAAGCGGAAATGAGTGAGACCTGGAGGGGCAGGTGCGGCAAGATCGGGGTATCGACGGCAGAAACGGGTTGAAACGGTGTCTGGGGGGTTAGGTCAAGGAGCTTGGCCAAGGGATTTGGGGATTTGGAGCTGACCTTGCTCTGGCTCTTGGCTCTTCCAGTCCTGCTCACGGACACGCATGATCGTCAACTACTCGGTCAATGAATCAATCAATCGTTAATCAACCAACCAGCCAACCAACCAACCAGCCAACCAACCAGCCAGCCGATCATCCATCGTTCAATCAATCCGACGGGACATCGGAGCACAGCTACTGTACTGTAGCTGCCCGGATGCACCAATTCATGCACATGTGCTGTGCCAGGCCTGCTCGCGACAGCCGCCACCAATCACCACTTTCGATTTGCATTCTGTTGACAATCAACCCTCGACGACCTCCCTCGTGCGGCACACTTGTCAGCTTGGCGATCCCTCGGCTTGCCCCGATCCAGAAGGTGCCTGGCATTCCTCCAAGTTCGCCCACCCGCGCAGCCGCGAAACCACAACTTTTTACGAGCTGGAAACCTTCCTGCGAGCATGCAAGCCCGGGTCCAGATGGCACTAGAATCCTTCTAGAACGCTGTCCCCCAGGCCAGGCCAGGTCCAGCACGATAACGACAGGGCCAATGCCAGGCGAGAAACCACCACTCGACACAGGGGGCCTAGTGGCGACGCTGAGGGCGTGTGTCAGCATGCAGTAGTCTCCGGCCTGACTACTGCCCGCTGCCAGCGTGCGTACGGTACACGCAGCGTGCGCATACTATGGGGTACAGCCTGCAGGCCCATCGTGGGGTGGACCCAGCCCTGCCGAGGTCTGCTGTACTGTACTGCAGACGACTACATGCAGGGCAATGTTCGTACAGCAGTCTAGCCTACCGTACACGCAAGCACGCAAGCACGCAAGCACGCAAGCGGGAGTCCGTTCAAGTTTGCCTTTGTTCTTCTTTTCCGCCAACGGCTGAACGGCCATCATCAAGGGTCCAAGGAACATCATCCTCGCCTCATCGAGCCAGCTGCCGCCCGCCACCTGCAATTGTCTCCTGATGCCCTCGAGATTGCTGCTCTCTCAGACGTCGGCAGTAAGCCGCAGAATCGCGGATGTGCCCACTCAGCCCGTCATCCATCAGACACCGCATACAGGCATACTGATAAAGATGAGTCGTTTTGTTTGACACTCGACAAATTCTTCACGCGACCACTGAGCACGCAAGCTGGACAAGCTTATCAGTGGGGGCACGACCTGCCAATTGTAGCAGGACTGCCAAGCCACCAAGCCGTATTCGACCGATCTCGAGGCAATCCAAGCATTTCTCAAGCAAAAATCCCAACGTCCAAACCCGAGCCGAAATGTTCTGCCAAGCCGCTTAGCTCTCACCTGTGCCTTTTGCCCCCCCAGGTCCCCTAGTCCACTCCCCATCGCTCATTGCCATCACTGGCATGGTTGCATTGGTGCGGTTCAGTTTGCCTCGACCTCTCACCCTCTATCTCCCTCGACTTGATCCACCGGCCTCCCCGTCCGGCTGTCTGGACTGGCCCGAAGAGCATCGCCGAGGTGCAACCGAAGCGTAGACAGACAGGCGGGTAAGCACACAAAGGATCAAATCCAAGCCATGAAAGCAATAGGCACCACGCATATACACACCAGATGTCAGCGTGGCCAAGGTACTGGTGAGGTCTCAGTTTGCGAGACCTTCCAGTTCCGCCCCATGGACTCGTCGATTTAACGTTGCAGTAGTGCGTGCTACAGTCTTGATCACACTACGGACCGCACGCCTGGCACGTCTGCTCCCAGCCGCGCACCGACGAATCAGCGCACCTCGGCTGGCGTCGCCCGACCCTTGAGCCTCCCCATCGACCTGCCAGGGACCCCTGCTCCTCACCCTTCCGTGGTGGTGGGTGGGTGTACAGGTGGAGACCATGCGGAGGCGGAACTAACAGTTGAATCGTCCTGCTGCACTAAGTTCCACCACCGCGGCTAGGTCAGTTCTGGTTGCATCCAGCACCTAGTCTTTGCCTACATGGGCATACGAGTACAGTAGGTGCGAGATGAACCGAGCCCATGCACCTGCCCTGGCCAGATAAAGTTCCTGGACTGTCCCAGATCTGCTCCCAGGTCTTTTCTCTCCGCACCTTCACCCAAACCTCTCCCCCCATTTCCATTCATCAGGTTCAGCCATGTCGCAAACCGTGAACTTGGACAGAGCAGAGATCGCCCAGGCCCAAGCGGTCAAGGATGGGCTCGATCCTGGCCCGCCTCTGGGCACTGTCGACGAGCTCAAGGCCGGCAAGGGCAGCATAGATGTCACCGCCAAGATCCCCGACAGCTCCAATGGAGACGGCGGTCTGCTAGACGAGGACGAGGTGCCAAGTGAGGAGGATATGCACACGCTTCGCAGAGTTTCGGGCCACATCAACTGGGCTGCCTACTCAGTCGCCTTCTGCGAACTGGGAGAGCGTTTCTCCTACTATGGCTCCAGCATTCTCTACACCAACTTTGTCGTCCACGCTCTTCCTGAGGGCTCCAACACCGGTGCAGGCCATGGTCACGGAGGCCAGTCCGGCGCCTTGGGACTTGGCTCTCGGGCCGGTCAGGGTATCTCCCTCACAAACCAGTTCTTCGCTTACCTGGTCCCTCTATTCGGGTGAGTCCGTCTCGATGGCGCTGTTATCTGCCAAGACCGCGTGAGGGGACGGGACGTTTACTGACACCGTGGTAGTGGCTGGCTCGCCGACGCCAAACTGGGCCGGTACAAGGTTATTCACATCGCCATCTGCGTCTCCATGTTGGCCCATGTTATCCTCGTGGCCGCTTCAGCTCCATCCGTCATCACCCACCCAGACAACTCTCTTGCCGCCTTCGTCATTGGTATGCTTGTGCTCTGCATCGGTACCGGCCTCTTCAAGGCCAATGTTTCCCCGCTCTTGGCTGAGCAGAACCACGACCGTCGCATGTACGTCAAGACTCTCAAGTCTGGTGAGCGAGTCATTGTCGATCCAGCCATCACCAACACCCGTATCTTCCTGTACTTTTACATGGCCATCAACATTGGGTCATTGGCAGGTCAGATTTCCATGGTCTACGTCGAACTGTACGTCGGCTTCTGGCTGGCGTTTCTGCTTCCCACCATCATTTTCGCTATTTGCCCTATCGTTCTGTTTGTCATGAAGAAGCACTACACATTGAGCCCACCCACAGGCTCGGTTCTGGGCAAGTTCTTCAGCATGTACGGAATGGCCATGCGAGGAAAGTGGGGCAGTCTGATCAACCCTCCCAAGTTCAAGCGTGAGTTCACCTGGGACGTTGTTCGTCCATCCAACGTTCCCGTCGAGCAGCGACCAATCTGGATGACCTACGACGACGAGTGGGTCGATGAGGTCCGCCGTGGTCTCAAGGCCTGCAAGGTCTTCCTCTTCCTGCCAATTTTCTTCCTGGCCTACAACCAGATGACCAACAACCTTACCACGTAAGTGCCCCCATCGTACTGTGGATGATGACCTCAAGCTAACAGCCCAAAAGTCAAGCCGCAACAATGGAGCTGCACGGCGCGCCAAACGATTTGATTCAGAATCTCAACCCTATTTCCATCGTCATCATGATCCCCATCCTGGACCGCTTCGTCTACCCTGGCCTTCGCAAGATGGGTATCAACTTCACCCCTCTCAAGCGTATGGCCTTCGGTTTCGGCTTCTCAGCCATGTCCATGGTCGCTGCCGCCGTGATGCAGTACTACATCTACAAGATGTCTCCCTGTGGCAAGTACACCACCGACCAGGAGTGCACCGCTCCCATCAATGTCTGGGCCCAGTGCCTGCCCTACGTCCTCGTGGGCTTGTCTGAAATCTTCACGAACACCACCTCATTGGAGTATGCCTTCTCCAAGGCTCCGGACAACATGAAGTCCGTCGTCATGAGCGTCAACCTGGCCATGTCTGCCATCTCCTCGGCTATCGGCCAGGCCTGGACACCTCTTGCTGGTGACCCGAACTGGGTCTGGAACTACGGATCCGTCGCCATCATCGCGGCAGTAGGTGGTATTGGATTCTGGTATTGCTTCAAGGACCTGGACAAGGAGGAGGATATGTGGAACAACCTTAAGAAGTCCGAGTACAAGGGTAGCCGGCAGCCGAATGCAGGGCACACGGCCGCTGACAAGTCAGCGGAGCCAGAGCCGATCAGCGAGGTTCCTAGCGAGAAGATCTAGGAAGCTCCAGGCGTCTCTTCAGAAAGGCTGCCGGATGTAATCAGGATTCTTCAGACCCCAATACCCGCCGAATTCAGACAAGGGAGCATGAAGAGCTATATAAAATGATTGTAATGATGTATATCATGGATTCAAGAGGTTTGGACTCGGCCACAAATGTCTGTGTCCCAGGATTTTGGCTGAGGATACCCCAAGAAGAGAGATCCGTACTGCGGACCAATTTATCTCTGTTGATACAATTGCACGAACTTGTTCTCGTTCATGTGACCTTTCTCCTTGGTGATGTTCATGTCTTTCAACACGGTCTTACATTTGAAATTGCCGTCAATGCGCTGGTGACCAAGATAGCTCTAGGCACGGTAGCCGTCGCCTACATTGTGGATATTTTAGCCCGATGCCGTGGACAGTCATGGAGACGAGATGTATGCAAAACAGCAGGTACAGGAAAAGAATCTGCCAACAATAGTCTTCCATTAAGGTGATTGATAGATGTAAAGCAGGAGAAACTTCATTTAATCATCAAAAATGCCCTGCCCGCCATATTTTTGCCCCACATGGATTCGGGACTTTCCGCTGGCGGCAACTGAGCCCACCTGATTCAAAGCCTCACCAGTGGCATCCGTACGATAATAAGGCAACGCATCGCTACTCCATTCATTTCCCACACGCACGCGGGCGCTGTGCTCCATTCGGATATTCTCAATACGGTTTCTGGTAACCAGTACCTCGAGTTTTTCGTGGACAGCTTCGGACAAGGCTTGATCAACACCGGCCGTGGCGCCGTGTAAGATTCCAAGGCTTTGCTCATCAATCTCTTCGATCTCTAGATCTACCAACTGACGATATCGACCTGTCTCCGGGGAAGATACTTTCTCCAGGTCGTCTATGAATCCCGTGATTTGCTCGATCAGTTTATCGAAATTCTTCGCTCCGTAAAGGGCCCATGAGACCTTCTTCAACAGCCCCGTATGTTTCTGTCTTTGCGTAGCTATTGTGACTAATCGATCGTGTACGATGCGAGCGGGCGGATCCATAGTCGTCACAGTACAGCACTCCAAATTTTCTTGCGTCGCATCAATTTCGTACCGCTTCGAGGACTTCTGCACTACTTGGAAAAGCTCGTCGATCTCTTCCAAGATGGCACGGATATGTTGTGAAAGTCTGTCGGGCGGCGTGATGGCGGCGAACCGGTGGTCGTTGTATATGGCAGCGGCCTGGCCCCATCTGCTGAGACGCGTTCGGGCGACGTCGAGTTTCAGCTGACATCGCGTAAAGTCGCGGCCGAAATGGCGGCCCAGTTGAATATACTCAAAAGCCTCGACACAATTGTTAAACAAAGCCACTATGCTTAGTGCGCTGGCCACGGCGCCAAATGTTTCTGCCATAGTGAAAGATGTATGAAATAGTTAAGTACGGGGTGCCATATTCTATTCGAGGTTGCGAAAGTGACAATGGGCTGTTATGAGATCGCAAGGTGCGGGGTCGTTGCGGCTGAGGAAACGATGCGTCTGACTGGCCGTCGACGCATCGGCGTACAATTTATTTTGCATCTGCGACAACACAGCCTGTCAATCCTTAGTTGCAGCGAACGCTTCCATCCTCATTGTAAATGACAACTAGAATGAAGATGAAGTCGAATTCAGCAGGGCATATTGAAGCATCTGGCGATAGCCGCGTTTGGGTCGGAGATCTCAGAGAACACCACAACTACAACAGAAACGGAGGTGGAGATAACAATGGAGTTCATCACCACCACTACCACCACTACAACGGAAATGGATGTAAGGATCCTATAATCCGGCCACTGCCTCGGCTGACAAGCATAACCAATTTTATTGATCATGCAAGGTAGCCAGTCCCCAAAAACCTCAGATTGAGGCTGCCGAAGGACTTCCGAACGAGAAAGAAGGTAACCATTGCATCCTCTATTCGTTCGTTTGCGCTGGTCTGCTTTAAATAGAAATAGTGGCCTCAGTATCATTAACAGACCACAGCCTGTCTCCAGTCCCTTGGGTTCGGGGCAATCGATGCACGGTGCCAACACATCGCTCCTGCCCATCCAGATACGTGCGACTGGCTGTTCGGCACCACTGAGTTCCAGAAATGGAGGGACCCTGCATACCTTCACATCCACAATGGAGTGTTTTGGATCAAAGGCAAGCCGGGGGCGGGCAAATCGACGCTGATGAAGCACGCACTCTCCCGCTACCGGGACGACTTCTTCAGGGGCCATCTCATAGTGGCCTACTTCTTTAATGCCCAAGGCGAGACACTTGAGAAGACACCTCTCGGCATGCTGCGGGCGATTGTGTACCAGCTGCTCAAGAACGACGATACACTGTACGAATGTTTCGTCCCCTCCTTCCGCGAGAAGCAGCGGATAAATCAGGAGGGGAATTGGCAGTGGCGCCAATCAGAACTTCAGGAGTTCATTCTCTTCGTAGCCAAGCAGTCACGGTCGCGGCCCCTTTTGCTTCACGTCGACGCGCTGGACGAATGCGACAAGTCCGAGGTCCGTGCGGTGGTTAACTTTTTCGAATCGCTGAGCATTCATGCCTTTCCGAACAATGGATCGCTACGCATATGTCTTTCGAGCCGCCATTACCCTAGCATTCAAATGAAGAAGGCCCTCGAGTTAACGGTGGAAAAGAACCCAGATCACGAAACAGATATCGCTAAATACATTGAAGAAATGTTACGAGTTAGCGATGCCGAGATGGAAGCCGAGATCAGAAAGAGGGCCGAAGGTGTTTTCTTATGGGTTGTCATGGTTGTATCCCTGCTGAACAAAGCCTACGATGAAGGCCGTACTGAGGCGATGAGGAAGACTCTTCAGGACATCCCGGACGATCTTGAGAGAATGTTCTCCACCACTCTGAGCAAGGACGCGTCAGACATGGCCGAGACAGTTCACATGCTCCAATGGGTGCTCCTTAGCTTACGACCATTGAAGCCTCATGAGCTCGTCGCCGCGGTAGTCAGAATAGCTCTTCCCACAATCGACGTGATCCGGCGACGGATTACCACCTCGTCGAAAGGCCTGGTCGAGATACGACAAGGCGAGCCCGCTTCCGTCCAATTCATACATTTGTCGGTAAGCGATTTCCTGTATCGACAGAAGAGGTTACAGATACTGGATCCAACGCTAGGGTCAGAGCCAGTCAGGGCCAGCCACGGCCGACTGTGGGCTCGATGCTGGTCTTGTATCGAGCAGGTTGACACCACTTCGACGAGCGTCCAGCATATGAGAAAATTGAAAGACAAAGACCCCTTCCTAGATTATGCGGCGAGCCACATACTGAATCACGCCGAAAGAGCAATGTCCAGAGACGTGAGAGAGAGGGATGACAAGTGGGAGCGGGAAGGTCATGCCGACTCCTCGGATATTTCCCAGCGCATGTCTATCAAAAAGTGGCTACAGAAGCCAGATCTCTGGTTTCAATGGTGGAAACTGTTCCACGCCGCTACTAGCCCCTCTGATAAGGAGTCAGAACTGGTTGGGGAAGACAATGCGGGACTCTCTTACGTATTGGCACTTCACGGGCTGTTAAACCTACTCAGGGTTATTCTTGAGAATGGTGCCGACACCGACGTCAATATACTAGGCGGCTCTTTCGGTAATGCACTACAGGCCGCTTCAGCCAGGGGATACTACAGAATTGTCCAGCTACTCCTTGAGAAGGGTGCCGACGTCAACACGCAAGGCGGCGCCCATGGCAACGCACTACAGGCCGCTTCAGCTATAGGAGACTTTAAGATTGTTGAATTGCTCCTTAAGAAGGGCGCCAATGTTAATGCACAAGGCGGCCCTTACGGTAATGCATTACAGGTCGCTTTAGTCCGCAGACATTACAACATTTTTCAGCTACTTCTTGAAAATGGCGCTAATGTTAATGCAAAAGGCGGTGTCTGCGGTAATGCGCTACAGGCTGCTTCAATTATACAAAGCCTTGAGACTGTTCAGCTGCTCGTTGAAAAGGATGCCAATATTAACGCGCAAGGCGGCCCTTACAATACTGCATTACAGGCCGCTTCGTTCGGCGGATGCTACAAAATTGTTCGGCTGCTCATTCAGAACGGCGCTGATGTCAATATACAAGGCGGCCTTTGCAGCCACGCACTACAAGCCGCTTCATCTAAGGGACACTACAGGACTGTTCGGCTGCTTCTTGAGAAGGGCGCTAACGTCAATGCGCAAGGTGGCCGTTACGGCAATGCGCTACAAGCCGCGATTTCAAATAAACATAAAAGAATCGCGGGACTGCTTCGCGAGAAAGGAGCCGTTCCACAACCGCGAAAGCGGCAAAAGCTGACCTTGCCGAGCATCTTGGACGCCGGCCGCAAGCAAACAGACAAGAGACCACGGTCGTCCGAAGATGCGAGAAATCGCAGCTCCCACAGATCACCAAACATGGCGTTGAGGGACAATCAGAGGAGGCGTGGTCCAAGCTCACATGTTGTTGTTGACAACGGGACTGGCGCTCACATACAAGCGCCTGAGCCGACGACACCGATATCACAGCTCCATCAAGACCACCGCCAGCGTCGCAGCAACATTTCTACAGGACAAACACAAACACAGGGTCACCGCAACTGAACTCGCAATAGTGCTCATGGCCCCTGAAGTCAATTAAACAGTACTGAGAACAGCATACTACCTTGCCGGCCCAGGTATGTTAGCGCGCAGTCGACACGATGCGCTCTCCGTGCAGGTATTAGAGGTGTGCTTAATGCGGGTAAAGTAATGGGACAGCTACTTGCCGGAAGGAGAGGCTGATACCGTAACCGACGCAGGCAGGGCAAGAAGTCAGTGTTTCAGGCCGTAAGGATGTTCGATGGCCCAGAAAGGGGGAAGGAGTTTGTAACACCTCGGGCAGCTTCCAAGTGTCTTTGGAAAGACATTTAAGCGTTTGATGAGGAGCAGGGTTGAAGCAAGCATGAGACAGCCCGTCCACAGGTGGCGCCAGTGGGGGCGAGCGGCAAGGCAAAGCCCAAGAGCTCCTAGGAAGAAAAGGAAAGAACTTGATGGAATCGATCGTAATTGCTGACCTATTGGTTCCGGGGAGCTCTCAAATTTGGGGCAAGCTTTTAAGGTCTTGGATCATGCGTAGCGAGCTTCGCATCAGACGTAAGGCCAGCTCTCTGATTGGCTAGGTCAGCTTGTACCTTGCGCTGAATGAAATCAACGGTTGTAGGGTCGAGGTAGAAATACTGTAGGCTGATAGTGCAGCTTTGGAAGTCCTGGAACACCGAGATGTCCAGTATACGGGCCTACCAGGTCGGCAATATAAGCGTCAGTCCTATTACCAGGTTTGGAAGTTACCATGCCGTAGAAGCTTCAAACAGAGGATATAAAGCATTTTAATTCTATCACATTAAATTGCTTATATAATACTTAACAGTAATTTGTAAATGATTTAGGGATCTTGAGCTAGGGTGAAATCTTTTGAATATCATACATATTTAATTAGTAAAAAATAGCTGGGGCAACTACGATGTGGTTGCTTATTGAACGTTTTGTGTTCTGGAAAGAACCGTGAACGGGCGGATCTTCGATGATAGCTCACTTGCCCCCCGATATCAAGCTCCTGAGCGACTCGTCCAGGTTTTCTTGCGCCGAGCCGATGTTCACATTCCATAAGACTTGAGTAGCCGAGAAATTCGAGATTCTTCCCTTTCCATAAACGGTTCCGGCGAGCATACCCAATACTCCTAGTGGCTTGCCTTCCTTCAACTGCGCGGCTCCGCCCTGCCAAAGGTCTTCAACAGTGCCCTGAGATATGGTAAATTTCTCGCCAGTGACCTTCTCCAGGGCTCTCAGAATCTCATTTTGCGTCACTGTGAAGCTGTTCACATAGACGTATTGATTCTTGGTGAGCTCGGGCTTCTTCAAGCTCTTGGCTATAGCTCTACCAACCTGGTCCAGGTTTGTGGCGTCGTAGGAGATGTCTCCACCATCGTATATTGTGGCAGTACGAGCATTCACATTCCATCCCAAAAATACTGGAATTTTGGATCCCCAGTCGAACATCGCCCCCGTGACGACAGCAATCCACGAAATCTTGTCCTGGCGTTCTTTGAGGTAATCGAGGACGGCGATTTTCTCTGCGAGAAACGGGATGAAGTTGGGTGCTGAGCGAACCGAGGTGTCCATGCCGAACTCGGAGGGGACGAAGATCCTCACGCCTGCTGCGATGGCAACATCGATCAAAGACTTTTGAAGCTCAAGTGACCCGGGCGCGGTGCTGGAGACCGCGCTGACGACTGCGTCTTGGCCTCTGAAAGCCTCGAGCAGTGAAGAAGCAGAGTAGTCAGTCTGAAGGAGCTTCACGTCACCGAGGGCACTTTCCGAGGGCACCTGTCGACTCAGTCCAGTGACTTGGAATCCGTCTTCTGACAATGCTTTCAATGTTGATTTACCGACATTGCCAGTGGCTCCCACAACCAAAACCTTTTTGATGGCTGACTCAGACATGGTTGATCAAATGAAGTGCGGAAGATAGTGCTGGAATAGAGAGATTGCTTTTTGAAAATGGAGGAACAGAGACACCTTCCTGACTGCCCAGGCATGCATCGTGTGCATGCGACTGGCCGTTTTATACGGCAAGAAGAGATAGCAAAAGGGCAACAGCTGTGGCAGAGCGTTGTTAATTCAGCCGAACCGGGCTGAATTATTAAACAGCAACCGAGCTTGTTACGTACGTGAGCAGCCCGCATGGGTCTCCTAGCACTGACGAAGAGCTCTCATCTCGTATGCGAGGTTGAGCAGAATGATGATGGCCCTTAAAGTTGCCTCGGTCTGCTTCTTCTGCCAGAGCCGCACAAGCAGCCACTGTATCGCGCAGGCTAGACGCCAAATGGGGGTAGGAAGCTAGGGCGTCAGCCTGAGCCAGCTGTTCGCCTAACGACTTCACGAGATTCTTGAGTTTCACGACCGTGGCTTCCAGTTTCAAATTCCTATTCTTGTGGGATGAGATGAGATAGTCACTTCCTTTCGTGACTGGTAGGCGCGCTGCGCATTGAGAACTTGCGTACGGCGTCGCTGCGACAGATGAGCTTCTGAAAAGCTTCTACGGAAAGGCCAGGGCTCATTCAGACAGAATTTTCGCATACCTTCTTAGACGTCAAAGGCGCACCAGGATCTTCAATCTTCTGCGGCCTGCCACGTTTCTTTAAAGGCTGTCGAGGTGTGGCCAATTTCGAGGCATCATGACTTACGGCCACCTTTGGAGCCTGATGGATGTGTTGGGGACTGCAAGTGGAGTATGTGCCAGTTGTGTGCTCTTGATGTGACCGTCGATCCACTTGGAATTGCGTTTCGTATGTTCTGGGCATCTCAGGAACGGGATAGGAGGATTCGGACAGCAGCGAGACTAGCTGGGGCGGAATCCCCGAACCCACGCTATGCACGTCCATTTGAAGGTGGCCACTTTCCGCTCGACATGATCGGTATTGACGGACTTTCGATCGGAACACAAACGGCGCAAAGATTGGGCCTGATGTGGCTACAACTCTTGTATAACAGTGAGCTGTGTAAGATCCAAGTTGCCAGCTTCCCGGAAGCAGTCGGAAAGTGATGTGGTTGCCAACTAGTGGCTCTTTATTCCGGGACATCATGCCGCCTCGTTACCGAGCTGGAGCATTGTCTGGCAACCACGACATCTATAGATCATGTAGCAGTCTGCCGGCGGAAATCAGACAACATTTTAACGACCCGCCAGGTAAGGAATGCGGGCATTGGCACATGTCAGCAAAGTCCCGTCAAAGCTCTCCGGATCTTTATTTAACGTGAACAGTCGTCTGACATCCCAAGAAGGTCGGGCCTCGGACAGCTTCCAGCAAAATGCGAGGTTGTAATAGCTAGGTAAATCGTGAGAGCCGCATTGAAACCTCCCCTCGAGCAGTGAAAGCCAATCATGCCTCGTCCGCGGCGAAGGTTCGACAGATGTATCAATAATCAATAATTACGAGGCTCAAACTTTGAAGGTGGATTTCAGGCAAAAGGAAAGCTAACAGCCTCGGCATCGAACCACAATTTCTTCGGCTTTATAAGCATCTCCGAGTCTTTCGGACATTAGATAAAACCATGTCACTTTACGTCGGATGTCGTGGTACGCAGACTGTCCAGTAAGTCATGTTGACTTAGATGAGTTACGTAAGGCCGAATCTATGCACGCTTGCTACGAAGAAGGTTCAACGTGGTACGGTGAAGTTACAGGCTGTACCGGGGATGTTATTTTACGTCCTACATCACGCACGTGCGGTCACACCGAGCACTACATAAATACGTGGAAAGTTTGTGTGTAGAGAGGCCGGACAAGATAAAATTTCAAACTAATAGATACCAGTCTGATCTAGATTAAAGGCGTTGAGTATATAAAATTTAAATCCAGATATTCAGCAATAGATATAAGACTTCGGTCATTGTGAAATCGTAATAGATATTGAGAAAAGCGAGAAAGACTGATATATAATCGTCATAATTTCGAAGGCACACCTCCGTCTATCCCAATCTCAATATCAGACAGTTCTTCTTCTCTCAAGATGATGAAATTACTAAGTTTTTCGTAATTTAGGTCTCGGTGTTAACACGTAGATATTTGGAGGATACAACTATTCATTCGGGTCCAATGATGTCGGAAATAGATAAACGTCACGAACCATAAAACTAAGTGTGGCACCGCCAGCTTCTCATATCCTCGTGCAGCTCACCTTTTGATTCATACCTCCGGCTTTTTCCCAATCACCGTCCACCGTGTCGCGGTTGTGTAGGCCCCTTGCCTCGATTCCTCAACTGCCAAAGGAAGCAGCCGAGTGATCTCTTGCCGTATCTTTTCGTTCTTCGTCTTGCGACCGAAGATCTCGTACATCATCAGCCCGCCTTCGTGTAGAATAAATGCCATGTGCGGTGGGGGGTCGATCTTTTCCACCTCCACTTGGACGAAGCCCGCGGTCGACAAGGTGACTGGCAGATCGGTGAGCCATGTTGGCCTGGTTCGCAGGTCCTCTACAGATAGCAGATTGAACAACTCAGACAGGTGCTCTGTCTTATTTTCAGGCCTGGTCTTGTCTGTGCGGACCGATTTAAAATCAGGTTCGCCCCATTGGAGGTAGCCGCCCGGCTCTAGATTGTGCTTCGTCAGAGATCATCTCAGAGTGGCCTGCTCTTGGTATGCGGGATGATCAGCACCAGAGGCAAGGAACTCACTGAGCATCTTGAAAAGCCGTTCAACCACGTTAGGGACTTGGCTGTTCAACAAAACAAAAGATAAGGAACGCAGATGAACGATGTCAAAGGCGCCAACAAGATCTTCAGGCAAATCCTGCTTTACATCCCAGTGTCTGAATTTCACGTTTGATGGCAGTGTCTCGGCCGGGGGGACAGCGTCGAAGGAGATATCGAAGCCTTCGAGACGGGCGGTTGGAGCAGCCAACTCTCGGACGTCTAAAAGCCAGATGCTGGTTACGTAATTGTCAATCGAGAATAGAATGACCGCATGGAAAAGTTTGCTTCCTCTACTTGAGCCTCAGCTTACCCGGTGCCGGTGCCAACATCTGCCACGCGTAGATTGGCGCTCTGAATTGGGATCTTTGGGTGAGTCACGTAGCCGAAGATTTTGACCCAAAGGCAGTGCAGTAAGTTTATGCTGAGACATATTAGAGCTGAATAGAACTGGAAGGTGGAATATTATCAGAGTGTCTCCACTTACCGGTTGTTATCCAGGAAGTCACGAGTGAGTACATAATCGTCTTTGGGCGCCGCTCCGGGGGCATCGGCATTGGACGTCATGATGGATTTACTTCGGAGATAATTAACGATGTCAGGTTATTCACACACGTATACTGGGACTCATCACGAACGAAGTAGACCAAAGAGCCGGGTACCCCGCTTCAATGAGCTGTTGCGGTATTCGTTGCGCCTTCATTGACCTAGGTACTCGAGACGTGGTTCCAGATGTCAGCATTTAGACTTCTATCGGACCCTGAAACGCAACGGTGCAGATCAGCTGACCGCATATGCTAATTTGTATCAAGACTAAGAACATATGCTTAATCTTAACTTTAGTATGTAACATATCGCTACCCCGCGGATCGCAGTTGTACCGCAGAGCTCTTGTCGCTGCACAATGTGTAGTGTAAATATAGCTGACACCCGTCCTCCACCAGCCTCAACGATCTTTAGTTACGTATTATGCCTTTTGCAGTCGTTTCTAAACTCATGTCAGCTTCAATGTTAGCGTCAGCCAATCTATGATTACCGCTGCTCAAGTGGCTGGTGTGATAGCATCGTCACAGTGATTCATTCGGTTCATGTGAGTACGTGCTTCAGAATTTTGCTTCTCGTGAGATCTTTACTGTGACTGAGGAAAGGATCAGACAGACCCACAGCCCCTCCAAGTCACCAGTATGCCTGATATAATATAATTCCTCTCCTCTCCCGCTGCCTCACATGCACCCTAGACTCCAAGAGAGCAAAACAGAGCAGTAAAATATTCAGGAATCCTTAAATTGAAGTCAATTTACTAATCTTAGGAACGACAAAATGGCCGACGAGCAAGTCGCACAAGTACCAGCCAACATGGTAGCATGCCAGTGCAGAAGCACATACCACTGTCGCCACGGCGGCGGAGCCTGCGCGAACCCGGCGCGGTGGTGCCAGTGGTGCAAGGACGGCGGGTGCGTGCTGGCGAGGCAGGTGGACGCGGCGAGGGAGGGCGGACTGGACGGCGGCAGCAACAGCAGCGGGAGGAGAAGGCGGAGAAGGAGGAGCCACAGACTTCCTGCGCCGCCGACGGTGCCGATGGTGCCTGGCCTCCCACCGCTACCGCCTCTGCCTCCGTTGCCGCTTTTCCCAATGACGATGCCGATACCGATGGTAGGGATGGGACGTGGAAGGATACGTGAGGTCAGCAGCTCTAGTAGCTCAAGCTCTCGCAGCTCGGATTCTGGCAGCTCGAGCCCAATGCAACAGTAGCAGATAATAGAGAAGTATAGATAATGTGTAGAGTTGAAGAATTTAGTTGGTGGATAAAAATGTAGATCGGGTCGTAATTCAAGACTAAGTCCACCGCTCTCCTAATTCTCCATTGTCCGGATCGAAAAGAGTGGCTATGCGAATTTGTGAGTTATCACCCCTGATTAGACCGCCCTGTAGCAGGGCATCATCCAAGATGCAGAGGGCCTGTCTACTGATCGAAACTACTTCATTAGTGGGCATGTTCTCCAGGGTCAAGCACGATCATTGCGGTGGTTTGCTTGGGAGCCATCACGTCACGGACAGAATTATGTGGGAAGTGCAAAAAGGCAATTGTATTGGTGTTTCCATTGATTTAGATCTTAGGAGTCCTTGGGCAAAGATCAGAGCCTGACTTACGCCACACCATCCGAAGCAACAAGCTTCGGGTTACAGGTGAGTGCCCAGGAATGCCACGACCGCTAGATCTCATATGCTACTGCGCAATGGGTGTACTACAGTAGCACAGCCTGGAATTAGGCCTGAAGTAGCAGAGGGATGATCATGGTGATCGATGCTGGCAGGCCGAAGTGAACAACAGGGATCATCTCGGCATCCTGAATGATGGCGCGTCCTGTGGTTAAGGGACCATTCCGCTAAGGCTCTTGCTCGAAGTTAAATCTCCAGAGATGAGGCCATCGCGACATGTTAACGGTTCTCCAAGGTAATCAGCCCACGAGGCTCTCCAGCTACGCGTGAGAGACCGGGCAGCCATTGCTGTATCTGAGTTTTGGAAAGCGTCAACGAGCGAACTGCCAAAGCCGAGAAGGCTACGGGCATCTAGCCCTCGCCGTTCTCGGGGTCCTCGTCGCCCTCCTCCTCCTCCTGCAATGCCTTTGGGATAGCCTTGATGAGCTTAGGATCATATCTCTCCTTAGGCTGAAACGCGGCCTCGATGCCGTGTGCGGTGACCCAGAGGAAGGAGTCCGTCTCAAAATTATCCAGCTGATGGAAGAAGATGTGGAATCTGATAGGAAAGCGTGTCAGCCTAAACCAAGACAGACCGGAGCCGCAACCGCTCAAGTAGGCGCAGACTTACGAGTTCTCGTTCTCCTCCGTCTCATAGATGCGTTTATAGATATGTTCCTGCTTGAAATCCTCAATCTTCTTATCGAACTTTGTGAACTCCAGGGGTTCCCTGTCAAATGACCCCGTAGCCTTCTTGCTGTAGCTCTCGAAAACAGGCCGTTCGAGGAGCAGGCCCAGACCGGGCGCCTTGGGGATGGATATCCGCGTCGGGCCGTAGGTCTCTTTGATGATTGAGACAGGCACGGCGCACCGCACACACAGCACAGCCATGGCGACCATCTTACGGATCTGGTGCATCATGAAGCTCTGGCCGTGGACCTTGAGCGACAGCCACTCGGTGTCACGAATCTGAATGGGGCTGGGGTTGACCTCGAAGGAGCGGATGTGGCGTTTGGCCGAGGGGTCCTTGTAGGGTTTCTTGATGGTGTAGTTGTGGAAGTTGTTGGTTCCCTGGTACTGGTCCAGCGCGGCCTGCAGCTGCTGGATGCGCGCAGGTGAGACTCGATACCGGCGCTTGGCGGCCACATAAGCCGTCTTGATTTCGCGCAGGGCAAGCTCGGCGGGTGTGGGTATGTATTTGGGTTTTTCGGTCGTTGTGTCTTCGACTTTCTCAGTTGGGGGATCTGTTGGCTTCCCATCGACCTCCATCGGATCTGAAGCTGCCGTAGGATCCTCGAGCTTGGTCTCTTCAGCCTGCCCTTCCTTTACCTCTGCGTCTCCCGAAGCAATCGTCTCAGCGCTTTGGTCAACCTCGGTCTGCTCAGTCTTGGCCTTCTTGGATGGGGCGTCGGAGTCAGTCTCCTCTTCGGCTTTTCGCTTGGTGGACGAGAGGTCTTTGGGCTCGTCTTCTGGCTGAATCTCCTCGGTAGAAAGATGCATTAATCGTACGACCTCCTCGCGGGTCTTGTCGTCCAGCTTGGCTAGAATGGGCTGAATATCGTTCTTTTCCACATCGTCCCAGAACTCCTTGATGTCGTTCCAAGGCTTGAAGCGTTCCTCTGACACGCCCTTCTCCTCGGCAGAGCTGATGATCTTCTTGCCCAGGTAACTCTGCGGGTGGGGCGGCAGGAGCGAGTAGCTGGGCAGCAGGTACTCGTACCACCTCGAGTCGCAGGCCTGGTAGCAGTTGAAGGCATTGTTGGTCCTCTGGATGCCCCAGACGCGGATCTGCTCAGGCAGCTTCTCGTTGATCTTGCTGACAATGTCGGGGTCCTCGATGGTCAGCTTGAGCGAGACGACGTTGCCGGCAGCGTGCACGCCCTTGTCAGTCCTGGCGCAGCGGATGAAGCTAGACTTCTTGGGGTCGTCGGCGTTCCTCTTGGCAATGGCGCCGGCGGCGACAAAGGCCGCGAACAGGTCGCCCTCGATGGTCTTCTCGTGGTGGTTCATCTGCATGCCCTTGTATCCGGTGCCGGCGTACCCAATCAGCACGGCGACCTTGCGCTTGGGGCGGCGGTCCTCGGCGGCAATCTCCTCGGCGGAGAAGGGGATGCTCATGTTGGACTCGGGGACGAGGGCCGGGTCGAATCGGGTTTTTCGCTCAGCGGGGCGCGGGTTTGGTATGCGGGCTTGGTCGCCTCTGAGGATTGGGTCAGTCGCTTTGGCATGCTCAGTCTGCGTATCTCAAGGGCGACGAGAGAAATACTTTGGAAGTGAAGAGAGTGACTGACCTTGAGCCATCGCGGTCGCGATTGTCTCGATCGCCTCGGCCTCCTCGACCTCCTTGCCCACGGCCGCCACGGCTCCTGGCCTTCTGGCGGCGCCTGTCGTCCCAGTTCTTATTGCGGCCAGGCTTGTCACCATCGTTGGCAGGCGCATGTGAAGCGGACTGGCCAGTGGGCGTTGATGTGGTCTCAGCCGCTGCAGAAGGGGCATTCGAAGGCGCCGAGGGCCCGTCGCCAGGCTTGTGAGGTTCTGCCATGTTCGTGGTGTTGTAATCGTGCAGTGTCGCATGCCTTTCACATGCTCCGACGAGAAATTGGATTTTCTCGATGTGAAGGTTTGGACTTTTTTTTTAAGCTTCGCCTTGACTAAAATTGGAGCTTCCTCAAATCCGGTCAATTGCAGATCAGCGCTAGCCTGGGCAGTCAGGGTCCCTATGGCGGGGTAGCTCCTGCGCCTAAGATGGAACCGTCACCCGTGGAATATTAACCTCCCCCTGCTCCCCGTCTCAAGCGCTCAACACAGCATTCATGTGTTTCTTCAGAAAGGCAACAAGATCGTCCACACCCTGGGGCTCGTTCAGCCAGTGGCCTCCATCCTCGTACTCGTGCCATTCCACCTCCCCAAATATATCTGAGAACCGCTTGAGTGTGTCCCTCAACGCCCTGCCATGGCTTACAGAGACGACAGGATCGTCACTCGAGTGGCCTAGGAAAACAGGCACCGGACTTCTGGGCCCTGAGATGGGCCCCGAGAAGGGCCCACTGCTGGTCTCTCCAAACACTAATCTGAGCTGCTCCCGCCCGTCCTCATCACCCAGCTCGCCAGACAACGGCATCCAACTGCTCAGCCCAATCAGTCCAGCGAGCCCGGACATGGCCTCCCCAGCAAAGAAAGCCGCCACAGCGACCACAAAGCCCTGACTGATACCGCCAATAAAGATCCTGTCCCTTGCCACGTCCCTCTCCTCCTCTCGGACGACTTCCACCAAGGCAGAGACGCTGTCCTTCAGCCCCGGCAGTTGTACTTCAGGCCGCTCGTCCGGGTTCTCGGTGGACCACATGTCGAACCACTGTGACATGTCCGTGTCGAAGCGTGCCGACCGCAGCATCGGCGCTGTAGGGAACACCCATCGTATTGTCGGCAAGAGATCCGGCAAGGTCCTTTTGCTGTCCTCTGATGAATCCAAGGCCGAGGCCTCGCTCTCGAAAAGCTCGCTGGCGAACTCGGCGCTCGTACTGTCGCGGCCGTGGAGGAGGATGATAGTGTGGGTGTGCGCATATCCCTTTCTGGGCTCGACAACGTGACTAGCTGGCATCATTGAGAACTCAGCAACAATTTTGAATTTGTGTGTGAAAGTCGTAAACTTCCAAAGGTCTCCGCTGATGGGGCATTGAAAGAGAAAATATCCTACGAAATAGAAACAAAGGTATGTGCTTGCATCTAGGCAACAGTTTGTTCGCGGAGATGATTGTAAGTCGATGCACAGACCATTCCTGCCCCATCCTGGAAGACTCGAGAGCGAATCTCCACTCACACTTCTTGCGTTTCTTTTATACGTCGACTTCGAGTCTGCTCAAACAATGCTTCTCTATTTCTCAGCCATCGACTGATAAAATGAACGCTCTGAATTGTCTCCTGCTTGTACTTTTGGTTTGTTATGTGAAAGTATATTCAAGTACATGGCGCTTCATGGTTCTCATGGCATCACAATTGCTCTACACTTTCCAAAGTGGGCCTTCCAATGGCGCAGCTAAAGGCGTGGCAGTGGCGAGTAATCTTCAAGTAATATTTTCTAGGCTGTTTATAAGGCTGTTGAAGGAATACGAGACATCATCGCTATGACTCTATGTCTTGCTCGAATGTCTGCGGGCACACCTTGGAAGGGGAATATGCGTAGTGTGAGCACTGCCACCTCGAGCCCGACATTTTGGCACTTACCATATGAATTCGGATACCGTCATTATCATCGCCTCAGCGACTCATCACCTTCTCAACCTTCTCCCTAGCCTCGCTCTCCCACACATCCCAGCTCATGCTGTAGTAAAATGTGTCCCTCCACACATCATCCGGGTGACTCCCCGGCGGGAGAGGCTTGCCATTGCCCTGCTTCCCATACCTCCTTCCCAGCGGGAACTTCATGTGGTAAGGAATAACACCAACCTTTTCAAATCCCATCCTCTCTGCAACTCTGGCGCTGGCAGCATTCGCCGTGCTGCAGTGCCACTGCATCCGCTGCAGGCCCATCCCGCCCTGCTCCGGCCGCGCAAACCCGTGCTGCATCATCAGCCCCACCGTGTTGGACGTGACGTGCGAGCGCTGGTACCTGGGCAGCACGATGATGGCGCCCACCTCGCTGCTGAGGTGCGCCTTGGAGGTGTTGATGTAGGCCACCATGCCCGCGAGCTCCCCGTCTGGGTCCTCCGGGGAGCGGTCCCTGGTCTTGTCGATGATGGCCAGGGTCGTGTGCGCCGGGTTGGACAGGGAGAGGATCGTGTCGGGCTTGGTGAATGCTGCCTTCATGTCGTTCACGGTGGAGAATGGTATGAAAGAGATGTTGGCATAGAGCTCAGGGTGGTCGGCGGACTGGGCGATGAAGGCCGCGCCGTGGAGGTCGAGGTCGAAGGGGACGAGCTTCACCCGGTCGTTTGCGATGGGTGCTTCGATTGGAAAATGAAAGACTGATGGTTCGGCCATTTTTGACTCAAATTTCAGAGGAAGTGGTAATCTTGTAGAGGTAAAAGCTAAGAGTAGGATGTTTTGTAAGGTCTTTGGCAGAGGGCGGGAGACAGTGTGACTCATGGGCGAGGAAGGGAGCACAAGGAAGGGCGAGATACCGGAGACAATCTCGGATTGACTCCTAGAGATGGTCTGAGAAGCTACTTAAGTAATATTCTTGAGGTCTTCAAACCAAGCCTCACACCCTTTCAACGCAATCCTTCCTACCCGTGACGAATTATCTACGGCCACTTGACCGCGCTCACTTGCGCAGGTGCGAGTCGGCGCTCGGCTTCGGGCCGGAGCTGGCCTGACCTCTCGGACACCACCATGGCTTACGCCCTCACCGCTTTGATCAGATTCTTGGAGAGCAAGTCTTCTGATTTGTCTTCCTTGGGTTAGGAATCCTTGGTGTCAGCTTAGTTGTCAACATGATTGTAAGGAACTGGGCTCCACTCGTAAATGTGCCTCGGCAGCTGAACTGGTACGTTCAAGCAGTTCCTCCCATACTCCAAAGTTGGAAGCCATCAGCAGCACAGCCTTATACATGCTGGATTCTGAACTCAAACTTCAACGCAAATTTGGTATGAAAGCTGAAGCGGAAGGGCGGAGGGGCCCCTTAGCTGGCAAAGATCACGCTTCAAACACAATTTGCCCTCTCACGTGCACGAGATTCGCTCTATCACAGAAACAGGCACTCAACTACCTGTCTACGTTGAAGTAGAGCGCCTATTCTTTTAGTAAGATTGAAAATTGAAAATCGAAATTTATGGTATTTATTTTCTTATGTATGCCTGCTCCGAATTAAATTTACTTACCTTCAACCACTGCACAGCCGTGCCACTACCTATATATTTACATCCTAGTAAACAGAGCTTATAAGACCATCGTTGCAATTCGGACCTGAAGGAGATTCATATCAAAAAAGTATTAAGACGCTGTATATAGGTCATAATGGTCTTCATCCCTCGCATCACATACTACGCATGTAAGAAATCTCCAAGCATGAAGGGATGATGGGCCAAAAGAGTGTAATTAAAAACATTTAACGACTTGGTGGAGATGCCTTCAAGGCCAGATCGTGTAATTGAACAAGTCAAAACAGAATTTTAAGCGTTTTCCGATATATGGGTGTGGCTTGACCCAACCGTTTTATTGCAGGACACAATTCACCAGAGAATTATTGATGGTCTGTCATGTAACTTCTGAACCGCGCGGATACCATTTTCTTTGTCTCTCTGCCCCCTCACCCTCCTTGTGCGAATGCCCTTTGGGCAAGTTTTTGGCATCTGAAAAAGACATTCGAGGTCAAAACAGGGACTTGCCCAGAGCAGCGCCTCCTGCCCACCGAGCCTCAGCTAGGAATGCCACCAAATTTACCAACCCGCAGCGACGCAGCCCGTGGCGTCAGCGGAGGTTATGCTAATACTCGATATCCCTGATTCCTGGTCTCAAGATGCTGTAGCGCTCCGCAGCTGAAAGATAAAAGGAGCTTCCATTGTTTCTTGGATCTGTGCGCAGCACGTGCGAGTTCAGCCGGGCTATCAGGAAGCATCAAGCAAGAAGAAAAAGAGCCACATCGTAAATATTGCACGTGAAAGAGCCTGAAGCCACTGGAGCCCGACTGGCATGAAGTTCATGACCCATCTTCTTCGCAGCAAAAGTGTTCAAAAGGGAGGCACGTCGTTACTCGAGGAACGTGCCGTCTCTTTGTGTCTCATCTCCTTGGCATTCTTGAACTTGCGATAACCTCTAGAAAGCCAGCTCCCGGCCCTTAGCCCCAAAGCTGCCAGCTCCGGGCTCGCCCATCCTCTTGAACAGCGCAACTTATGCCCATATCGAGCACAGTCCAAACAAGCATCGTGAAAATCAGACACGCACATTGGTATGGCCGCCCCAGCTTATTCCCAGACCGCGCCTCAGCAGGCCTCCCCCGGGCCCATCGACAACCATGATGTCGAGGACTGGAAGCAGCGCTTCAACACAGTGCTCGCCAAGCCCTCGGAGCACGTCAAGAGCGCCTCGCCCCCGACGGCGCAGGCATGGCACAGCTCCTTGTTCGGGTGCTGCAGCCCGGTCGACCTCTGTCTCGTGACCTACTGCCTGCCGTGCATCACGTTCGGCAAGACGCACCACAGGCTGCGCAAGGACGGCAAGATGGAGGGCTACGAGCCGATCAACACCTCTGTGAGTTTGAGTGGTCACTTGACCAGAGTGCTCGGCGGGGGGGATTGTGATCTGATGGATTCCGCGACACAGTGCCTCCTCTTCTGCGCGTCAGGCTGCTTCGGCCTGCACTGGATCCTCATGTCCATGCAGCGCGCCGACCTGCGTGACAAGTACCACCTCCGCGGCAACTGCGCGACCGACATCGCCACCGCGTGCTGCTGTGTCCTGTGCGACCTCGTCCAACAGGAGAAGGAGGCCGAATACCGCGAGCCGCTGATGGCCCCGGCCGGCCTGGCTGGCATCCGGCAGGAGTACCAGATGCAGGGCAATATGGCGTATCCCTCACGGCCGGCGCCCGCTGAACCTCCTGCGGTGCCGGCGCCCGCCCAGCAGGAGAAAGCGCATGAGTCTGGGTTAAGCAGCGTTTAGGTGAGGGGTGATGGGTCGAAGTCTTTCATCGAGGCTGGAGCACAGAATCATTGTTTGCAAGAGGTCGATCATTGCAAAATCCACCCGAAGCCTGTCGGATGGGGTGAGATGGTTTGCCTGTCTGATCGATCACTTTTTTTTCCGCGTGCTCCTTTTGGACTGTGCCGGCGAAGAATTAATAATCGGTGATTGGAAGGGCATTTGGTCATCCTTAATACCCCAAAAGTGAGATGACCAGCCGAGATTTGGAACAGGATGCCATCAAGGGCGATGCAGCCTCAGGACTCGAACTTGCGAGATATTGGAACCCCATATGCTGTCTCGGGTCACAACACCTTCTCATTTGTCACTTTGTTTTGCTCTATTTTTTTTACCGCTTTTCTCGTTCTCCTTTCTGTTCTTTCAGCTTTTAAAAATAGCCTTTAAACAGCCAAAGTGAAAATGAAAAGAAATTAAGAGAAAGGAGAGAAGCCACAACTTGTGCCTGCCATAAAGCCAGTCTCAGATTAGAAGACTGCCCCATATATTGGAGTAAACAAGAGACAAAAACAATCAAAGAGAAGTCTAGGGAAAGCAGCAATCGTCAGGGCTCTCTTTGGTCATCAAAGCGGCCTCATGGGCTCTCAGACCAAGGATCAAGCAAGCTTGGATGCTCCAACACAGGGCCGGAACGCTCCAACACAAGCTTGTCCCAGCTAATTTGGCTTCTTCATCCGAGTGCTGCATTCTTCTCTTGATAGGGTCTGATGACACGTACAAGGCGAACATTGTAGAATTATTTTCAAATGTCGAGAAAACGCCAAACTGCGGTTCCGCAGGCTGACTTCTTTATTTCTTTCTTCTAGAGGTTGAATTTACCAGTTTCTTCTTGACAGACTTGGGCATCTTCTCTTTCCTCTTCTCACGTTTTGACTCTTTTACTGCCTGTTTGTGGGCCTGGTCTTCAAGTTAGCACGAGCTCGAAGAGCAGGCGGGAAGAAGCAGAAGACGAGTTGACTCACCCTTTTCTCGTCTTTGTCAAGAAACCTCTTTCCCCGTGGCCGACTATCATCTTCGCCGGATTCACTCCCGCTCTCATTCAACGATGCGCCGTCGTCAGACTCGTCATCCGAGCCAGCGCTGCCGTCCGCAGCCTCGCCTGTGCCCTTGTCGTCCTTAGAGAGCACCACCTGATCAGCGAGGAGGCTTCGGTACACGAGCGAGTCACCCTGTCCTGTGCCAAGCTTCTGACCGTCTGCCTCGATGTCGTACACCTGCTCGAGCGTTTGTGGGATATACTGGTTTCTGAACACCTCGTTGTCTACCTCGAGGTTTGCGATAGCTTGGTCGTCTTCGCCAACCGCAGGTCTGCTTTCGTAAAGCACTTCGATGCTTTTCCTCATCTCAGCTTCCTCGACTGGCCCCTGCGATTCAATGATGAAATCGAAGACTGTGCGGTCAGCCAGGGTGTCGACTCCTTTTCGCCGGAAGAAATCGCCTGCGTTCTTGATGTCCATGCGCAAAAACTCGAGTGATCGAGGATGGTCATGCTCGACGCTCTGAGACACATCAATGATGTATAGTGTGCGGTCGTGGTAAAGAATGTTGTACTCGCTCAGATCGGCGTGCACAAGCCTGCAGACCTGGTACATTCGCCGCATAATGCCGAGCAGCTGAATATAAAGGTCCCTCCACTCGTCATCACTCGACACCTGAGCATCCCGTAATCTTGGATATGCCCATCCCTTCTTGTCTCCCAAGAAGTTCATAACCAGTACGTGCAGTTTCAGCGAGATCGGCTCTGGACATGGGATGCCGGCAGAGTAGATCCTCCTCAGATTCCGGAATTCTTTCTCAGCCCACAGCTTGACCATCTTCCGGTTGTTTCCCTTCTCCGAGCCGCCCTTAAAGCGGTGCTCTCCAGTGATGTACCTCTCGCGGTCTTTGAAGACCAGAATCGCTGTCTTGTAGATCTTGATCGCCTTCTGTGCTGGCTCGGAGCCATCGTCTGGGTGCAGCACGGCGCCGTAAACGTTCGCTTCTTTGCCTGTGCTGATTGCGCCGTGGACCTCGGAGACGATGCCACGGTTGATCATCTGCAGAAGGATCATTCGGGTGCGCTGGTCCAACACGAGTTCGCTCGTGGCGCGGTCGGCCTTGTCCTTGTCACGGTCCTGGGTTTGCTTGACATCGTCGAGGCGGATCTTGGCGGCGTGCTTCGAGAGTGCAGATATTTGATCGTCGACGTTGGCCTGTGTGTTTGCTGAGGGCTTGCTTGATCTTGAAACGGCGCCTGCTGGTCCGTTGGCAGTTTGTCGGTTGAAGGACCTGGTCTCCGGGCCGTCGAGGTCGAAGTCGTCATCTTCGAAAATGTCTTCGAGGTCGTCTTCTTCTTGTCCCACTTCCTCTGTGTTCACTGGGTCTGTTGTGGGCTCCTTCAGAGCATCTGATACTTGTTCTTGAGACATTGCGGCTATGTACAATGCAGGCCAAGAAACGGTGTAGTGCCAGGTGAAGAATCATCGTCTGCGTCACTCAACCCGAACTTTTTTGGCGGGATGTTTAGCACCCCGCCACCGGCGCTTATCGATAAGCAGGTAGATACAGTACAATGGTGACTCGAACGTGCTCGAGCTATAGTGGTAAACAATACTGCTGTCTCCCATACTTGTATTCCACAACCATCAAAATATCGTAGTCTTCATGCACAAAGGAGAAGATGCCAAGAGCACCTCTTCAGCAGATTTCACTCATATTTTCCCCGTATCATGTCGGCTTCCGCGCCAGGGGACCAGGAGCAGGGCCTGGCTTTCTCAAGGCTCGTGGTCTAGCCAAGAGTCTTCAAGTGTTTGGTCTACCTGTCCATGAGGTGGAGATCGAGCCTGTAGATGAATTTGAGGGCGAGATTGGCCGCAGTTTCGAGGTGATTCGACGCACAGCGAAACTTGTGACACAAGCACGGCAGCAGAATGCGTTCCCCATTGTCCTCGCCGGGAATTGCAGTTCTGCTGTTGGGGTCGCCGCCGGACTGCATGCATCTGGAGGATTTGAAGACAATCAGTTGGGTTGTGTGTGGTTCGATGCCCATGATGACTTCAACACGCCAGACACGGTCTTGAGCGGCTATTTTGACTCGATGCCCATCGCCATGCTCGCAGGGCAGTGCTGGAAAGGAATGTTGGAAACGGTCCCAGGACACCGTGCGATCAGCTTGGACCGGCTTGTACACGTCGGAATGAGAGATGTGAACGACTTGGAGCGGACCAGAGTGGAAAAGGCTGGCTTCGACGTCATCTGGGGCAGCACAGAGAGGCACATCGACTTCAAGGCAGAACTCAGGACAGTGCTGCAACGAAAACAACTTCGTCGCACGATGGTCCACTTTGACGTGGACTCTTTGGACATCTCGATCGGAAGAGCAAATCGATTCGCTGCCCCAGGTGGCTTACTGGAGACGGATATCGTCGGTTGCTTTGAAGAGATTTCCAAAGCAGCCGAGCCAGTCTCCCTCACAGTCGCATCATTCGATCCATCGTACGAAGGGGCCCAAAATCTTGCGTCGGTGGCCATTGAGTCGATCAAAACCTTCATACAGTCTCTCGTGAGGTCTGGCGTGCTAGCCAAGCTGTGAGAAATTTTGAACCATATATCGTCAGTTTCAGGTCATTGGCGGTGTCAACGTCTAGATCTTCCGTTGTCAGAGGATCTATTGACAGGAAAACAAGTTCTATCTTGTAACATTCAGCGTGAAGATCGGGACTGGGGTGAGCCTACGCAGGTAATAAATGCTGAAACAAGCAAGCAAGCAAGCCAGCATGACCAGACAGATCCCCTGACCGACATTCCTGATCAATTTGAAGTCCATATTGTGTTACGGCTACTTGTTGTCTTCTTTATAGGACACATTCCGAGCGAAGAGCTTTCAAGTCACACATTCTTGTTACAGTGCCTTGAGTCACACCTGGACAAACAAAATCGATCAGCTTCGGGGTCGCGTCCCCCACCAGCAAGCCGGATCTTTACAAATTCTCGATGTCGCAACAGCTAGGGGTCAAGAGAAGCTCTCAACAGAACGATTTTCTCAATCCAGGGCTCATCAGTCGCCGTGGGTATAAACTGTCTGCATACTGGAGGCAGTATCAAGTAATCTTCATTGTCATAAATTCTCAGATCAACATCCTATCCAATGCCACCTACGACGCAAGCGCCAGATCGGCACGTCATGAGTATCAGTTTCCGGCCTCTGAAATATCCCAGAAAACTTTCATCAATCGAAACAATCCGCAAGCATCGTCTTGTCAAAGTAGCAACATTTCAAGAACTCGAACGCGGCGTTATGAGTTCCCTGCGTGAGGTCTTTCTGAATTGAACAGACATTCTGGGAAACACCCTAGTCAATACATAAATCCACATGTTCAGGCTTTATAGTTTGACTTGCCTCAAATTTGTCGCCGGGGCGACCAACCTCGCCTGGTGTGTGGATGGACTGGCAGCAGCTGGCTGTTGTATCGTTGTCCTTGGGCCAGGACAACGTGCCGTCGAGCATCGAGGCGATGAGGTCATCATTGACATCCTTTAATTTATTTGGGGGTGTCTGGCATTCGCAATGCCTGATGGAAATGCGGGCAAAGACGTCTCTGTTTGGTTTATGTCCCAAGTCAGTTGATATGTATGGGTTCACCAGCCTATTTTGTTTCAGTACGCACCTGATTAAGCCGAGGGCGAAGAGGCACGCGAGACCTGATGGGACTTTCATTGTTGCTTCCTCACGAATTAACGAAAGCGAAAGAAGCTGTTTTCAAATCTAAAAGGCGAGCAGTTCTGCAGGTATGCTGGGATCTGGTTGTCAAGCGTTGAGCAACTGGAGAAAGCACAAGCGTTGGTGGGAACAACCTTCTGAAGGTTGTCGACGTTTTCTTACCACGTCGATTTAACGTGTTCCGACTGATCTCGTGTTAGTCACTGATCACGTTGACGGAATCAGAGGCTTGACAAAAGCCTAAACAGTCATAGCACATTCCTCTGCAAACAGCTGCTGTGGACATGACTGTATCAAGCAGATCATCGATGGCAACTTACACCTATCAGAGACAACCAATCGTGCGGGAAATTACCAGTTGATGATATGGGTGCCATCTAACACTTGTGCGAAACGCCACCGTGAACCCAAGATCTGTGATCTCAGGAAATGATTGTTGTCTCTGAAATTAACATAATTTCATTCTTGGACTCACTGTGACATTACTATTTTGAATTCAAGTAAGGCAGGTCAATCTTTTCATCAATGTTCCTTCTATAATTTTATTTCAATTCTTAAATTTAATATCCTTTTACATGATTTCCTCTTGCTAATGTTGGGATGTGGTAAAACAATTAATTCTATGATAGTTAATAATAATAATCTTAGATAACTGAGAAGATAAGGGCGTGGAATTCCTCAAGTCCTGGCTTGTTATAACCTCCTCGCCTTACTCTTAACATCGGCACCGGCAAGCAAGAGCGTATTTACGCCAGCCTCAAACCCAGTATGTGTAGTGGCGTCTGCCCGCGCAAGTTGTAGAAATTACTGATGGCAGTGTCACCCGCATTCTGCACGTAGGCGACCAGCTTCTTGAGAAGATCCCGGCGACGGTGCAATACGGCAAGGTGGAGGACATGGTGCAGCTCGTCGTCCGAAATATCGTGAACGGAACCTGAAAACGTGTGGTATGGAGAGCACACTACCTGGCCGGCTACCCGGAAATAGACGCCAGATAGGCCGGGAGTTCACGCTTACACGCTTACAATCGAGAAAGATAGACGCTGCCGCGCGTGAGCTTTTTGGGCTGGCGACTGCGGTTGGATCGCCAAAGTGATGTATCAGATAGCAAGACGAGTCAATGCATGTGTATCTCTCTTGAAAGGCTTTCAACGACCAACAAAGAGAAACAGAAAATAAAGCCCCTGCTCCGCCCCACGTGGCATGAAGGCCCAGCCCTCATGGCATGCCTCGCCCCGTCTGACGCTCTGCACATGACCTTTTAACCCTGCTACAAATCCTTAGATGTCAAGCCTCGCTATCTCACCCTATCAGTTCGGACCCTTGGCATCTGGATACATTGCTGACAGCACGAGAGGGGGGGGGGGGGAATACGCTGAAAGTGATTGGTGTAGACGCACCGACATCTCGTCATATCCAGCTTTAGCTAAGGGCGCCGAGGCTTCGTCAGACCATTATTTTAGCAGCAATTATCACTCAGCTGATTGATAGCAGGACCAGTTGAAGAGCCTACACGAGTCCTATGTAGGCTGTTGCCTAGATCTCAAGCCGAGTTTCATTCAAGACTGAAGCATTCCATTGTATGCACACAGCATTAAACGTTCTGTGGTTTACTCACGCTTCGTAAATAGAAGAAAAACATCCCTTGGGCTCTAGAGTAGTGTTCTCAGCTTGCACACGAGGCATATCGACCCATATAGAGGTACATTGCGCGCATGTAGCCCGGAGATATTGAATACACGTATATATAACCATACAAGGCGCAATGGGGCATAACGGCATTACCGTCTCATGATAAGGGGCCACGAAATCCCACGGGGCTGAGGTTTTGGTGGAAGCTGCCACCCGCAAGCCCCAAGGATGATTCTGGCCCCAGTAGGAACATTAAAGATCATTCTCGATAGTTTTCGCCCCCCATTCACAGACGCCTAAGGGTAGGAGGAGGGCTTCACCCGTTCATATAAAGGGATGAAATACTTCGAGATGAAGGGGGAGTGTCAGTATGTAGAGGACTAAGCACGAGAAACAGTACATCACGCCAGCTATGCCCTTCAATCTCAAAATCTTCGTTGCCATCTTGGCCACTGCGGACACCACGCTGTCAGCAGCAACTCGCAGATCATCGTCCAGACCTTCCTACCGATTCTTGCCTGGCGACCCAGAATGGCCTAGTGATCGAGACTGGGCAACACTCAATCGCACTGTAGGCGGTAACCTGATTCGAGGCGTGCCACTTGCCCAGCCCTGCTATGGTGTCACTGCCAATGCAGCTGAGTGCTCGACGATCCAGAATGAATGGGCGCAAATTTCCCCGTTGTAAGTTGAGCACCCATGGAAGCGCAGGACTTGGATGTCGATCGCTGACAACTCCGTCTCGTAGTGTGGAAAGTCCTGTTAATACCATCGACCTGTATTGGAACAACAACTCCTGTAACCCATTCGATAGCGCTTTAGCCATGAATACGGACCATGATACCTCGTCCTGCACGCTGGGAAACCTCGCTCAGTACGCCATCAAGGTGACAGATGCTGAGTCCGTTATTGCCGGGGTCAAGTTCGCCCGGGATCACAACATCCGACTCACGGTCAAGAACACGGGCCACGACTTTCTTGGGCGGTCTATGGGCAAAGGCTCACTGGGGCTCTGGACCCACAACCTCAAAGATACAAGCTTCTTCCAGTACAAAAGTGCCGCCTACACGGGCCCCGCGGCTCGCGTCGGTGCCGGCATTGAGGTCTCCGAGCTGTATACAGCGGCTGCAGCCCAAGGCTACCGTGCCGTCGCCGGATCGTGCCCCTCGGTCGGTGCAGTTGGCGGCTTTACCCAGGGCGGCGGTCACGGGCCTCTGAGCTCGGCGTACGGTCTGGGGGCGGACCAGACCCTCGAGTTCGACGTCGTGACCGTCAAAGGGGACCGGCTGACAGCATCACGCACCAAAAACTCGGACCTGTACTACGCCCTGAGTGGCGGCGGCGCTGGGAACTACGGCGTCGTACTATCCATGACGATCAAGGTTCACAAGGACGGACCCGTGGCGGGCGCGCAATTGATGTGGACATCTGATGACGACGACGTGTTTGCGAAGGGTGTCAAGGCGTGGATTCAGCACCTGCCGGTGCTCGACGCCATCCCGGGCTTCCGTACCGATGTGCGCCTCCAAAAAGGCGTCTTTTACCTCGCCATGGCAACACTGCCCGATGGCACCGAGGATGAAATGCTTCAGGCCCTACTGCCGTATCATGAGGCGCTGAAGGAGCTGGAAATCACGCCGTCCCTTAACGAGACGACGTTGCAAAATGACTTTCTCGACCACTACACCCACCACAGCGGAACATTGGATACCACCCGCAACCTGACGATCGGCAGCCAACTAGTTCCACGCGCCTTTGTCGAGGACACGAACAACGTGGATGATTTGGTGTCGGCGCTGGAGGACATCCTCGACGTCCCTAACTCGCTGATTGTCATCTTGGGGACGAATGTGACGCACGCCCGGGTTGGGAACCAGGCCGAGACGAACGGCGTTAGCACGATGTGGCGCGACTCGCTGTTTCTGCTCAATGTCGGCTTGTTGGGCAACATGCTAGCTGACTGGCCGGAGCTCGTGCAGCAGCTTGACGTGGTGAACGGCTGGGAGCAGAAGCTACGCACGGTGGTTCCCGGCGGCGGTGCCTATATGAACGAGGGCACGTATGACAACCCTAATTGGCGCGAGGATTACTATGGCGACAAGTATGATAAGCTTTTGAAGATCAAGAGGCTGTATGATCCTAACAATGTGTTGTGGAACAAACCTGCTGTCGGCCATGACGCCTTGGTCTTGGATTCTGATGGCCGGCTGCACAAGGCCTGATTTTGGCTGCTTCCTTTCTCTTTATCCTTATCTTTGTACTTTTAATTTTTTCTAGTTTCTTTATAATCAGGGGTTAACTTTTCTATCTCATTCTTATACGATTAGACTTTAGACTAACAATAGAAACAAGAGAAGGGTCATCATATGGGCTTTCTGTCTATTTTTCATGTTACTTGGTTTCCCCCTGGCCGTTAAACCGCACATGATCGTCACAACACGCACGCTGTCGGTTCTGGCTGTTTACCTAGGCACTCTCAACTCAGCGCGTTAACGGTTATGGACGGACAGTATGGCAGCCGCTGTCAACTCATTGTCAAGCTCCTTTATTTGATCTTTACCCCAAAGTCTGTGATTTTGCTGGCTTCAGACCCCATGCTGTTGTCTAATTATTTATCAAGAAACGGTTGAGGCCCTCATTGGCGGTAACAGGTCCTCCCAGATAGGCAAATAATGCAACAGAGCCACACCAAAAGTGAGCAGAGGGCGATTCATTTCTACGATACTGCCTGTATTCTTCCCAAAGTCATCGACTCACCGTGTTGTGACTCATCTCGCTCTACTCACCGATTACGATGAATGTGTCTCGCCTGACAAGAGTCACTGCACATTTTTTCTGGCTGCAGGGACGGTGGAGACCGCTGTACCGAGCAGATCATTCACCCCAAATTTGCGGCATTGCCACACTTACGCAAACACCATCACTTGAGGCTGCCACACCATTCTATAGGCGGTCTGGTCAATTCAAAGACACACAAAGAAAAGTCAGCCTCTCATAATCAACCACGATCTCTGTTGGTGTAATTTCAAAATCCGATTGGTTTACCGCCAAGGAATGTAAACGTGGGCCAAGGGAGCTGAAGACTGCATCGACGAGAAGGGTGCCAACCCGACGCAAACTTCCTTTTCTGTAGTCAAATGCCGTCTCTTGGTTGCACAACATGTAGGTCTCTGCAAGGCAGCAATGTTCCAGCCGTATTTGCAGAGCGGGGAGCTGCGACATGGCTGATTCTTTCCAAGCCTCTCATCCTCCCTTAGGAATCCATCCATAGCTTCGGAGATGAATGTTGCTTACCCAACATCTGAACAGGATATTTTCGAGAGAGGTTCTTTCGCATCTTGGAACTGAATCGAAGCACGCTTTCGCAATCCTTAGGATTTCATCAGGACTTTCACAATGTATCGATCCCGAGTGGCCACATTCCTAGTGTCTCCCAGGCGGCAGCCATCACCGACGACATTGGCTTCTCCACGCCTAATAATGGGACAAATAAGGAGGCCACCTTTCCATCAGGTCCAACAGCTCCGTTCAATTACGACGGCAATGGAAGCAACTGTACTCGGTGCGGCGGTGACCGCGGCCGTTGTGGCAACCCCGGTGCTGTTTGTGCGCCGTTGGAGACGAAGGCGCATCAACAAAGAGTTGGAAGACACACTGAGTCTAGCGCGCGGGCTACAAGACCCCGAGAAGAGGCGACAAGTCTTCTTCGATGTGGCACACCGCTTTGCCGCGAACAACGGATCTCCGGTGAGTTTCACAGACAGCTACGAGGACAAGGTATACCTCGATGTGGTTGAGGAACCCACTGGCGCATGCAACATCACTGCCATCGATCCACACAATTTCCGATTCGCCATTCACAAGAAGCTATTCAAGTGGAAGGTTTGGGTCGCAGTTGACGCAGAGCTCGATTTCTCATCCTACCACGAGGCCTCGTCTCATTCCCGTGACCCGACTGGAGCCGACAATGACACCGACAATGCACAATCAACACTGGTGAGGCGAGCACTCGACGAGCCCCTTACTTTCGCAATTATGACTATCATGGATGAGGTCTTCGCGAGGCTCCGTGTGCAGGCCAAAGGGTCCCACCATGTTCCTGACGAGGTCGACCTGGAGATACTCGTTTGGGACACCGTTATTTCACTGAACTTCAACACACGCACGCTGAAGGCTGAGACGCACTGGATTGGGAACATCGGTGACAATCGACCGTCGAGAAGAAGCTGGGTCATTATACCCCTTCCTTTCTTTTTTGACTCCTGATGTCCAACTTCACCCTTCTATGCAGTTTGAATTGGTATTAGCCGTCGAGAAGGGCCTGAACTTCGGGTATTGATTAGTAATGTTTTGCCTGAAGCAGTAGCTCTGGCATGGAATGGTTAATAGAGGTTCAAAGTATGTTTGTGTGTCGTCATTCACTCCGCGTGGTTCGTTTGAAATCTGATCTCCATTTGGGCTGAAGCGTTTGTTAGACACGTTACAGAAATATTCCCCTCGTTTTGGAGTAGTATATGCTGTGAAAAACTGGTGCCTACTTTCTGAGCACTTCTCATCGAGAGCTCACGTTTAGTGTACCTTATGTTTGGCCTATCTAGGTAGTGGGTGGCGGCATCAACACGTCGATCGGACAGTCCTCTACTCCACAAACAGTAAGGCGCGCCTTGGAAGACACCGCTACATAGACGTAGTGCAGGGCGCGCCCAGATAACTCGCAAGTCGACGCCCTTCTACTTCTGCTATAAATGACTAGATTTCTGTGCTTATTACCTTGAGTATTTGGTGTCTCTCCCCCATCTGCGCATTTCCATCCGTCTTGGCTCTTCGCATCACTGGCCCAGCTAAGTGATCGTGTCTTGTTTCAGAGACTCTGACATCATCATCGACATCCCATTTCGTTCAGCCCTGGCTTGTAAAGCTCTCTGACCCGTCCATGTCGCACTCTAAGATGCCAAATGCAGACAGCTTCGAGCTTCCGGACACCTTCACTCATAATGGCTGGTCAATCAGATACCTAGCTCGTCAGAGCAACGATCACAGTCGGTCTGCCTCAGCAAATCCCTGGGTCGTCTTTGTGCACGGTACTCCGTGGTCCTCAGACGTCTTCCGGCCCCTCGCAAATGCCTTGCTGGCGAGTGGCAGCTTCAACGTCGTCCTCTATGACCTCCCCGGGTATGGGCAGTCACAGACACTCAGCAATTTCCAGCACGAGTCTGAGCCAGATACATCTGTGAAGGCACAGGCCGAGTCACTTGCAGCCTTGCTCCACCATCTCGACCTTGACGGTAAAGAAGAGAAGACAAGGCCCCATATTGTTGCGCATGATATCGCTGGGGTGATATCTATGCGAGCGCATCTACTGCATGGATGCGAGTATCGCAGTTTGTGTCTCTTAGATACAAATTGCGTGCTGCCGTGGGGTGATAAGCTTTACAATTCAGTTCGATCAAACCCGGCTGTTTTTGAACAGCTTCCGGCCGGTGTGTTCGAGGGAGCCCTGAGGGCAATCATCCAGAGCGCCCGAGCCAACAGCCATGGGCTCGACCGGCAATGGGAGGATGTGCTTGCGCGGCCGTGGCTAGCTGCAGGTCTTGCAGCCGATTCCAGCCGGGGGTATGATCCGCAAAAGAACTTTGTTCGGCAGATCAAGCAGTCCAGCGATAGTCATACTGCCGAGCTCCTTGACAATGGATTGTACTCCAAGGTCCGCTGCGACGTCAAAATTCTTTGGGGAGAGAAGGACGCATGGATCCCTTATGAAAAGATGCAGAGCCTTGAACAGCTGTTGGGAAATAGATTGAAGGGACTGGTGACGATTCCGGAGGCTGGTCATCTGATCATGCTTGACCAACCCGAAAGGGTAACCTTGGAGATCGTTCGGTGGCTAGGAATACAAGCTTGAGATTTGGCCAGCTACCTATTTATATCGTACTTATTACAATGTATCTTCAGAATCTGCCAGTGGCTTCGAAGCAGCGAATATAGGCATGTGGCATGAAACAGCACATTCGTCCCTTATAGCGCTTCCCGCTATTTGCAAAGGAAGCTTGTTGGGTTATGAAAGTCTGGGGAAATATCGTTTCCCAGCAGGATCGGCTGACTGCCATCTATGATTGTCCTTCACATACATACTAGATGTAACGATCAAGCAAGCTTCAGGTGGTTTGAATTTCGTAGGTTCCAAGCAGGATTCTTATGGTACCGCTTTCAGCTAGCTTCCTGTAGACAGAGAAAAGGTTGCAGTATTGCTTTTGTTTTCATAATTATGCGTGTCATACATCCTCTTCCTCAATAAATAATCTTGTGGCTATTTTCAATGTCTCAGGGCATCGCTCTCTCTGTGACGCGTGGACCCTGCTGTGGTCAACATTCAGTTTTGCTGGACGCACGAATCAATCGTGTGCTACACCCGTTTGTCTGTAGCCAGTGCAAACCAGAAGTACGCATTCTCAATTACTAGACCCCGCAAATGTCCACAACCAGGGGCCAAAAATACGTCTTGTACCCGTGGTTGACTCCGAGTCCATCGTCAGCGACGTAGGCAACTCTTTACCCGCAGCTTCTTTGACCACGAAGCATTCTACTTTACACGACGACGCCTCTCAAGTTTTCCGTCATTTTACAATCTCTCGACATCCTAAACAATTCTCCCCGTCCAGGATGTCTCAGATGACTCCCACACCATCAGTCGTTGCAGTCCAGGAGCCATCTTCGGCCGCAACTACTGCATGGAATGAATGGTACACCACACTCCTGATCGTTTACATATTCGGACTCGTATGCTCAATAGCCTCTCTCTCTGTCGCCGAAAATTTCGATACCCTAAACGATATATTTCAATGGCCGTTTGTCGGACTCCGCAACACCCGATTCGCCCTATCGCCCCAGGTGACTTACTCTCTACTGGCTCTGCTATGGCTCCCTCGGCTTGTTGTCTTCATGGTCTACTTTTTCGGATACTGCCTATATCATCTTGGCAGGTGGCTGGTTGGCAAGGATGTTCCAGCTCTCGGAACGACAATACCTCGTATGGGACAACCGCTCAGCGGACAGGAGGACAGCACAATGCAATCGCGTCAAGGCGATGCGGCGGAGCCCTTGTCGAGAAGACGTGATCCGAGCTGAAGGAGACTCCCAGACCATTGCGAAGGTAGAGGCAGGGCCAGGACGCGGAAGCGATGACGATGCTGTCCATACAAGTCGACCATCTTCCGTACAGAAGATAGCCGACACGATCAAGGTCGTGATGAGGAATGTGTTCAGAGGAGGAGGTCTCTGGTGAGTAGATACGACATGCTGCTTGTTTAGCCGTGTGCTCAGATCATTCGTTACTAATACAATTAGTCGACAAGGGGAAATAGAATACAGAATTCAAGGGAAGTGCGAGGCGCATTAAGATCAACATCTCTATCATGAAGCGATTCAACGGGCAACAATTGTGTCCTTGGGGCTCTTCAGTCATTTTGGACGGGATCAAATACGCTCAACTTGACAGTTGTCTACCATGAAAATCTGAGTTCTATAATTAATGAAGACTGTGGACGATATTTGAAGTCATAGCATACACATATTTCTCGTGTCGACTGCGCCTAGCTCTCTCCCTTCAAGGGCCTTCTGTGGCCTTTGGAAAAGGAACAGCTGTGGTTCCCGACACTAATACCGGGGTACCCGCTGCCTTCGCTATCATGTTTGATTGGCTTGCCACAGGGATGGGCTTCGCGTTACCGGCCAGTGAGGGGCCGGGAATACGATAAGTTGTCAAGTTGCTGTATATATCGATTCTGATGCCCGGATCGTCGGCGTGGTACATCTCCGTCGCAAGTTGCCCTGTCTCTCTTTTGTTCAAGGCTCTAGCCCTTCTCACTCCATCTTGAGGTAACCTAGCAGCAGCTCTCTTGCCTCCGCCAGCAGTCACCCACAGATTCACGCACTGGGGGTAGTTCTGCGCCCCATCCGTCCTGTTCGCATAATGCAAGGCTATGAGCTCGTGGCGCAGCACATAGGCCCCTGGGCTCAGCGTGGGTGGCAGCCCGACCAGCCAGCTGTTGTTGCTCGCGATCAGTGTGTTGGTGGACCAGAATCCGGGCGGGCCTCCACTTTCGTTGAAGAAAACAGGTGCAGCATCATCGATCTTGAAGAACTCCAGCTTCGTCTTGTCGACACTTGCGCAGCCGTCGCTGTTGTTGGTATTGGTAGAGTCGCAAGGGGCTAGGTATGAGAGGATCGGGCCGACGTGGGATGCTGGCCAGCCATTCCACTGCATGTGGATCTTGTCGCCCGGCGAGACGGGAACGTGTGCTCGTGCAGGAGCACCGTTCTTGTGGCAGATGATGTCGGGTGTGGTGTAGTTGGAGGGAGGGACGAATCCGTCGTCGAGAGCGGTCTGATACCAGCCTACCGCCTCGGGTGGGTTGTTTGCCCCAAGCCTGGGAATAAAGCCTGGGTAGGTGAGGCCGTTCACAGTGACATAGTCGATGTGAGAGTGTGCTGCTGCTATGCTCAGCAACTTCGCAGCCGCAAAAAGATAGAAAAGAAGCAAAGCCATCGCGCCGGTGTGAGTATACAAGCTCCGGCTGACGACATGGGACAGCTATTCTGAGGACATTCCAGGAGCAACGGATATTTCAAATCCAGAACTGCTATAAGATGATGAGCAATGTGCAGGGACATCATGTGTATCCACTGGAAGTCAACCAGCAGCCGAATTATTACAAACAGATTGCCTTGACCCTGGCGTAGATCTTGCCACATTTGCGATGCGGAGGATGAACAAGACTTTGGGTAAACGAGTTTCAAGCAAATCATATAATCCCTGTGACTGATCCGGGCCAAGGCCAATGTCGTTCTAGTGTTCTTCACTGTCCCACTTGGTCGTAAGAGAAATCTTCCATTGCTGCCTCTCGAGTTGGTGGTCTAACATGGGTTCTGAGTCTATGCCGAAACGTTGAAACGATCAATCTGCGCTGCACACTCTTCGTCACTGACGCGTTGTTGACCAAGCCTCTTGGGCTTCGGCTGATCTGCCGATCGACAAATGACAGCCGAGTTCAGCTGGCACATTGATGTGATTTCAAGGATCTCCTTGGAGAGGTCCAGGGGTTTGGAAGCAGCTGGCTCGGCGCTAAGACAGCGGCTGAATATGTTGCGGAGGATGACTGCCGTTATGAAGGATGTCAGGGGTCAGGTGAGCACCGCGAAACGGGTCTCTACAGTGCATGGGATATATGACAACGAGGTTTTGATATTAATCCCATACAGATGGCAGAGCCGAGCTGTTGGCCCACTTCACTAGCCTTATTCCGGTACCTTTAGCGTCTGTTGGCTGCGAGGTGCTTTTTCTTGATGGGGGAGACGCGGATCCGCTGGCGGATCGGTTCACCTAACAGATTTTGCTGGAGCATTTGCATCCATATATTGCTGCCTCAGAGCTGTCAAGATTGTTCAGTACTGAAAAATCATCTTAAGAACGAGGCTCTGAGCTAGGGCAGGTCACCAGTTTGTCCTACCTGGAGACGCAGGAGTCGGAACAATGCTGCACTCCACACAGCTGTCCGGTGTGCGTTAGTCAGTTAGTCACGTAACGTGGTAGGAGGCTTATCAGCGGCAGAACGTCGCCGCGGAACCCCTCACTTGCACTTGACTTGCTCTTGCATACCAGCACTGTGAGAAGAAAAAAAATGGGTGTGTGCTTCCGATCTCGCCAGGTCTGAGGGCTTTTCCCGTGCATATCTCATTGCCCTGTCATATAGAGGCTGGGATTAGTTCCTCAATCCAAATCCATATGCAATTCGTCCCGTTTCATCCCAGCCTTAATTAATATCGCGTTGTCCAGGGAGCTGTTACCGAGCATTGAAAGTATTCCGGGCCCAGGTCCGTAGACACCGGCGGCCATGCCCCGCTTCTCCTTGTCCCGGCCGGATATCCACCTGCCATTGCCGAAACCTCTTCGCGCCCTTCCTCCGGCCGTGGTATGGCAGATCCTGCTTCTCATCTCGGTCAACATCATCATCTGGGTCGCCATCGGTATCATCCTACACTTCTACCCGGTCCTTATCTCATCTGCTGTCCTATCTTATACCCTGGGCCTGCGCCATGCTCTCGATGCCGACCACATCAGCGCCATCGATCTTATGACCAGGCGTCTAATCGCCGCCGGCCAGCGCCCCGTCAGCGTCGGCACTTGGTTCAGTCTGGGTCACTCCACCATCGTCGCCATCACCTGCGTGGTTGTCGCGGCCACGAGCGGCGCGCTGAGGGACCGCTTTGATGGTTTCCAGAGGGTCGGAAACATCGTCGGTACGAGCGTCAGCGCCGCTTTCCTGCTCATCTTGTGTGCAGGCAACGCCTGGGTTCTGTTCCGCCTGGTCAAGAGGCTGAGGACGTTGCTCGAGGGACAGCGCCAGCAGATCAGAGACGGCGAGGAGGCCCGGGGGCCTGGGGAAGAAGACGCCGCGGCTGGGCAGCTGTCGCTCGAAGGCGTCGGCTTCTTGGCCAATGTATTTCGGAAATTGTTTCGGATTGTTGATCGGCCATGGAAGATGTATCCGCTTGGTGTGATGTTTGGCCTGGGTTTCGATACCAGCTCCGAGATCGCCATCTTAGGAATTGCCAGTATCCAAGGAGCTGCTGGCACGAGCTTGTGGCTGATCTTGGTGTTTCCGGTTCTGTTTACAGGTAAGTTCTTACCACCGTTGCAATAAGAATGTGCCACAGTCTCTAACAATGCTTTCAGCCGGCATGTGTCTCCTCGACACGACGGATGGAGCTCTCATGATGGCCCTGTACACTTCCAAGGCCTTTTCGCGGGACCACATCGCGATTTTATACTACTCCATCGTCTTGACCGGGATTACAATTGTCGTGTCTGCTTTCATTGGAGTCATCCAGGTCCTAACGCTCGCGTTGAACGTCGCTGAGCCGGAAGGCAGCTTCTGGGACGGCGTCGAAGCCATTGGGGACAACTTCGAGATCATCGGTGGCAGTATTTGTGGGCTTTTTCTCGTCGTAGGACTGGGTTCTGTGATCGTCTACCGACCCTGGAGAAGAAGGATAGACCGAAGAGCACTCTTGAGTGCTTCACCAGATGCAGCGTTTGATGGTGAGGCGAGCGACCCCAGGGAACCGGAAGGCGAGGCAGGGCAAACGGACCATCGTGCCGGGGCGTAAGATGCTGTTTATTCCAGCCACACTCTTATCCGAATGGAGGTCCGCAGCGCAGCAGAACTCAATGAATCAAGACAGGTAGAGCTGTCAACCCATTTAATGTCTTGGGCCAAACTTATTTTCCACGCAAGACTCGGATGACCCGAATTGGACTCGGATTTTCCGAAGGGGCTTAAGTGGAGTTCCCGCTCGATGTTGCAACTCTAGCCAGCACACCCTCCCGCCACCACCACAGACCAGCATATGTAGCCCCAGGTCCAAACAAGGCTTGCCCGGTAATGGCCCCAACGGCCGCTTTCTTTGTGTCTGTGTTCGTTATCATACCGCGTCTTCGAAGATCCCATACTGTGTATAACCCGAAGCCCAGCGTTGCGCCAGCATAGAGTGCAAGAGTGGAATACTTTTGTCCAGGGACAATGGGATACGTGAACAAGCCGCTCAAAACAGCTGTAAGCCGTTGTTGGCTTTTCGGCGTTTTTATGAAATTGCATGTGACGGTGTACATGTGTTGCGCGGCTTGAATGACAAATGACACCGCATAGGCCGTTCTCAACGAGGACAGCCGTTTGTTGCTGTCCTGATTCCCAGATGTCCTTCTCATTTCGGATGTTGGCTTGTTCGATCTTAAGCCCGGATCAAGTTTGGGGTGGTAGTGCCGTATCATACTCGATATCAGCGTCGTCAAGAACGGCACAGAAACTGGAGCTAAGAAAAATGCGTAGGTTACAGCACTTTGAATATTGAAGATAGACATTGACACTCCAGTCGCTGTCAATGGTACCAGGCTAATCAGGGCCGTCGGAACAACGTAGCCAAGTATGGTGGCCGGTAGGATGGCCTTTGCCACTTCTGGAGGGACGGCTTGACCTTCTGGGGACGAAAGATAATGGCCTGTGGTCATGCTGAAGAGATAGTATATTGGTGCGATTCTTTCGATGCCGCTAATTTGTACGGCTGCTCCAGCGAGCGATTGCCTGACGGAGACGAAGCTAGTCAGTTGAAAGTCTTCTATACGCTTGGCCATGTACTCACAATGCCAGTGTAGCCATCGAGCTGCCTCCACGGTGGCCTTCGACCGTCCATATCAGCACAGGCGATATCAAGTTGGAGACAAGATACGACCCCTGCAAGCGGTTTCTGGCGTCGCTGCCGAAGAAGGGAAACACCAACGCATGCACCCCTCGCAGGCCTTCATTGCGTGTGGAAAGCCAGTAGGCCAGGCCCATACACCCGATTGTAGCTGCTTTTGGTATCCATACAGGCAGTTGGCCCTCTATTGGCCTCGTGGGTAGCGCATTTGTAGGGGTTGTCGCGCCCTGCCTTGCTGATGTTGACGACGCTTCTCCGCCCACGCGATCCGCCCTAGACGAGGCGTACGACATGGCAATTCTGGGCTGTATCTCGTCAGGCCTCGCTTTCAGCCGCGACCTAGGTTGTGATGTGAGACAGGCAATATATCTTGGACTGGCTGTGCTGTTTTCTTTGCGGAGGGCATGGGTGAGTGCCGCTCGGGAAGATTCGAATGACGCGCCATGCCCAGCTTGGCAGGGGAGGGACTTCCCGTGAGTCCAGCCAGGGGCAACCCTGCCGATAAAATTTTTGAAAAATCAGCATCACATTCCATCAGACGGTCAAAGAGTCAACAAAGATCAGTCTCATATCTCCGTGCAAACCCAATATTCTGTCCTCATAAGACAGGAACGTCAGGGCTTGGCTGGGTCATGATCTTCTGCAGGCGAGCGTGACCTTCCCTGTACACATCTTTCAGTGTGCAAATCCACGTTGGAAATACTTTCCATAGAAATAATTCCTGTAAATGGGCAGGGTTTACTTGCATCGTTCTGAGAGCTTCTCACTACCTCGCAAACATTCTGGGCTCGCTGCAGGGTGTGGCTCAGCCCCTCAGAAAATATGAGCTGGAAAGACTTCAAGAACAATCGAGCAAGGCAGTGAGATCGGAGCCCAAACGGAACATTGACCAAGGTATTTCTGAGAAGGTACAAATGTAGCTCTCAGATCCATATATAGAACACGAAAAAATACAAGTCTACCCCGTCACAGACGCACAGCAGAGTGTGAATACACATAAAAGAAGCAGCTCTTTTCGTGAAGTCTCCTTTCTTCATCAAAGTTCCATCAGTCTTCTAGAGGTATCAAGTCTCCCAACGCCGTAAAGTGCTTAGATAAAAAGGATCTCGAACGCATCTGGGGTCCACCCAGCCGTGAATGAAAGTAAAGAATCCCGCCACTGAGAAGACAACTCTATAGAACAATCCTTCCGTATCTAAATGAATGCCAAAGCACATCCTAGAACTCCCAGGATGACCGAAGTACCAACACGGCTGACACTCAGCTCTGCAGCACTGGCGGCAGCCGCCGCTGAAGATGAGCCTGAGGCAGCTGACGAGGAGGATGAGGAGCTGGACGAGCCACTGGAGCCGTCGGAAGAAGAGGAAGATGACGTCGAAGAGGATGAGTTCGCGGAGGTAGCTGACGATGAGCTAGAGTTAGTCGAGCTCGAACCGTTTCCGAAGGGAGCACCACCAGATATGCCAGACGCACCGCCCGTCGCCGAAGGGCGGACAGACGTGACACCAGAGGCATTCACGGGCGCGCCGGTGGGGACAGGAGAAGTGGGCAACGAACCGGCCTCCATGGACGACGTGGTGTCGGAAGAGCTCGTGCTGGTGGTGTTGACGTCGGTGTCGCCCAGCACGATCGAGTCGTATGAGCCAGTCAGGTCGCCGTAAGTGTACGACTTGGCCGGGTTGTAGTTGGTGATGGAGACACTCTTGATGTAGGCGGTAAAAGGGCCGTCGTCGTAGTCGGTCTCACCGCCGGCCCACTCGATTGTGCCCTCGGAGTTGCTCGAGTCGCCTCCAGCCCAGATTCCTAACTTGACGCGCATCGGCGTCTGGGGGTAGTTGGAGCCGCCGTTGGCGTCTGCGTACGCCAGGGTGCGGACAGACTCGCCGTCGATCATCCAGATCGTGCTCTCTTCGGTCCACACAATGGTGTAGTTGTGGAAATCGGACTGCGAGTCGGCCATTTGGACATATGTCTCACGGTCGTAAGTGGTCGTGTTCCCCTTACCGAAGTAGTTGGTCTCCACTTCAGTTGCGGTGCCACCAAGCCACTCCCAGTCAATCTCGTCGAGGTCATCGGACTCAAGAATCGCCGAGGACACAATGCCAGTTCCTGGCGCAGCCTTCATCACAACGGAGACAGCACCAAAGAAGATATAGAAGTTAGACTGGACTGTAGGAGCATCACCGGACTTCGAAATGGTGTAGATGGCGCCGTTGGTGTCATCGTAGGTGATAGTTCCGTAGGTGGCGTTCCAATCACTGCTCTCTCCCTGAGTGAAGTCGACACTGTACGATGACTGGTCAAGACCTTGGTCTGCAGAGCACGTCTCTGTTTGCGCAGGTTAGTACCAATTTGCGGTCATGTTGCATACAAGCTCAGCAGGGGGGAAATGGAGTCTTGCGAGGGGGCTGAGACTGACTCTCTGTAGGGTTGCAGCTCGTCGATGTCTGCGCTGCCACTGCGGACAGAAGCGAGAGGACAGCCGCAGCTCCTATGGTAGTATGCATCTTGTTAACGAGAAAGAATGTATATCAGGGTATTTTTCTGATGAAGAAAAGCGAGTCAAAGAAGGGCGTTGGTTGTGGGAAGCGAGTGAGGTGGATTCCCAAGTCGAAAAGACTTTAAGGAGTCAATGCACTAATTTAATTCACTTGCAAAACAGAGAAACGAAACCAAACGGAAAAGCTATTCAGCTGAGAGAAGCGAGTAAACAAACGCATTTAAGAGAGTGGTTGGAAGACCTGATCATTGATTCGATTTGGTCCACTTTTGATGCCGCAGTTAGACAGCTTACGCAAGGCCTGGGATTCCTCGCTCGTGATGGCAGCGGCTATCGGCAGGGGACATGATGGAGTCGCAAACACGCGGTACGCAAATGAGCCCCTGCGTCATGAACAGCTGGCTTCGGGTCCCCTGAGATACAGCAGTACATACTCCGGTTTGTGGCGGGAGGGCCCATTATTTCCAGGAGAAGCTTCGAGGACAGCGCGGCAGTGCGGCGACAAATAGGGCCGCTAGTGACGGAAATCCAATCGACCCTGCCAAGACTGCGCCTCCCGAGACGTCACCCCAGTGAAAATCGGACGAATCGGTGGCTTACGACGCATCTTGCTAACAGACGGACAACCCGGCAGAGCAGACGGGGCCACGCATGATCTCCTGATTTGGGATCTGGTAGTGGCTGGGGAACCCGGAATGGACAGTCGGGCAATTGTAGGGTCCTTGGTGGGTCACTGTTGGTCCGATCGATTTTATGTGAGGAAGATCATGGGATGGCTATGGACCCACTGGTTCCTCAATGCCGGGTGCGAAAACTGATCAGAGACATAGATAGGTTCTCAAGTGCTTTCCAATCAGACATTTAAATGCAGAAGCATCAATTTGTAGAAATTTTATCATATCGCCGGCTGAAAGTGCGATGATATCTGTTGATGAGGCTGATGGCTTGGAAGGTTGCAGCCCGTGCGGCAAATAAATTGACACATGCGTGCGCTGCTCGCAAATCGATAATAACGCAGGTTCCGGTTTGACGCACGAGCCCGAGCTAACCGGTTGACAGTCAGGAACATATCGTTTTCATCCGCACGGGAAGTTTACGACAGTCCAGGATTCACAATCATTTCTCTACTTCTTTACATATGAGCCCGTCGCCGTACTCATCGTGGGAGATGTGAGTTCTATTTCAACATGGTTTTCAAGTCTGCTCCGAAATATCTCTTCTCAGCTAGCATGGATCCGTATAATTACATGCTTCTTGTGTAAGGCTGGCAGAAGCCTGCATTTCTCCTGCATTGCGATTTTCCATATAGGCATAGCTCGGTCCTAGGTATAGAGTAACTCTGGAATCTTTGGATAATAATATCGGTCTTAAGGAAGTACAAGGTAGCAGTCTATAGCCTATATGGGTAGGAAAATATATCGAATCACGAACGTTTACAGGTCTCATAGGGGCATGCTTTACCTTCGACGGCAAAACAAGCACAAATGTAGTTTCAACGACTTACGGAGAAAGTTTGTCAATACCGTCACCTCCTATTGTATAGAGGAATGCTCGGGAGATATTCCAAGCTGTGCAGCGTGTGTCGAAAGGTAATTCCCAAGAAACGGTGGACTTCCGCATTGAGGCCAAATATTAAAGGCAAGTAAGTCCTCAGTGGTCAATCTTGAACCCCTCGAACCATGGATCCAGCATTTGCTTTGCCGCAACAAGATCGCTAGTCCGTGAAACAGGCACGCTTGACATCGGCAGTCACAATATCAGAGCGTGTGTTTATTCCATCATGCGTCTTTACACTTTGTACCAGCCAGCAGTGGTGGGACCAACCTCCACGCTAGCGATTCTGTCTCATCACTCAGCACTGGGCTATTCGCATATCAACTGCAAAAGCTTAGATTATCATGTCGAGGTCAGTTGGAGCCACCAATGACAACAAAAGAATTTCCTTTAATTCGAGGATCTGGCGTATTGGAGCTGCTGCTATGGGAGATGCCTCGAGCGGCTGAAGATTGAGGTGTGATCGGATTAATCTCATCCTGCCGGCAGAGACGGCAGCCCAGCATAGACACCCTCATGCGTTTAAGCTCAGGCACACTTTCTCGATGCTACACTGGACATGTGGTGAGTGAGCTTTGACCTGAGAATGCCCAAACCATATTCTCTGAATTCTTGTTTGCAGTCATCGATGACGGAAAACACCAATCACCCTTGATAGAAATGTATATCTCCTGTACAACGGAGTTCCGACCCGACAGGGTATAGTGGAGACATCTCTGGACTGGTTATTGGTTCTCATATGAGAAGAGATTAAATGATTGAAGTACCCGCCTGCTTTCCTGGTTCAGGAATCATTGAATGGAGCCACATTTGCGAAGTCAGACAGTCAGTGTGCGGAGGAGGACAAGGAAATCTACAACGGCGGCTTGGGCTTCTGGTCAGACATGACAAGTACGGTATGTTCACTTCATGACTCCTTGTCACCCCGTCCCACTCAGCGGTTGCGGGTGCCGCGGAACTAGGCTCAGGAACAAATACGCCGGAAGCCTTCCGGTCATCAATTCTCATGCTCAACGCAGCATTCGGGGAGGCAATTCCATGACTGTCGTATACAAGAATACATCTATGTGTCCGTAGAGTGATTGGTGATCACCCTCCATTGATCGGTCCAGAACAATCGCCGACGAGGTGAATGGATATCTGGTTGAACCTTCCCAATTGTGACGTGAGTTTCCCAAGACTCCAGATCGCGGTCAAAGCACGAGTGGTCGTCAATGCTTTGTAGATCTCAGCAGGTTCGAATCATGGTAGCCCGTGTCATTATTTATCTAAGTTTGCAATGATTGCGTCCTGAATGCTCGTGCGTTGGGGTTGAGATGAACCTAGGTGACATGAGCATTGGTCGAGATTGAGTTTTGATGGCATGCGAATGGCACTGGTTTGATACGACCCTACCTCACCATTTTACGGCCAAACCATTGAGAACAGTCGCACACATACATGCTTGCGTCGTATTCGTGTCTACACAACAAGACGTCCTCCGGAGTCAAGGTTGGCTTGGAGTCTGGCCTCAGTACTTAGTGAGCAGACCTACTATACATGCGCCGTGTAATATTTATGGCCTGCAAGTTTTTCCTAGTCTGCACTCTGCAGAACTGCTGCAGTTGAAAGAACCTGTTCGGTCACATAGGTAACGAGACTATCAAATGTTACAACATGAACCTCAAGTGCTCTTGGGTAGTGCAGAGGCGAGAAAGATGTCATCGAAATGAAACCGTCACTGATATTCACTTTTGCGACCCCGCATTGTCACCCAACACCAAGTCCATCAATGCGCACATGTCACTTTGCACAGACACCATCTAAGCTCTTATTGCGATCTCCCTGTCCTTGCGATTCAGTGAGGAAGCGGACGGGTTTCCTCGCATGATCTTTACGCAAAGTGAGGCCTGATAAAACGGAACCTTCCGGTTCCGTGGCTACAGATGGCGTTGAAGTCTTGGCCTCGCACCTACCCATGTCTGACCTTTGGTTGACAGATGTTTTCAGCCGTCCGGAGAATTTCCATGCATGGCGTTGCCGACAACTCTGGATGACATTGGGGAAACGACACCAAATAACATGGTGGAAGACGAAATCATCCATGAGATTCCGGATACAAGGTGGACAACTTCGATATGGAGCGAAGCCGACATACCTCAGAAGAAGAAACCAAGCCTTGTCCAGGGTCCTTGGGAACACGGCCGCATGTCGGGGAGCCGAGTAAGGGTGACAGATGAGAAAAGTCGTGGGATACGCCACAAAACGGATAAAAACATTCTCGTTATCTTGGTCTGGGTCTACTTTCTCCAAGTAACGTCCTTGCAGTCCGGGCCACACTCGAGATCGGTGACTGACAGAGCCTACAGAGCCTGGATAAAACGGTTGTTGACTACAGTACGATCCTTGGATTCCAAGGCGACCTGGATCTAGTGGGCAATCGGTTCTACTGGGTGGTCTCTATTGTTCTCATCGCTCAGCTGGTGTGGCTACCTTTCTCCGCGTTCTTGATACTGAAGTTTCCGCCGAGGACCTTGTTGCCAGTTATGTTGTTTGGCTGGGGGATTGCACAGGCCTGTACACCAGCCGCTTATCACTTCGGAGGACTTCTGGCCGCCCGGTTCATGCTGGGTATTTTCGAGGCTGCCTGTCTTCCTCTTTTCGCAATCATGACCGGAGCATGGTACCGTCGAGTAGAACAACCATTACGCGTCGCGGCCTGGTATGGAACGAATGGTCCGGCGATGATATTTTCTGCCGTGCTCTCATACGGATTCGGAAAGATCAGATCACCTCACATGGAACCGTGGAAAGCGTGAGTCTGGATTGAGACATTTGAAACGCTGCTGGGTCACTAATATGGCGACAAGCATGTTTCTATCCACTGGCCTGATGACTATCTTCACCGTTCCAATCTTATACTGGAAGCTTGAAGACAACATACAGACCGCATCATTCTTTTCAGAAGACGAGCGAGCCATGGCCATCGAACGACTGCGAGCGAACCAAGCAGGTTCTGATTCACGCGAAATTCGATGGAGCCAGATTTCCGAGGCACTCAAGGACGTCAAGACGACTCTGTTCTTCATCATGTCACTCGCCAACAGCCTTGGCTCCCAGGTACCAAATACCTTTGGGCCCTTGATGCTCGATCGTTTGGGTTACGATGAGCACACTACCTTGCTTCTGAACATCCCATTTGGGGCGTTGCAGTACATCGTTGTCCTCGGAGTCTCCTGGTTGGCTACAAAATTCCGTTGGAAATCTTTGACACTGGGCAGTGCCTTGGTGCCAGTTATCACAGGCCTTGTCATTTTATTTGCGCTTCCTCAAGATACGACGAACACGGCGGTGTTTTTAATTGGCTACCACCTCCTCTCGTTCATATTTGGTTGTAATACCCTAATACTGTCCTGGGTACTGGCCAATACAGCTGGACAGGCCAAGAAATCCGTCACCGTGTGCTTCTACAGTGCTGCCTCGTCGACAGGCAGCATACTCGGGCCCTTGCTATTCAAAGCCAGCGATGCACCACGATACGACTTAGGGCTGAAGATCACGCTTGGCGTGTATATTGGAATATTCTGGGCGGTAATAGTACAAGTGGTCAACCTTGTGCTCCTGAACCGGGCCCAGGAAAGGAGAAGAATCAATCACGAAAAGCCAGCTCGTCTACACGACAGTTCGATGGAGGAAAGGTACGTGGATATCATTGAAAATAATCAATACGATGTAGGGAACTTTGCGTTCGCAGATTTGACGGACAAGCAGAACGATGAGTTTGTTTACGTGTATTGAGAGCGTGGATGAGTAATTAAAGACTCAAATAGCTGAGCATCTGGCCTTCGTCATGATTGGAATGGTCCATTGTCTCCACTTGTCAATGACAGTTCGAGCTCACGAAATCTTTGATCTCGACATAATCAAGGAGGATTAGAAATACTTGCCTTTTTCACTCATATGAGACGAAAAGAAATGTGAACCTCAATGCTTACAAGCAGATCAACATGGAGGCTGTGGTCACAGACATTGAAAATACCCCTTCCTGTCGAGGTTGTCACAATATTGTCCTCCACTTAATATTAGGTCATAACATGATTCCGGAAGCAACCTACCTTCCAATTGTGGATTTACTCAATTCCTATTATAACCATCTGCCACAGTGGTCACCGAAATATTCTCAAAAGTGTCGAAATTAAGAAGCTGTACTAGATACTGGGTCTTAGCGCTGAGACAGGTGGTCGCTATGGATGATCCCCCAGCAGCGATTTTGTTCGCCCATTACAGTATCGTAGGTAGGGGTCAGATTTCTTGCCTTACCGCCTCGATTTCCAAGTGTGTATGCATAATCTAATCTGTACTATTCCCTGACCAGACACAAGAAATTATCACAGCAGATAGGGTATTCTCATTGCAGTGGCTGGACTGAGACGAGTATGAGGGCATTTGTTGAGTAGGTTATCCTCGCACCACACAACGTGTCATCATATTCAATGATGATACATAGACTAGAGCTCGAGATATGGTCAGAGCGCATCTAAGCAGTAAGTAGTATCAGCTCGTCAGTATCTAGGATCAGCCAAAACCAGTTAGGATGACAGCAACGACGACGATACTGAAGACATGAAGTTGAAATAAGCTTTTATGGATCTAGACACAATGACCCGCATATAGACACCATGGATCCGTAGTAAACGTCCCGGTGCTCTGGGAAGACAGCTGCGGGCCTGCGGGTGAGAGGCAGGGAAAGGGTTGTCCGGAATTCCCGGTTGTTCTTCGGAATCGACAGCCGTATCAGGGCAGACTGTCGAGTGGAAGGTGGATGCAGGATGACTACTATGTCCTCTCAAACAAAGACTATTGCTAGATTTCATACGAGTGAGTTGGCTCATCGGCAAAGGTTTACAAGATGGGAACCTCAAGATGGGAGGGGAGGAGGCTTGGCTATTCCCGACATGGTCCGCGCACAACGCTTCCATCACACAAATTTACAGCTTATTATGGCGCATGCTTTAATGCTGATGCCACCCCAAAAAAGAGTTGAGCAAAAGGGAGTTCAAAAACTTTGAAAAACATGAAAAAGGAAGGTCCTATTGGGATTCGAACCCAAGTTCCCGGAAGGATACTGATGAAGGGAATCAGAATCCGATGTGATGACCAGCTACACTATAGAACCCTTAGTGCAAGTTGCAGCGGAATCAAATTTCTTGATCCATATAGCTCATTCATGCTGTGGCGTGCAAAGCTCCAGGGCAGCGCATGTTATTTGATCTCTGCCTGATCATTCATTGTTTTGTTACAGCTGTTCCATTTTCGAAAATATCAGGGCTTGTGTGATTGAGCTTTCAATGTTGAACAAGTGCCAGATAAATTTACATCAATCGAGATGCCGCACAGTCCGTATTCGCCGAAACCGGGGTCACTTGGGAAAAATTGTTTGCCCATTTGCACACTCGTCAAACTGGTGCTCGCAGGCGTCTTGGCATCACACAGTCCATTGCCGCTTGTTGTCGACCACCAGCTGTTCAGAGTCACGACAGGGCAGATGCTGGGAAATGTTGCTCGTACACATCCACAAAAAAAAGCCTTCTCAATCTAATCATGATCACCAACACGCTGCGGGGTACGTGAAAAAAATGACGTCTCGTCAAATGCTGAGGAGTCCATCCGTTTGGCCCAAATAAACTTTTCCTACCGCAGTAGCTTGCCTTCGCAGAACTTGGAACCGACCACCACATTTCAGCGACAATACTGCTGCAGCCCAGCATGGTCAATAACACGCGGCACCTGTCCGGAATATAAGCATGCAACCATCGGATCAGGGCTCCGGAATTGGCAACTGCATTGTTGTCGGGCAATGCGTGGGTGTCTGAGATGGAGGGGCTTTTTCACGCCACATCGTCGGTATGCATTAACACTCGGTCATCGTACATGTAAAAGGCGGTAACGTCAAGGGCAAGGGCAAATTTATAGGTATCTATGCACGCTCTGCCGATGCCAGGCTGCTGCAAGTGCTGGGTCCCGTTGGCATTGGATACTACGTTGAAGGTAAACACTCGTCAGGGCAAAACGAGCTAAAGTTAGGGGAAGTGGTCGCAATGCCTGTCCATGTAGCACATTCGGACCGCCCCACGGAGGCTATAGCAGCATCTATTGACAAGGAGTCACAGCCTTCTTCTGTCACCCTGGCTCGCCTGGCACCGCATCAAATGCCCTGAATAGTGACCGGTCATCGCGCGAACTCGTCGCATTCGCTACAGTGTAAAACATGTGCCAGGGGCAGGACTGCATCGTGGTATTAGCCTCATGGGTCACGTCGCGTTGATGTCGCCATGCGAATTACACAGTTACATGGCGCTCTCACGAATGGCCACATCACTGCGTAAACCGCCCGAGTGATATTACAATTAACGCATATGCCAATCCTCATTCCTTTGATCGTACATCAGAAACCTGCAGACATTGATAAAAAGCTGCTCTGGGTATCTCTCTAAGCGCAGATGGGTCGCTCCGTAGACGCATTACAGGAAAGCCGCCATTCCCGCCAATGATACCGAAAAGCCTTGACCAAACGGTTCGTTATCCGTGATATTGAATCAACGCTCGTCACCGCCATGAGATGACTCGGTGAGCCAACTCTGATGATCCCGCCTAAGCTTCCTGCCGTTGTCTACTGTCTCAACCTCCACCGTGGTCTCAGTGGTGACCATGATGTCGTGGGGATTCTGTACCTTGCCGGCCGGAGATGGCCCGCCCGTTATGACCCTCGAAGGTGCCCGCGCCACAGCATTGTTTGCAGATACTTGTGACGTGGCGCGATGGTTGGCAAAGTGAGCCGGTTCAAAGTAGGCTGGACTAGTCAACTCTTCCTGGCTGCTCGTAATCCCGACAACTTGAGCCACCTCTAAGTCCGCTAGACCGTATATCTCGACGGAAGGTGCGATATGGGAACCGGTATCCCGGGACGACTTCTTCGTGCCAAAGTACGCAGCGTTATTCTCGGGTGCGCAGTATCGGTCCATGTTTCCGTACGAGCTCTTGAAGACGCGGGGGAACCATGTAGCCAGCAGGGGTCGTAGTGTGATGACACATGCGCATGCGATTGCGACGTTGACCTCGATGACACCGAGATAGGTAATGGGAGCCTCATTCCAGGACGTGTCCACGTTGAGGAGAGTCGTCTTGAGAGTAAATATACGAGCGAACGCGACAACACCGGTACTGCCCAAGATGAGATTAGATGCGCGAACAATTGAATACCGCAACACATTAAACACTTACCAGAAACCCACGCCGAACAACACAACGAGCACAGTCCTCTGCTTTTTGTCTAGTTGCAGAGCCCATGTGGCAGGTATAGGCGCTATAACGACTGCGAAGTCTGTCACAAGACTGACCGATGAGGTAAGTAGCCAGACTGTAAGACTTGGCAAGCAAATATTTGTGAGGTTTGTGTTCAACTGTGCCATCGGCGTACAAGCAAACGAAACAAGGAATATTGTGACAATACACCAGATTGGCACGAATATCATGAGCCACCGACACACGGCTGCCGTGCGGGTTCCTCTGAAGATTCGGCGATACTGGAGTAGTAAAGAAACCTTTGCAACCGTCTTGGCGACATTGAACATAACTTCATTGGCGAGCAGGAGCTTGATGCAGGTCAGAAGTTAGTATCAAGAGAATGGACAAGGTTCGGATGCTTATACCTCTAGTTGTTTAGTTCGATCGCTCAGTGAGACCATCCATGTATGTCTTCCCAGGCCATATACCGCCTCTGAAGCCTGTTGTCAGCTTTCAAGCACTTGAGGACGGACCGGGGGGGGGGGGCACTAACGCAGTATTGTGATGATAGAGAGACCGATGGACAATATCTGAATAGGGAATAAGCTGCTGGCCAAATGAACTCCATGGTTGACTGTTGGACATAATTACCTGAGCAACACCTATCGATATGTCGTCTAAACCAGCTGCTTTGATGACCCTGTAGCGCGTGTGCAGCCGGAGGAGAACCAGTGTTGCTGAGAACAGCACGAGGACGACTGAGATGGCAATGATTACTGGCACCTGCGTCTGGGCATCAAGTTCTGGAAAGTCGCCAGGCTCTGGCAGGTCTGTCGTGAGGCCAGTGAGGCCACTCGCCGCTGGCAAGTCGGGCTTCTTGGTTGTGGATGTCATATCGCCATCGTCTCACAAAGCGGTAGAGAGAAGCAATCCACTTTGTCTCGGCCTATTGTCCCTGCGGGGCGCATCCGTAAGATCAAATAGTACTTACGGTCTTCGGGCAGCGAGATGAACAGTGGATCGTTCAAAGAGTCGAATGAAGCCAATGCACATGTGGCTCAGGATCACCCGTGCCGTCCCTTTTGTAATTCAGCACAGGAAAACTATGCATTGATCATGACATGGCCTACGAACATGCAGGGAAGTAGTCAGAACTGCCAGCAAGGGGCCAGCATGGGGTAAGTCATGTTGAACGGAGTACTTCGGCGATGACGAATAGCCCACTCTGTCGTATCCATAGCAAACACATGGAAGCATTCCCAAGTGGGATTCCAAATTTCCGCCTGGGACAGCAGGACAATTGGCAGCGGAACCGAGATTCGTTAGGGATGCTCCTGTCGTCGACGCCTAAGTCAGCGCTGACTTGTGGGAACGCTGGGAGCACGCATCCCGTCTGTTCATCCGCACAGACTCGGGAGATGACGTCCCCGGGAGGGGCGGCTTGACGTTCGACGGGTACAACCTTGGAGGAAGCATGGTTTGGAGCACACTTGCAGAAGGGCCAAAAAGCTCTATGAATAAGGTTTCCAGAACTGGATGGATCGGGCATCGATCGGCGTTCGCATAGGATGATCGGCGTCGTGTTCACAGGTTTAGAACAGCGCAAGCTGCGAGGAGAGTGGTGAAGGAAGCCAAGCGCCTCTTCACCGATCCAGGAAGTAGTATCAAGTTGAAACTTTCTGTAGAAGATCTCGCCTGTACAGAACATTGGAGGCGAAAGACTGGATGAGAGCTATCCTGGAGGGCAATTGCTCATTGGTCCTTAGACATGCTAACGCGGAAAACTCTCCACCTCCCGTAGTGTGCAACACAGACATTGGGTGCCGTTTTGGGCACTTCTTAGGCCCCTCTTAAGGAGAACTAGTTCCAGGGTCTTGAAACTCAGCGCATGCGAGCCGGCAATCAAGAGTCTGCTCTGTGCCCAAATCTATGCCTAGGCATATCGTGAGCGGTTTTTTGGTGCATATTGTCTCAGCTAGCCCCCAGCAATGGGAATGTACAAGCAGAGAAGGCCACTGGATACATGAAAGACTAGCAATTGCCTTGTAACATTGTATCAAGATTCATTCTATGTTTGACAGACGTGGACAAATCAGACGGGCTGGGTTGGTCAATAGTCCTCTTGTACTATGATATGTATTGTCTTGTGTGCATGTGGGGCAATTCCCTGACCGAGAGGACCCTCACGGCCTGCTTCTCGCTACGAGATCGGACGCCACGCCTTCGGTGACTGAATTTCCCCTGAACTTTTGCAAGCCGTGGCGCCTTGGATCACGCCCGTGCTCGTCTGATATTCAGCACTGTAGATCTTCGCAGAGTCTTTGTCCAGTGGAGCATGGTCGCGCAAATTGAATATTGTCGGCGGAGACCTCGATTTTCACATCTGCCGGCGCGGCTGTCCGTAAAAGCTCCATAATTGGGGTGGGCCAAGAAAAAAATATTGCTGCTAATACGACCGGAGCTCGCACCTCAATTGATGAGGTTCACGGTCATGTGATGACTTGGTGGAACAAATGCTATCGCTCGGACTTCGCACGTACACTGTATTTCTGCCGCTTCTATCGGCAAACATGACTGCACCTTGGTGGCGGCTAGAAGCCGGGAAAGTAGTCGAGACAGCGAATCGATGCTGAAAGACTGATAAGGACCATCTGCAAGCACTAGCTCCGTGCCGTGCCAGGGCCAATTGACTTTGGTAGTTAGTATGAACACCAAACTGACCGCTTGAAAGTAGGCTTTCTCATGCATGACCAAAGTGACCAACCAGTCTCCAGAGGTCGGGAGGAGGAAGAAGCAAGCTTTGGGCGGGCCTCGGCCCCTGTGTCAGGTCTTGGCGAGCTTGATACATTATTGAACACTCACATCACAGTTAGTAAGAAACTTCTGCCAGTTCTTTAGGGGCACAGGCAGACAAAACAGGGCCCATGATAATGATTTTCAGGGTGCATGAGCACCTACCGCCAAGATTGGGCCGCACCGCAGTCAAGGCCAGTGTCAGAGCCTATCTCCAATCACGATCCTCAAAGCGACTAGTAGCAAACCTAGGCTAGAGATCTCATGTATGTGCCTGAGCAGTGGGGCCCGCATATATAGCGTTGGGACCAGTGGTTCGGTGGCTTTCGTAAGGTTCAGAGCTTGCTCATCGACCGCTCAGACAACAACAAAAAGAGATTAATAAGGCGCAGGATTGCTAGTACCAAGCTCCTACACTACAGCTGTTCAGGCCCCGGCTTGCAGATTCCGCACTCCCCGCTGTGATCTGCCCCTCCACCACAGGCACACTACACCCCCCCAGAACCCCCTGGAATCTGAACTGCCGGGGTTGGCGCACGCCTACATGTACAGTAGGCTGCCGTGCTGGGGCGGCGCGGGAGGAGCGGGAGGAGCCCCTGACCCCTCCCGGGGCCTTGGGCGGACATTCTTTGCAGAGGTTGCACAGTCAGCTAATATCTACAGTACGGAGCACTGCGTCGAAAGCGGCCTCGGTGGGAAGATCTCGGTTCGGCAAGGCGGCCGTGCCTTGTATCCCTGAGGCTCAAGGGTGATCTCCTTGGCACGGTTGGTAATCCCCGTCACCAGTCGTCCGTGCTTGACATGGTTGGTCAAATGCCGCTGTGCACCTCTTCTGCAGCGCCTGAACAAGGTAATATCCTGCAGAGCCCGAGCTCAAAACCCTTCGCAGCCATTGCACCACAAGCTTCAGGGCCGCCAGCGAATGATGAGTGTGGACACAAATTGGCGAATGCCCTGCGTTGGTTCGAAACCAAGTAACTGAGGTCCTGTGCAGTATGTATGTACGGCGTAGCGATGCCCAGGGATAAAAAAACTCTTGATCCCAAACCTTCTTATTCGCTCAAGTGCACATACTGTTCTGTCATCGCAATCTGAGTGGCCATCAATGGACCGGACAGGCCGGGCAAAGCATGGCCAAGTCGCAGGAGTTTCTGGGGATTTGCGGCTCTTCATGCTGTCAGGTACAAAATGACTCGGCCATCAAAAGAGAACACGAACGCCGCCATCTCCGCTGATCGTCGCAATAAAAAGATAAATAAAAAAAAAGAGCGAGAGAGAGAAGCCGACCGGCACAAGCAGGTCCAAGCCGGAACGAAAGTGTAAACTGGATATTCAGATCTGATCCTTACATGTATGCGGAGACAGCAGCAACCCCGTCCGACAGCGCGGCTGTATGACTCGCAGGGCACGCCAACCTGGTAATCTGCCGACACATGTGGAGCGGTAGCAATGGAGACAAGCAGCTCCTGAATTCCACCATATAACCCGAATCCCAGCGGTGTTCAAGACGACCCCGTGGAGACAGGCCTGACAGGCTCAAGGGCTCAGGGTTTCACAAGGCAGGAGTGGAAACCAGGGATAGTGGGCGGATAGTCAGCCAGCCTCTCGTTTCCAAAAGGCGAGGGGGACAGAGACAAAGATGTGGATAGACAGAAGCACGAACACACACACACACACACACACACACACATACCACAGTAGAGAGATAGAACGGTCAAAGCTTCAAGCCTCCGTCCACGTGTGCATCGAGAGGGGCTGGTGGTCAAAGCATATTTAAATGACCTGTCGCATGGTCTTGCTTCTGTTGCACCCCGTTGGTCGCCAAAGTGTCACTCGCTTCAGGTGCGAAGTAACACTCGCTTGTTGCAGAGCTGGGGGCTCTAGTAACCCAATACTCCGGGCAAAGGACCTCGTTTCCGAAAGCGATCCACCCAAGCCCCGACGTCATGTTGTGACAGGCAAGGGTCCATTCAACGGCTTTGCCCCCAAAATGACTGACTGGCCGCACTGCCACCACAATTCCACACGTCCCCCCCAGGGAGATCCTCGGCTGCGTACGGTCAAAATTCCCCGAATATATCTGGAACAGGGCCGCTACGCGTTCAAAGGACGGACATGACTGGCAGCAGACCCACGCTTCGCAAAAGACGCATTGAGCAAGGAAAAGTAATTTGGGCGGGGGCGGGAAAAAAGATGCCATCGGGGGGGCGGTCACCACTCGAATAGGGGGGCCCAGGGGTAGCATTACATCCGGGCTGACAAGCACAAGCATCGCCCGCGGGCGTGGGTTACAACGTGGCTCCCACGTTTTCTAATTTACATGTAATCGTACGATATAAACCAGAAGATGCCAAATCTCTATCCTGAATCTTGATATCTGCATTAGTCCGTTTCCCTTTCCCACCTTTCCTCCACGATCCCCGATATCTCCCCCGGTCCACGGCCAGTCGGAGGCTGGCACTAGCAACCTGAAGCATGGCGTTGACATACAAGGAGGCCCAGCTGGTCAAGGGGACCATACCGTTCCTTAAAGAGCACGGTGAATCCATCTCGGACATCGTCTACAGCACCCTCGTCAAAAGGCATCCCGAGCTCAACAACACCCTAAACGTGATCCACCTCAAGGACGGACGCCTGGCGCGGGCGCTGACCGTCGTCATCCTACGATTCGCAACCAGCGTCAACAACATCTCAGAGCTGATCCCCAAGCTTGAGCGGGTCTGCAACAAACACTGCACACTTGGCATAAAACCTGAGCACTATGAGATCCTCGGTGGCCTCCTCATCGAAACCTTCGAGGATGTCATGGGCCCGGCCCTGACGCCAGACACCAAGGCCGCTTGGTTGAAGGCCTACAAGATCCTCTCAAATATGATGATTGGCAGAGAAAAGATCATCTACAAGGACTTTGAAAGATACAAGTGGGGATCATGGCGCAAGTTCAAGCTGGACCGAAAAGTCTGCGAGTCCGATGACCTGTTCAGCTTCTACCTGGTGCCAAAGGACGGCATGCAGCTCCCCAAGTTCCTACCAGGACAGTACATCAGCATCCGGCTGTTTGTGCCCGAGATCGGTTACTACCAGACGAGGCAATACTCCATGTCAGACTCACCACGAGGCGGCGACTATTACCGGATCACAGTCAAGCGGGCGAAGGCGCACACAGCTTACCATGACGAGGGCATGCTCTCCAACATCCTCATCGACCGCGTCAAGACTGGCGACGACATCGAGTGCAGCCATCCGTCGGGAGACTTCTTCCTCGACACGACAGTGCCCAGCAGCGTCCCCATCGTGCTGATCTCGGCGGGGGGCGGCGTCGGCCCCCTTGTCTCGATCCTCAACGCCGTCACTGAGGAGCAGCCCACGCGCCACATATCCTGGATACATGGCTGCCGCGAGGATGTGCCCTTCAATACGCGCTTGACGGTGCTCAAACGCCGCTGCCTCAACTTGAACACAACCATCTTCAAGACGGTCCTCACGCGAGGCGACATCCAGGGCGTTACCTATGACTACAACAGCCGCATCGACCTGCCCAAGTGTTCACCCTCACTCCTGCACCTGGGCCACGGCGGCGCTGAGTACTACATTTGCGGGCCCGAGGCATTCATGAAGACGATGATGCAGCAGCTGATCGACCTGGGCGTCGACAGCAAGCGCGTCAAGTGCGAGCTGTACAGCGTCGGCGAGATGAAGCTCGACTCGGTGTGTGGATACGCGACGCCCAGCAACGGGACGCCTCTATCGTCGCCGACGAGTCTCGGTTAGTCACTTCTCTATATTGTGGGCGCTTCCCCATTTACCGCGAGATCTGCTCGCGGATGTCTCCATCGCGATCGTGATGCCCGCCGATCGGTCAGCCCGACGGGTGCTGCCGGTGATCCGTCCGGGCATCATTCGACACGAGCATCACCATCCCCACTTCTCATGGTACTTTATCATGCATCAGGTTCCAGCAGGAGTCGCTAGTCACGTGCACTATTTCCCCATCGGGACCGACATATGCTGACTGAGGCTCTCAACAGAATCTAAGGTCTCTAAAGAGTATGCCTCAAGGCATGTCCCAGGGATGGCGAAATAATTGCATAAATCTTCAGCACTGCAAGACAGACTTAAAACAAATCCTTACCAGCAAGCACAATTGGTTGGGGGACACTGGGCAATTCCTGCAAGCCGGACGATGGCACGACTCATTCACGATGCAACGGAAACCAACGGTGTGAACTCCAGGTGCAGCGCTTAGCTTCTGCAGTTTTCCGGGCAGCGTGAAGGGAAGCCAGTTTCCAGCAAGTGGCATTCTCCGGGACTTGGCGTCCTGGGGCCGACTGACTCCCCGTTCTCGACGATTTGACAACTTCTCTTCCCCGTGGAGAAGCCGAGACGGCTGCCATGACATGTCTCTTGGCAGAGGTGTCAGGGAAGCGTGGGTCGGTGGGGTAGGCCCACCTTGTTCGAAACCATTATCGGCCACGCCGGCCATAAACAGATATAATGACATTATCATGAGGAATCGGGGCGAAGGGGAAAGGAATTTCCAGGCTGTTATCGCGATTTTGTGTTTCTCATATTCTGGGCCGAATTTCCTGACTTTACTTTGGGATGGGTATCAAGGTGAAAGTTCCCGGTTTATGATGGGGGTACCAGCGGACAAAGCAAACGGGGTGACCTCAGGGTATTACTAGGAGTAAATGTGTGGTATGTCTGCGCGACTTAGGGGGGTTAATCCGATGATCTGGGAGGCTATGGTCACAGCCCCAGGTGAATAGAGGGCATTAGGCAAGCCTGGCCCCAGAATTGATACCTTAGACCACTTTGTTCCGACCCGGACAGGTAATGACTCGGCGAGAATCGAATCTTAATACCCGTCAATAGTGCACGCGTACGCGACTCAGCAACATCGCCAGAGCTCCTCTTAAAAAGCTCCTCTTTTCGGGTCAACTCAAGTTTTCTGGTAGACTTGCGGAGCTCAGGGGCTTCAGACACGGCTTTGAAGGCTTTGAACACAAGGATAGGCTTGGAACGAATTACGTGATGTTCAAAGTCACATTTCAAGCATACTCGGGTTCCCAGTGGCCTACTTGTCAGTAACAGAGTACAGGAGCTGGATACTCGCACACCAGATCATTCGCAATCGGGGGGTGTATTCTTCAAAGTGGAGTAAGAATGAAATACCAAGACTGCGCGTCCTGCACAAGGATGATGATCGAACTGAGATCACGATGGATAGGGAGCAGACGCTGCTATAGTCGACAGACAATCTAAACTTGTTAAGAAAGGTAACTTGCTCGTTCTGATTTAACGCTTGTGACCATATTGCAGACTTGCCCTTGCCCGAATATGTGCTAGATCTAGGCAAAGCTTGAAGTAAACGGTTACTTGGTCCACCTTCAGCAATAATGGTATTCTGGGGCAAGCTCACTAGACTACACACAGCCCATGTCTTTCAACAGCTTCGTTACTTGGTATAAATGCGTCTTTGTGTAACTGCCATCGGTAACTTCAAAGGGCCAGTGTGTGCACTTTGGAAAGGTAGGGCAGTTTACTGTGTCATGTGTGCAAACATGACCGCAAGCTAACCCAGGACCACACTGCAGCCAACACTCGCATAGACGAGCATGCCATTTCTTGAAAGCCAAACCTAGTGCGATATTACGGCGAGATATGAAAAGGATACAAGAAGCGTTTGAGAAATGGCATTCGATCTGCCATCCGCGTTTTTGTTGACGCTCTCAAATTTCGAGGTTAGTTGGTTATTGTTGTATATGGGAAATCTGTGTTCAGCCTCGGCATGAGCCGAAGACCATCTGTGAGGTTTTTCATTGACTCAGTATAATTTATCTCGCCTCGGCAGTGGGGGCAGTTCTTCGTGGTAATCATGCTAGTGTATGGCCTTGTTGGCGTCAGGCTGAGCTGTGTGTAGCACTTTTTGCAAAGCATGTGGTTGTTCCCGCAAGGAATCACAACCGCGCAGTCGTAGTCATTGTCCATATTGAAGTCGTCGCCGCATATCGCGCAGCTGTCTGAGGTGGCGTTGTCTAGCTGTTCCTGGGTCGCGCTCACAAAGCTCACCTCGACGTTAGCGAGAATTTGGAGCCACGTCTTATAGAAACTCTGCCAAGTGCCATTGGCCGCGTTCTGAAGGTGCTCGCCCGTGGCATTGTCGATCCTCTGATTGAGTACTTGATCGTAGGCGACGTTACCCCACCACGATCCATCGTAGTCAAGATGTATCTCTTGAAGGTCTTGAGAGGTCGCCATATTGTCCATCCTGATGATAATGTTTCGCAGCGCTAAGTTGCTATCTTCATGGTACTGCGGGCTTTGCCCCTGAGGCCGTCCGGGGTGTCCGTATTGAATGTACCACGGCTCCATGAGAAGAGAATGGAACATTTTCCCAAGCTCGAGCATGCGAATCCTGGACAAACCTGGGTCGAAGGCCAGCAGATTAAAAATGAAGCCTAGAGTTTTGTCTATGAATTCTTCGTTGCTCCAATACGTGTCTATGTCACGGCCTCGTAAAAGTGTGTCGGCACCTCTGACCGCATCCAACTGAGCCCGGTCTATTTCATCTAACAGATCCCGTTTGAGCCGTTCTGAACGAGATCTCCTATTTTCGTCGGGGTATAGGGGGACGAATTCTAAAATATCCCACGGAAGGCGCGGTGTGCCCGGTTTCATAGGGCCTGGTAGGTTATCATCTCCTAGGGCGTTCCTAAGTTCGTGGAATTCGCCTACTTCGTTTACAAACGGTTGTGTTCTAAAAAGGTCTGAATTGCCGAAGTCATCCACGTCAGGGGCTTGCGCAGGCCACCAATAAATAGCTAGGTCAGTATCAAAGTCTTCCATCATAGTTTTAGCAATTCCTCTCCTCACTATAGTATTGAGAGTTAGCTATCGGAGCACAAAGAACAAAACCTTCATGGGATGGTTGAGGTATCAGTCATCACGTGCTCATTACGTATCTCAGAAGCTGCAGACTGATCAAAGGCTTTGGGGCAGAAGCGGTGAAACAAACGGCCCATGACAGATGTCTCTTCTTGGACGGGTCAAAATTATATACAGAGCATGCTTACTAGCCGTTGAGACGTTATTTAAAACAGGAACATGTTCGGAGAGGTGGGTCTCTTTGTCTTCCCACATGCCAATAGGGTCTGGAGGCTGGTGAGACTTTTCTATTCGGCACTTGGTCTCAGCCAGGATCTTGTCCATGCTGCGGCTTAGTATTGAATCATGGATTGGGCCAGACCAAAAGCCGCGTGCCAAGCCGTCGATGGCTTCGATGTAAGTGTCTTCGTCAAAGTCAACGTCAGGGTCTTTGTTGCTGGAATATGCCCTCCAAATTCTGTACACTGGGGCCAGGTCATTGTCAGTAAATTGCCTCAATTTTCTTCAGCTATTCTCTACATATGTGTTGCTCTTTTACACAGGATCGAAGCTACTACTTCATGGGTAAGTGCTCACTGAGATATCTGTGACTCACGAACCAGATCAAATAGACAGTAAGGTATTGATGGTAGTTCTTCTTCATCAAGTCATATGCTGCCGGATTCTGCGTTTGGCCATCCGTGACGACTCGTCGATCTACGAGATTTGCCTCGCTGTGGACACTGCCTTGGCCGGTGCTGTGTATTTGTTGCAAATCAGCCCACATGAGCCGAAGATGAGATTAGACTGTTTGGTCATTTTTATTGTGACCCACCATTCTGGACAGGACATATTATAATCTTCCTCAACATCATCGAGACATTCAAAACAACCAAAGAAAGGCTCGGTTGCTGTGTCTTCGTCCACTCGTTGATCATGCCAATAATAAGGTAAAGCCTGCACATCCATTCAGTGAGCGTCGATTTTGGGGACATGAGTAAGTAGGAAAGACAAAACCGGGTCGACAAAACTAAATTTTGAGGTCCAGCAAGCTTTGTGGTCTAACTTACGCAACGCACGATCTTTTCGAGCTCATGGCTGCATGTTTGATAATGACGTTTGAGACGGATGCACCTGTAGTGCAGCTGTCAGATAGATCGATGTCATTTTTGACAATGAACAAAGGATATCCGCCTACATTTTCTCCGAATGTTCCTCAGCTTTTTCGAATATCGACAATGTAGACAAAATTATTCGCAGTCTAGATTGGAATCATTTCCATCTCACAGAGGATTTCAGCATGTGAATACACGATCGTGGCGGTATTGGGCAAGTCGGAAATTATAATGCTCCTTGGCCATTGATTGTCTTTGTTGTATCAAACACGTTTCCGCAAACAGGTTGGGGGTTGCTGGTGCCTCATGGTCCACGGTTGCTTTTGTTTTTGTTGAATCTCCAACACAACAATACAGGGAAACCGCTATTTTCCGTGTTTTCAGATTTTGGTGCACATTCCGGAGCTGTTTGCTTTGAGCAGTCAGTCATCAGCGTACACGAAATCCCATGCATGTTAACGGTGCACAACGTTGCCGAATTTTTGATACCCGAATTATTGATGCGGCCATTCCTATCCAACGGTGAAATGCAGTTCAAGCCAAATTCCCGACATCCCCTGATTTCAAAGAGATATGGCGGGTGGACGAAGAGTTGTGCGCTTGTAATCTCGTGGAACTGTTTCTTTGCAAGCGCAAATGTCAAGTGAAGTATGAGTGTCAGAAATTCTGATCATCAAAACTTGCATGAACCATGTTGAGAGTCAGGGGGCTTTCGGGCTCATGAAACTAGATCACGTTGGTACGATTTAACATGAGACCTTAAAACTCTTTTGTACGTGCTCAAACTTCACAAAATTTAGGATTGACACACATATAATATTGTTGAAACCCATCATAAACATGTAGAAGCAACGAATCAACTTTGTCGAATAAATAATTCTTGTCCTATTATATTGAGGAGACCTTAGAAACGGGATCGCTGTGCGTTCAGTTTCCCCATCGACAACACGGCCAGACTCGAGCCAAGGCGTGAAAAATGTTGAGTGAAACAGCCACAACACTGATGCGCTCCCGAACCTGCGTTGGCATATGAAAAAGAATATGCATCACCTAGGTACATTACGCATGACTAAGTGTATATTCTCTTCCACCCTTTGGGAATTGATTCGCCTAAGCTGCGCAATGCTCGTAAATGCAGTGGTTTTGACTTGCCAAAGAAAATTTATGATGTCTACCTGAGCTCTTGGCTTGCACAGTGATGAACACTCGACAACGGAATTTTAATACCAAATTCTACTCAGATTTTAGGGTGAGAAGATTGGAGTAAGTTGCAGGTTTCATTTGAATTTCGCTGCGCAAGCATATTATCGGGAAAGGTCTAAGATCCTAAGTCCCGCCAAAATCATTCTGCTTCCGAAGCCACCCACGAGACGGAACGTGGTCCGACTCGGCCGTCTTTGGGTGCCCACCATTCCTGACCATATCTGCAGGTTCTCCTTCGACCGCATCCATGTCTCACAGAATCTCCGGTCCAACGATGGCAGGCTTTTCGCCATCGAAACTCTCACCGGGAATCATCAACCCCTTCACCTTCATGCCCTATGAGTCGATCAAACTCACTCGTCTTCCTCTCAATGATGGTCCGGTAGTGCGCCATACGATCTCCATCAGCCGACGAGTTGTCCTCTTCTTCATTGCCCGCTTCTTTATTTTCGCCGTCATCATTGTTTGCCATCTTCTTTTTCGTCGCCTCATCTGCTTTGCCATCATCTGGAGTCTCCTGGGCTTTCTGGCTGCTTTCCTCTTCCTGCTTGCCGCGCTGACCACCAGCATTGGCGACTGCGTTATCAAGATCAGCCTCACCCAGGGTCCCCATTCCGTCTTGTTCTAGGAGACCGCCCTCCAGGATAACGCGCAATTCTAGATTCTCGTCTTTTGAGTAGACCCTGAACCCGACTACGGCGATGGCGTTCCATGGTTCGGGACTGTCGCTGTCTTCGTCGTCTGACTTGCCGTCTTCAGTCTTGTCCGACCCCGGTGTGGTTGGGGAAGCCGGCTGGAGGGAGGTGGTCGCGTCATCCTGCTCGTACAGATTCTCGTAGTCCTCGACGGGCGACGCAGAGGAGTAGCCATCTGACTCCTCGGCCGGTGGCGCGGCCGGCTTCTTGTTCTGGTGGTTGCAGGAGCAGCATTGTATCTTGAGCTCAATCGGTTTGTTTCTAGTTGTTTCTTCCGGCTCGGTCTTCTTTGCAGCAGGCGTGCATCCACATAGGATAGGAGTAGCACCGGCGCTGCTGACGGCTGGAGGGACTTCGACCCTATCTTGTCCAATAGCGGCAGGTTGAGCAGGCTCACTCCTTGGGCTATCTTGTGGCGTGTGCTGTGCTGTACCCGAGGTGGTCCAACTAGAAGTGACTGAGGCATTGTCGGCATCCATGGCTTCGGCCCGAAGGAGCTCGGCTTGCTCTGCGGCCTTCTGTATTGCAGCTTTCTCTGCTGCCTCCTTCTCTGCTGCCTTCTTCTCTGCTGAAGCTTTCTTCTCAGCGGCGTCCTTCGCCGCCTTTTCCTCCGCCGCCTTCTCCTCCGTCACCTTTTTCTCAGCTTCAGCCTTAGCTTTCTTCTCAGCTTTCAATCTCAGCTTCTTTTCCTTGTCCTTTTTCGCTTGCTTCGCCTTGACTTCCCGCTCTTTCTGTCGCCTCTCCCACTTCTTTCTCCGCTCTTTTCTCCGGGATTCGCTGGCCTTTTTGCCCTCGGCCTTCTTCCGGACCTCACCCAATCGTTTAAGGTGGCTGGCAGCCTTGGAGTGGGCGAGATCATACGCCTGCCCGACCTGAGCGAGCTTTTCGTTCTCTGTGCGGCTCTTGCACTCGCGCTGGATGACCTCCTCTGTGCTGTAGATGTCGTTGTCGCGTTCGCCGATGACAGAAATGAACACCACGTAATTTCCGGGAAGCATACTTGGCAGCTCAACAGAGACACTGCGGTCCATGAGGTAGTTGCCGTGGCTGCGGACTATGTAGTCCTCAGCTCCAGGACTGCCCTCCTCGTGCAGTCGGAATTGCAGTCGAAAATTGTACTGTCCCTGTAAGCCGCGGAAGTATCGTATGTCAATTTGCGAGAGTACAAGAACGATTGGGGACTCCTTTGTCAGTTTGATGTGGAACTTTTCGTTGTACTGCGCCTTCCAGGGAACTTCCACCCCGACCCATCGCTGACAAGAACGCCAGTCTGGGTCTCGGAACAGGCGAGTGCGGTCGAAGTGCTGATATTTGCGAAGGAGGTCTTCGTAAGAAATCCAAAAGGTCGAATCACTTCCGAAGTTGTGGTTGAGCTCTTCCTTAACCTCCGTGGTCCACTCTTTGGAGCCGTCAGACCATGCACCTTCCCAGGTGCCCTTCTTGATCTGGCCCCAGGGGTTCCTGAGTTTACAAAGGCGAGTCCCGTCCTTCAGCGTCTTTGCCTCCATAAGGACATAAGCGTGACCTTCCGAGATACCGTCTCGCTCACCGTACCCGCCGTCGAGCAGACCGGTAGAGCAACCGAAGAGAAATTCCTGATTGACCTTGCTCAACTCGTTGACCCAAAAAGCATCGATGTCGAAGATATCGCTCCCGAGTAGTTCGGTTGTAACACCACCAGACAAGTCCTCTAATGCCTCGCCGATCCAGCCTCCGTGAAGGCAGCCGTAGTCGCCGTGCGCCTTGGCGTAGGCCTTTTCAAGAAGTGGGACCCAAGTCTCGTTCTGGTCCTTGTTCTGGGCAAAGAAGAGTGCTTTTGAACCAGTCTGGTACGTCTCACGATAGACGCTTTCAACGTCTTCCCGGTCGATCTGCTTCAGGAGATCACGCTGCATGGACGGCGAGTCCCAGCATGGCGACTTGAGGAAAAGCTTGTCATCTATAATTGAGTAAATCCATTCGCCGTCACGATGGAAAACGAAGCCATAGATTCCTATCTCTGTGACGCGGGAGGTAAGTGTCAATATACCACATTGAAGCTGTAGACATGAATCCCGAGAAAAGTACTTACTGGTATCATACTCCACGCAGATACGCTTGACCCCATCCGGCACATTCGCCAGACCCGTCAAGCTTGCAATGAGCCAGCAATTGCCAAGGTTACCTTGCTTGATGTCGCCGGGGAGCACATTTTCCATGAAAGTGGGCTTCTTGAAGATCTCGTGCACGCGCTTGACGGCTTTGGGGATATTCGCTTTGGTATTGGTAAGATTTGACGCACGGATATCGAACTTTTTAGACCCCAGGCTGTTCAAGCAATGGCCCTTTTCCCACTTGAAGTCCCAGTCCTTAGATTAAATCAGGTCAGCAGTGTAGTATACAAGTAGGGTTCTGGTTCTGACAGGAACCCTTGGATGGGTTGATGGTGTGTTTCGTGATCCGGGTTTGTGGTGGTCGAAGCTAGAATACTTACAATGTCCCAGCCTGGATCGCGATAACGGGTGTTGATTCTCCTGCACTCGGCAATGATCTTGCGGACTCTTCTCCTACACTCCTCGGCGGCCCGCTCGTATCCGGCGCATAAGAGCTCGTTGCCACGCTCCGTGGAGGTTGACGAAGAAACAGAAGAGGAAGGCAGTACCGCCAGGGCTTTGCTAAAGTTTTTCTGGGAGAACTTCTCCCAAATTTTGTCAATGCTCTCTTGCGGTGGTTTCTTCGACTTTTTCTTCTTGTCCTCAGAAGCTTTGTCGGCGGCAGCCTGTGGTGCGGGAGCGTACAGTCGTCTAGCAGCAGGACTTAACGCCCGCTTGTGGGAGCGTCGCTCATAACGGCGGTTGCGGTGGGGAGAGGTCGCAGGGGAGGAATCAGAGTCCGACTCCGAAGAAGAAGGATTGTCATATACATGCTTCTTGCCCATTGTAGCGTCTTGTTATAGAGATAAAATATGGCTATCCGTCGTCGTCCCAGAGGGGTGTCGTAGTGACTGCAGAAACAATCGAGGGTTCGAGTAGCGTCCCAGCGATGTGGGGGTAATCAGACCGGGAGGGGGGCGGTAGAGCAAAGTAATGCACTATATGAGATTAGGAGAGAGGTTGCTTGATCAATCCCAGCATCAGAGGTCTGAAGGGCATCTATCAGGGGTGTGACCGAGTAGGTTTGTCGTCGTGTCAGTGTATTTCCACGAGGCAAAATGAATGCGGATATATGAGTAGATCGAGAAGGAACTGGCACTGATGGCCTGGCTGGATTGACCAAGATCTGGGGAGAGCAGCGAATATTGAAGTCCCAAACAGGCCTTTAATGATTCAAGGCGGCGTTAAAGCAGGCGAGACGTATGTAAGGAGCTAAATAGGACGCAGAAGGGCATGATGCAGCCTCGTTCACTTTCGAGGTCTGGTTACAGAGGCCGACCAGCATAAGCTTGATGTGTTCCTGCAGGGGCACATGTCAAGCGGGCAAGTGGACAGCTGGATGGCTATATAAATAGAGGTGGGTAGAGAAGGCTGGCCGGCCGGGCCTGGCCTGTGACCGATGGGAGAAACGGCGGTAGACTTCGGAACTCAGCAGTAGAACTCAGTCAGTAGTCTGACTGGTCAGCATGCAACTCATCCGTCAGTCAGTAACGCAAGCGGCTGGACGCAGATATGGACTGAGAGACGTTGAACTGCAGATCGGTGACTAGAACCTCTGATTCTGGTAATCAATCGAGTGATGTGTTGTGACTGGTACAGAACTGTTATTGGCATATCGAAGCGCGCTGGTCGGCATACCTGAGCCAGGGAGCCTCTGTCCACTTAGACAAGACGAAAAAACCCTTACCTGGGCAGGGCTGGCCCGTGTGTGGACAGTGGTAAGGAATTGGCTGCATTGAGCAGAAACCCTGGGGTTGGAATTGTGGGCCGTGAGCTGGGTGATGCATATTCAGCTAGCAGGTTCAATATTGGGGGGCATGGTGGTAAGGAATCACAGAATAGAAACAACAGGGGCAGCAGAAGGCAAAGGGAGGTAGGCGTCCGAGTTCCAGAATCCATCATTAGCATGTCTAGCCCCAGGCCAACATTCAAGGCCAGGTCCACGGCCAGGTCCGGCCGTCCGGCTGGCCATCTCTGGGGCGGGGCGGAGGAGGGATCAAACACAGGTGGAGCGGACATAAGCAAAAGTCACCGACTGGGAGGATGGGGATAGTGGATCAGCGACCGAGCTCATCATCCATCCAAGTCTCCGGCAGTGATCAATGATGGAAAACAGGATCGCCTGGATGTAGCAGTGCTGATGGTAACCTACTCAGTAGTCTAGTCTAGACGCAGGAGTGGTGAAATCTGCTGGCCGGTTCCTGAAGTTCCGGGGCTCAAGCTTGGGGTCTAGCATCCACTCAGGCACAGTGACACCAAAATTCGAAGGTCGACGCTGACGGTCGCAGGATGTGGCCTCCAGCCAAACGGTGTTCTAAATGCAGAAGGGCACAGCTGAGAGCGAACCGAGGAAGCACAGTAACAGTACACGTAGTCTAATTTGAAAGGGTCATTCATCATTGTTTGTCATCATCTTTTATCCGTGTGCACCGGGAGCCATTGCTATACCTCCATTCCACCGCATCAATTTCTCACTGCAGCTAGAGCACTTGTTGTCCCCTCTCTGTACTGTGCTGCACCATACAGCGCACGCCAACCGCACGCTAGCTGTCTAGAGCTCGCGGTACCATGCATTTCATCATTGCCAGCCTTGGCCTTTTCGGCACGTTTCCCCCGTCAATATTGCTGCCATGCTGCCATGCAATCACTCAGTAATTTCATTAAAGAAGGTCTTGTGTATTGCATTGGGAAACTCGCCGTGCTGTAGTTACCTTCTCCACGTACGACATCGAGCGGGTGAAGTGAGTGAACAGAGTGGACGAAAACCGTTGCACATCCACTTGTAACTGCAAATCAATAATTCCCTGCAGCCGCTCTTGGTTGCAAAGCTTCCGGCACGTTCAGGCACGTTCAGGCCTGCTACATGCCTCCCAATACATCAGCCTGTACAGGCCATCTCCGAATCCGTCGTCAACCGTGCATGTAGAATTAGCAAGTTCTTGACGGGAGCCATGACATAGTTCATCACATCTCTCAGTGTCCTGAGTGACAATCATGCATAACTTCGGTGTATCTTTGTGGATGTTGAGGATGTCGACACCCGCGCACACATGTCCTGAGTGACTGGTCCATTCCTTGTAAACACAACCTGAGAGAGGCCAACAGAGGATTCGCTCAGTTTCATCGAGACAGTGAACATTATACCTTCAGAGCATCTACCATTCATATCGATGAGTGAGAAAGGAGTGTCGAAAAAGTTAGGCTCTCAATAAATTTGCACGCGGCTTCAACGATGGACGAACTCCAGCCTCACCAGTCTTAGTTCTCAGCCATGCAAATTTTACACAGGTCTGGAGACTGTAAAGTACGTCTCATGCATTGGCTCAAGCTCTTGTGCTGACCTTTCAAGAACATGGTCAGAACGAGACTGCACCGACAAGCTTTCCACGGGTTGGCAGCCAATTCAGTGGTTCAAATTGCCTCACAGTCACTCTGTGCGTTTGTTACTTCCTTGCTCTTGGATGACTTCGGTGTCTGTCGTCACTACTACTATACAACCACAAATCGGGTCAGCATCATACAACATAGCTTTCCCCTGTCTTCACCTATAAAACTGACGATTCTTTACCTATAAATATCTCGAATTCGAATCGATTGCACTTTGAGCACTTGTGATTTTACACAAGCTTGACAGGCACCCATACAGAATCTAGGCCTAGACCAACTCTCGAATATTAAAACAGAAGCTCTTCTCGATCGGCACGCAAGCATATCAGAACGATGCCTCAAGACAATGGAGACCCTCCCCCTACCCCTCCGCCGGATCCCCCGACGCCTCCTGCGGATCCTCTTCCGGCCGACGAAACCTAAGTAACAGCTGCCCGTTAAAAATCAACATATCCTACAGCCAAGTCAGAGATTCATCCCGCAGACATCGAGCAAGGTAGCCCCTATGCTGACGCAAAGAGGAGCAGGTCCATGCATTGGTACCGGCCCTTCCTATTTTGAGTTCGCAGGCCTTCTGAGTATTGATTTCATCCACGAACTGCCCTTGAAACTTCGTATCAAGTGTTGAAAACGACGACGGATGACCTCAATTGGGTGCTGACGAGGAGCCATGCAGGCATGAGTAAACACAAACCCGTGATGAGCCTGATGAGGGATATTGGACTCACTTTAGAGGGTACTCTAGGTGTTGAATTATGAGAAGTTACACAACAATATGACTATCAATCCTCCGTGTGTGAACCACTGGTTTCCAACTTTGAAACATCGCTTGTGAATCTTCTATTGTATGATCACCTTGTCTGGTTGCACATGCATGAGATGTGTGTCTAACGGAGAGTTTGAGCTTGAGAGATAGATCAGGGACTTCTTGATGGATTTCTCCAACAGCAAGATCGGGTGGCCACGTACTCACCCTTTGGCACCATTCTTTGACTCCACAGCTAGGATGATCAACACGCAATACATTTGCATAGCTTAGCTGTCTAAAATCTGACCCCTCAAGATTGACAACAGGCTCGGCTCAGTCTATTCGCTAGCTGTTGGAGACTCGGATGAACCGTAAGCCCGACAAACCTGTGTCCTAAAATTTCAAGTGTACCGGTCAAGAGCGTGGCTAATAAATCTAAAATCATGGCGTTCCCCTTTTAATTAGTAGACATTCAAGTTCTGATCAGTCAACAAGAAGCTTAGGTCATCAGTCTCGAAGATATACATCAACTAAGTAATTCGGTGTCCCAAGGAATATGGAGTTGAAATGTGGAACAAAATAGACCTCGGGACGATTTGTCAGCCCGATCCGGACTCGGACCCGGCGTTAACGTCACTCAACATCTGGAGCATTTGAAATCCGATCGACGTGTGATTATGTATAAGTGTGGAGAGCGGGGTGCTAAGAGGTAACTTGTATATATGAATACCATTGCTGTACTATCCCATTTCATGAGATCAGATCTGTAATTTCATTCCTTTGGAGAAGAGTCCTTCTCAAATCTGAAGCGCAAAAATGTCCAAAGCTCAACATCCAATCATCGTCCTCGGCGCTGCTAATGTGCGTATTCCCAAGCCACATATACATAATACAGCTCTTAACAGCGTTATCAGGTTGGTGATAAGAAAGCCGATAATATGGCCAAATATGATACGCCTGACGAGGTGAAGATCTTTCTTGATACCTTCTATGAGCGTGGCGGCCGCCATATCGATACCTCCCGCAACTACTCGCCCGGAGCAGTCGGCTCGTCCGAGCCCCGTCTCGGAGCTGTAGATGCTGGGTCGCGCTTCAACATCGACACGAAGATCCTCGGGCTCCCTGGTAATGGACCTTTTCATAACGCTCAGCAAATCAAGGCAAGCATCAACGCTTCCATCGCAGACTTGGCGCTCCCGGCTGCTGTCAAGATCGACGTCATGTATTTGCACATGCCTGACCGCGAAACTCCGTTTGAGGAGACATACGAGGCTATTGATCAAGCGTATCAGGAAGGAAAGTTCAAGCGCTTTGGGTTATCGAACTACACCGCAGACGAGGTGGAGCAGTTCGTAGCAATTGGCAAGGAGAAGGGATATGTTGCTCCCACCGTCTACCAGGGGCAGTACAACCCGGTCGTTAGATCCGGGGAGGAAAGCTTGTTTCCAGTGCTTAAAAAACACGGCATCGCATTTTATGCATACAGCCCCGCCGCTGCGGGTGTCTTCGTGGGAGGCCAGAAAAATGCTCCGTCTGGTGGTCGGTTTGACACGTCTGTGAGTATCGGCGCATCTCCCTTGTTATTCACAGATGAGACTAATCAATTCACGCATGAACAGCACCGAGTGGGGCAGCACTATATGAACATGTACTCCAAGCCCAAGATTGCAAGCGCTGTGGACAAAACTACGGAAGTAGCGGCCAAGCATGGTATTAACGGCCATGCGGCGGCTCTGAGATGGACCACGTACCACAGCAAACTTGATCCTGCAAACGGTGACACTGTCATTATCGGAGCATCTAGCACCGCTCAGCTTGCCGCAAATTTGGACATCATTGACCAAGGGCCGTTGCCACAGGACGTGGTGGAAGCCGTGGATGAAGTTTACGGGCAACTTGGCGAGGACGCTATCGCGTATCATCTATGATGTATCGATTTGTATTCAACAACTTGCTCTTCTCAATCAAACTGAGTCTAACACCCATAAAGCCTTCACTAATTCATTGGTGTCCGCTCGATTCTCCGAATGTTCTTCGTCTCCATCCTTGTCGCTTCATATAGGGCCTGACCTTGTTGGCTCCAGACATCGGGTTTCAAGAAGCTGCCCATTATTTCGCCGCATTGGGCTCGTTAACCTCAGGCATGCGGTTCGAAAAGGTTGTCCAGGAAATAAAAGCCAACAGTGTCAGCACCGGTCACGTTAGCGACTGCTGTGGTAGTCATTAGCATGTTGTTTTTGCAATGAAATTCCTGTGTGTCCTACCGTGAGAAAGTCGTCGAGGATACTGGCGCTGAAGAATGCAGATACTCTAACCACTCTCGTCTAACAAATTCACGCCATTCCTCGTAATCCGTGTTCCATCCGCCTCGAGATTCAGTGTGATTGTGTCTGGCGAAGATGAGGTCAAACCATCGTGCGCCGGGTCGTCCTGGGATGCAATTGTCATGTATGATCCAGGTAACGCTGGTCATACCGTCTGACAGGTGGCCTCCTCTTCTTTGACGATCCCACATGTTGCTTGGGAGTGTATGATTTCTCGAGATAACGCGGAATATCAGCTCACCAGTGAGATGTGTGATATGAGTGTTAGGAGAACATCTATTCCATTCTGCTTGATTATCGCGCTCTTCCACTTGATCGATAATATATTCCACGAGACCCCATTGCTCCGGGCCATGCATTTTGAAGCACTTGACGAAGACGGCAGGTATTATCTGTACTGAGATATGAAATTTGCAACCAATCTTGCTTGACTCGACGCAAGATTTTAAAGATGGGATTAGGAGTGTGTGCTGTGTTGTAGCATTCAATGGTGACAAATTCTGTATTGTGATACTCTATACCCAGTTTGTACGTGCTTTATATGCTCTGAGTTGTTTGATTTACATCAATAAATCTACTTTCTATTAATTCCGAAACACCAATAAAATGCCAACACTTAGCTTTCGGTCTTTCAGTGACGCTAAATGGAGGTTTCAGTCAATATTTATTCAAAAAGATCAAATGTTTGAGGCTAGCGCCGAATCGGCTTTTAGGAGACTGAAAATGTAAGGTACTATCACTTGATGAAGCTATTTTATATGTTTTTGAATGCCATACATATTGCAGCATGCAAGTATCTGTTCTATTCCACTAAATCACTGTCTGGAAGAGATATGTCGGCGGAGGGGGGGGGGGAGATTTGGCTAGTGCCATAAGATCAACAACCCTTGGCAGAAGATATTTGGGACGGTGATTAAATTTTATAATGATGGTAATATCAACACAAAATTACAACGATCTATAGCTCCAGTAAGGACAAAGCTCAGCAAGAACGCTTCGCCCCATCCGATATCATCAACAGTAGTTGAGTCAAGAGACCAGTATTCACCTGACTGGTTGTTCTTTGATATTGTCGATTGCAACGCCCACTTTAGGAAACCGTCCATTTTATCGAATTGGAGAAGTGATTATTCCTCGAAGACTTTATGACCAGAAATTGGTTTAGCCAAAAGCTCATACATTTGGTGATGGTGATTGCCCTCAGTCAAGACCCATGGATCCTACAGCAAATATTACAGTTAGTATTCAGATGACCAAGACTGCTGGAAAGTCTGAGCGGGGTAGAGAATTCCGAATTGAATGGTGAGAGTCGCAATTCAGAGGATTTTGCGTACCTGTGCTTGTGCTATTGAATACAGCTGTAGAGTTGAGGGCAGTGCTGGTGCCATTGTTCGCAAGTGTGATGTTCCTAGTTGGGGGGAGAATTCCGTCACCGATCTGTGACTCAACACCGGTTCCAGAACTACCGCTCTCTGTGCTGTTGTCACCCTCACTGCTGTTCGACGACGTGGTTTCAGCGGCGGAGTTATCCGCGGTTGCCGTTGGCGTAGCAGGCTCGTCACTGCTTGCGGTTATCAGGCTGTGTGATGCGGCGGTCCTGGTCACAGGGAAGAAGCCAGTGCCGTTGGTAGGTCGCAAAGGAACACCAGTCCCGGTGGCGAGGGCAATGCTACGGGTGACCGTTCGCGTCGCCGATGATACCGTGGTCGTACGCGTGAGAGAAGATGCTGCTTTGGGTGTGGAGATAGTTGCATCTTTGACGCAGCCCACATCGTAGTACTTCACATCACTGTGGCGATCCGCGTCGAAGTTTTCGGCAAGAGAGAGATCGAAGAGCATGCAGGCTTCATCGTTGAAGCCAAAGCTCTCACAGCGTTCGCTCTGAGCGCATCGGGTGGAGCAGCCAGAATATGATGTAAGCTTCTTACTGGCACTCCAAAAATAGTTGCCGTTGTTCCGGTCGTACCCTTTAACACCGCAGATATCGGTGCGACGATCCATAGCCAGCCAGCTGGGCAGTAGACCCGCTGAGACTGCCAAAGGCAGAAAAACGAATGATATCTTTGTCAACATTTTCTCGTCAAGAGAATGTAAGAAGAGAATGTGATTTGTAAAAGAAAGTGATGAAAAGTGAAAACAAAGAGTGAATGGGAAAGTGCCACAGGGAATTGCCTTTTGAGTTGGAAAGTTTTCAGAGAGTGTGCATTCTTCTTATACTGCAACATAGAGTTCAGGTTCGAATTCCATCTTGAGCTATACTCGGAGTCCCCAACTGCCGCCCGAACAGAATCTGCGTGTTTGCTGACGCGTGGCAATGCAAGCCTATCGTATAATTCACCTCCTGTAGATCTTGGCTTCCGCTATGTCGGGCTCTCAGGAGAGGCCAGCCGATGCAGGTTCATCCGAGTGTTGAGCCGATGTTGAAGCTCATCAGTCCGCCCGTCGACGGCGCGTATGCGCGCGGACTCTAAGGCAGGGGCAATAGCATTGTATCCTTAGCACAAGCAACTTGGTAGGTAGCTGCCGACACTAATCTGGACCGCTTCTGTACTAATCTATTCCACTACTCTTTTAGCGAAACATCCACGCCATGCGCTTCCAAATATGTACGAAAAAAGGAGGCTTGTGGTGGCAACTGCATCTCGACGTTGCCATGATCATCGGCTGCAAGCACCGAAGAGGTGTCATAGATACTCGAATGGCTATTTTTGATGGAGGCCGACACCCTCATCATTACTAGTGCCGGTTGGACTGAGAGCTGGCATCGGGACTGGGTGTATACCGGGAATAGCAGTCTGTTATTTAAGTGCCCTGCTTCTGCTGCAGAGCAAGTTTGCCGAATGAAGTCGTCGCATTCAGAAACTTTCCATGTTTATATCTCCTCCAAATCATGGTGTCCTGGCTGCCCACTAGTCCAGAAGCAAGCCGTTGTCAAGCCAGGCCGTTTAAATCGCATCGCTGGAGTACAAACATGGCGCCTGGGAGTACATAGTATGCTGCTTAAAGAGACCAACTGAGGACATCGGTCGTGCGCGATTGATATCCTGCCATCCGTAGTCCGGCTCTACCTTGGCTTCCACCTCTCGACAGCTCTAGAGCAACGCCGTGGCCTGACCTCGAAAGCGGGACGGACCCCCGCAAGCACCCGATCAAGCTAATCTGAGGGCTATGTTTCAGGCATCGTAACCTGAACAAATCGCAGCTCGTAGTGTTCGGTCCATGGCGGCAGATGGACGGCCAAATGTCTACAGCTGCGGAAATCTCGCTCCAGCTCGCGACATACAAGGAGGATAGAGGGTCTGCAAAGGATAAATAATCAACAGCCCGACTTGATGGTCAACGCTGAAGTGCTCCACCGCTCCGGTCCGTCATTCTCCATCGGCGGGGCCTCGCCTCCACATCTAATTGAGGGCGGGTCGCGACGACGACACAATCCATGGGTCCGTGCTCGAGGATGATGTTGGTCTTGTACCGCAATTAGTGCATGTAAAGATCATCGATGAACCACGTGGATTTAGGTCGCCATTCCAAGTCTGCAACTTGCAGCCATCCAAAATAATCGTTCGGAATTCAAGATCAGTCGACTTGAGTTGGCAGGTCCTGACGAGCGGCATAATTGTTTCATTTCACCTCGCAGACAAGCTGCCAGCTCGGAGCTGCATGCGAGTCATGACCGCGGCGACGTGAATAAACCTGTGGATTCAAGGGGTTGGCATGCCCACATGCCGGCACAAGCTTGGATGAGGTTAAACTTGACCACCAGCGATCTTCGTCCTTACTTATCAAATCTCGTCCCTTTTCGCTGCCGCCAATGGGGCTTCCTCGCCTTCGGCTCGTCTCGGCCAAGATAGCCGCGGACCGGTGAATCAGTGATGATCACAGGTGCTGCCCGTTGGTGCCGGCAGTACCGTCCTTGCAGTACTTAGATTGTGGAAGCCATTCTTACTCCCGATATATTTTCCTTGAGAAGATTCGTAGTCCGCCGATCGCTCCCCCCTTTCGGTATCGGACACACGGGGTCTCTCTCTAAATAGCTGTCAGAATTGCCGACTGGGTCGGGGATCTCGTCGAAATACTGGGAATAGGTCCGGCGTCCCCTGAGTCGCACGTCTCGGTCTCCAGGGTGTACCGTCATACTATGTCGGTCTCGTGGGCTCCGGCTCTGTGCTGCGCTTCTATTGACGTTGATCTCTGCGGCGCAGTGCCGCAGCCTCCGGGCAGTGCGTCCGCATGAACATAATAACCCTCTCCACAGCAGTGGGACACGGTTCACGCGGAAGCCCATAGCTGTCATCCCTGAAACAATCAAGAGCAATTCGCGAGTAACCCTGCGGCTCAGGGGCCGTCAGGCAAATTCACCAAGCATGATGACTCGTGGACGCGCGCAACACGAAAAAAGGGCCTGTTTCAAACGCCAGGCGCCAAGATGCTCGAATACCAAAGGAGAGCTCACCAGACTGCTCAAGCGAGCTTACCACGGCCGCGGCACTGGGAATGCCTGGGAAAGCCCGGGAAAAACTTGACGTCAATATCTCCGTGAACCTCTTTTAGTATGCGTTTGCCGATGTTCGACTGGGGTTGATGATGGGTTGTATTTCGGACGAAGGCCCACGTTCCCGTCAATGTCTCCAGGATCCAGATGACTCCCGAATCCTCGCCCAGCTGGTCTTCTTGCCATTTTCAACTCCAAGCCCGTTTTGATTTGCTCTTCAACCGTATTAGCGGTATCGCACGTTCATTACAGTCCACTGTCGGGTTGCTTGGTGGTTATGCGGAGGACAAAGAAGCTGGAACCGAGACATTCACGGTGGAGATAGGCTCGCCAGGCCTCTATCGACTGCTCTCAGCCACCGCGACGCTAGCTGCGCAACCACGCTTCAGCGCACACTGTTCTAATCAAGACGCAAGAGGTGGAGTTGTTCGGCGGTAGCCAACAAGGAAGATGAGGCTCGATACGTTGCCGTCGTCGATTATCGTCTACATTCTACTGCTCACCTCGCCCACGCAAGCGTCCGTCGACGTCGATTTCTCAGCATATCCCGCCTCAGCACGATCATGTCTCACAGAAGCAGTCGCAACCTCTGGTTGCTCCTCCAAGGATACAGTTAGCGAAATGAACGACTGCCTTTGTAGCAACAGCGGCAACTTTGTTCTCGATTCAGCGGATTGCTTGGGAGGTCTTGGGAGCGCCGATACCATGAGCAAGGTTTATGAAATCATGCAACAATCTTGTTCCGAGACTAAGACGCCACTGAGCATATCAGAGGCTCAATGGCTGGCAGAAGGAAACGAGGAGACGGCAGTTACCAGCACTGTAACAACAACAATCGGGACGATGGTATTAACGTTCTCGACCACAATAACCCCCGCATCAACAGCATCGTCGACGTCAGCATCGACAACATCAACATCGCGTACAAATAGCGACGAGGAGGACGAGGACGGAGACTCGAGTACAGACGAGCATGAGGACGATGAGTTGTCGTTGAGCGCCAAAATAGGCGTGATTACGTCCAGCATTGCAGGCGCCATGACACTCGCATGCATTGCATGTATGATCATCTTCTTTACTAAGCGAAAGAAGGACAAGCAGCTATTAGCGGAGGCGCGAGCAGCAGCAGCACGGGCGCAGGATAAAGACAAAGATCAGAATCGGAACCTTCTAAGCCCAGGCGCCATGACACCAGGGCTGCCCAGTCCGGCAGGGCAAGGAGGGGTGACTCGAGCTGGACACGAGGGACAAGTATTTGGCGCGACTGTCGTGCCGCCCACGCCTGCATATCCTGGCCCATCAGAAGCGCAAGCCTGGAGAGGAGGTCCACAGGGAACGACGGCCTCACCGAGCGAACTCACCGGCGACAGTGCCGTATTTCAGTTATACGATGGTCACGCACCACATAACCCGTCGGCATGGCCATCACCACTTACCCTACCCTCAAGGGGTTTCCCATCGAGGACCACAACCCTCCGCACCGAATCATCATGGTGTCCTTCGCCAGCATCCGCCTTCGCCTCGTCGAATGCTCTGGGGATGTATGGTCAAGGCCCGGCGGGTGCAGGGAGCACCGGTACTGCGTCTGCTGTGACTTCACCGATAACGAGGCAAATCACAAGTACCACACGCTCGAGCTGGGCGCATAATAGGCCGTATCAGGAGGAGCCATATGAGCTACCGGGGATGGAGGCTCGCAGTCCTGTGGAGGCGGATTCCAATCCAATAACGAAAATGCCAGAGGACTCAATCAGGCTATCAACACCACCTGAATATTCAACAGGCGATTGGGTGGATCCGAACACGGATAAACCGCCAATCTGAGAAATGATCGTGGTCAACACCTCTGCGGGACAGGCTCGGTGGATGTAGTAATGAATGATACGGATAGTCACGACAAATATACTACTTAATAATCACCTGCAATTCTTCTTGGTGACCGCACACTCGCAAACGGTCGGTAATTGTTTTCGTACATTTCATAATTCGCTTGAAATTGTGCATCTCAATTAGTTCATGCCATGCCCGTTTCGCAGCGGTCATTCTGAGCCCTGGCTTCTCTGCAATAACAGAGCTACCTCGACGTTTTCAGATGAGTAACAAACGTATGAACTGTTTTATGAACCTAGTGTCAGCTACCGGATAAAAGCTACCAGAGCCTAGTCTGATAAGGACTTGAATCAGTTCTTGAAACGATACAGATGAAAGTGCAGGATTAGAAATTAACATGATATCAGTGGTATTAGCGGCAATGGATTGAGAGGTGAGCTGTTGTGAAGAAGTCGAGGCCGCGTAACTCCAGCGCGCGTCTTACGGGGCAAAGAGAATTAATTGCAGCACAGACGAGACGATATCATCGACCAGGTTTTTACGGATTTCCAAAAGGAAGAGAGGCATAAAGAGCAAGTACGAAGGACAGTGTGACAATGGGACGCGTTGGATGTACCTAGGTAGTGTCTTAGAGGCTGCAAGCTACCGTCTGGCCGTTATGCCCGAAAGAGGCAGGTCTCTGCAGGCCGCAGTAATTGTGCCTTAATAAAGACTTAGACTGAGATGGTTTCCAGCGAAGTAGCTACAAACTACGCTTGCTTGAGAACAAGATCGTCACAGAGCGGCCTTGAGAATCGACCCGGGGGTGAGCTCGGAGATTTCATATGAACCGCAGACGAGATTAGGGGCGTCGCCCTATCGACACTTCGCTTTTTTGGTTGCTTCAATTAAGACATCCACTCAGTTGAGACCACGCCATCTTACTGTCACCGAGTTGCTGTCCAGGTCGGTACCTGGATGTCACCTGCGTGGACGATTGGCCCAACGGCGTGAGCGACTGGCTCTCAGGACCGCGTAATAACTTCTGCGAAGGCCAAAGTGTGATTGTTCAAGTGCACAGCAAATTCGTGTCATTATCTTGGCTGATATTTCTCCATATTTTCCACTCATTAGATTCCTTGCGCTGCGTCTGGCTTTCGACTTCTTTTTAAAGCAATATATCGCGGCCGATCCGGTTACATTCACATCATGATTCCTTGTACTTACTATTTTACAGCAAACAAATTGACACACCAAGCGACCCAGCAGTGATCAATAGTAACAAGACACTGTTTTCGAACCAGGACCAGGCGGCAGCCGTAGATGTGGGCGCTGATCCGCTGCCAGAACTGGTTCCGTTTGCGCCGCCACCAGACGTTCCGTTCGCAGTAGCAGCCTGAATTTCATCCCAGAAGTCACACATGCTGTAGTCCACCGTTCCTACAGTGAATTCATCCCCGACGACATTGACACCGACTGAGCTGGATGTGTTGTATTGAGGCCAGTCACTGCCCGGGTTCGCATTCGCCGCCATACTGTCCCAAGCGCCTAGCATTTTCGCTGCGAGGGCAACCTCGCCCGTGGAGAGGCTGCAAGTGCCATTTGGTCTGGGCATATTTGCGGTGCCATTGAAGACAAACGGGATCTCAGCCGTGTGCGTCGATGCAAGTAGGTCCAGGGCATAACTCGGGATGATGGTGTACCAAGGGCAACTGAGAGTGTGGTTGAACGAATACGTCCAGACTGGGACACCATCCTGGCTGGCTTGACGGATGAACCTTCGTGTTGGACACCTAAACTCGGAGTGTGTCACGACAGCCGACATGGCTGCCAGTACAGGGCCACCAGATGAGGTGGTATAGTTCGAAAGCGGGTAGGTCTCATTGACTCTTTGTGCCAGCGGCCCGAACGTCTTGGTTAAGAAGCCGTTGTAATCCGTGTAGTTCAGCGTCAGCACGCTGGCTTGATACTGGCTGAGAATGAAGAGGGTGCCTTCGTCGGTGGTTGATCCTGCTACGGCCGGGACCTTGAGACCCGCTTCGAGTGGCTGCGCAGGAATAATAGTCCCGTCGACGATGACTTGTGGTAACGAAGATCCAGCGACGCTCGACGAGTTGATGGCCGAGACTGAGGCTGCCCGAACGCAGGCAATATCGTCCACACTGCAGCCTAGAGCCTTGACAAAGGCCTCGGTCGCATTCAGTGCATCGGATGTGGTCTGCAGCTCGTCCCCCGCTCCGGATTGCATGATTGCTGCGCTAATGAGTGATGGGGCTTGAGGAAGGCTGCTAATGATGAATGTGTCGGCTGCACCTGCAGACTGTCCGAATAGGAGCACCTTCTTCGCATCGCCACCGAAGGCTTCGATGTTCTCTTGAACCCACTGCAATCCCAATAGTTGGTCTTGAATACCCTGGTTACCTTGAAGACCTAGGCTATCCAGTGCCAGGAAGCCAAGCGGGCCAACACGATAATTGATGGACACCGAGATGACCTTCTCACTGGCCGTACAGCCATCATATGTCGGATTTGAAATTCCACCGGCCTCATTTCCTCCCCCATAGAGCCATACTTTTACTGGAAGTTTCGAGTCTGATTTAGCGTCGATGGGTGCCCAAACGTCTACGAAGAGACTGCAGATATGAGTTAGCAGCTGGCGCACATCGAGAAGATATCATGCTAGCAGATGGGAGCCTACCAGTCCTCTGACTGTGGGCCTCTCTCTGAGAAAGCCACATTGAATTGTGTGCAAGCCGGCGGTGGCTGCGTTGCCTGACGATTGTCGAATGTCTGGTTGTACGACTGCGGTGGTGCGAAGCGCAGGTCCCCCACGGGAGGTCGAGCATATGGAATACCCAGGAATGAGTTCACGTCGTTGGAGGAGCATTTGGCTCCCTGCAACGTGCCGTTAATGGTCTTGACAGTGGGTGCATTCTGCGCGGTTGCGACAACAACGCTGCCGACAAGGACAGCGAGGGAGGTATTGGTCCTCATATTGCTCTCAGATATATACCGCCGCTCCAGAATTTGGATTGAAATGTTAGAAAATGAATTTTCCTCAAAGGCAGGTCATGTAAACCATAGATATGTACAAGTGTAGCTATACGTGAGCACAAAGGCCTGCGTACGTTGTATTGTATTTTGTGGGCTTGCCAGTCGTTATGTAGGGTGTCCCCTCAAATTACATGCCTCGGCTGAGAAACATCTTTGTCATGGTTTTCTCGAGAGCACGCTGGGAGACAATAAGCTAGAAGCATCATCGATCTACGTGACATGTCGTGGGACCTGCTCACAACGAGAACGTTTTTGGGTGGTGAGGGTCCGAGATGAAGTTGAGTAGTTGCGATTGGTTACACGGAATGGAATGGATGCTGGAGCCCATGCAGCATTGGGGGCTAGGCAGGGAGTCTAAGTCTGTGGTAGGGCCACAATGTTTTAGCTGCGCTCCCGTCACTTGGAGCCGAGCGCGGGTGGCGTCGCGGTGCGTCCGGGTGGATGTGACCTAGTAGCATGGTAATCCTCATCTCTTGCGAAAAAGAAACCGATCCCGAGAGGGGGAGCGGCAACGGCCAGCCACCAGTCCCAAATTAGCCAGCATTTCGTCCTCAGAGTCTGGGCTCATTTGCTGTCTTGTCTCCCATTCTCATTATGTGCGCGTGTGCATGTGGGTTGATCTGTTGTAATGGCTGGCTGGCTGGCTGGATGGATGGATGAGCATGGTGATATCAGCATACCAAGCCGTCCACTTAAGCTTCGTGATCCCTGGGTGGCTCCTTATACCGACGAACTATAGATCCAGCATTAGCCTCGAACCCATATCTCCTCATCCCGGGAGAACAGCCCGAAAGAGGTTTCATCACGGATTCGTCCCAAGATTTTTGGTGATCGTACGGTATGACAAGAATGTGCTCATAAATTAAGGACTGAAGAATTGATCGCTGTCAGGGTCTTATCTGAACTTTTCTCTCCGATACTCAATTCTGCTGAACTCAGACTCCTGGACGACACATCAAAGCATCGGACGAAGAGCCAAGATGTACGCCTTACAACGGTTTCGACAAGTCATTCGCACTCCGTTAAAGACCGAAAGTCCCAATGCCAAAGCATGTTGGTTTCCTGAGCACGTTACAGGGCAATCACAACCCCCAAATCAGGTTACAATCTACAACAACATAGCTTGCTCATCTGGCGTCTGAGTGGCCTCACCCCAGTCCCCATCGGAGCGGCAGTCGGCCTCGTTCCGGGGCAATGCTCCATGCATGATTTCCGCCCCCCGTCCCCACCTGTTCGTTCCCCGCGATTTAGCAACAGGTCTAGGCTGCTTGTTGCTACGCTACGCCCCGTCTCTTCATTTCGGACGCATGGGAGTTGTGTTTTTGGCTACACAACCCTTGAACGAGCAATATTGACAAGAAGCATGATAATACCCTCAAGGGTGCACTGATGCTTTGGCTGCCAGCAACGTTGGAATATAGACTGGCATTTGTCCTATAGAACGAAGTGCTGACAAGCTGATTCGGTACCTCAGTACCTCCATCAAGTGTTCGTTGTGTCCAGATGTCACCTCTCTGAGAATCTTCTTTCCGAAGCTCACCTTTGGGCTCTCTCGTGCGATTAGAGGAGTGACCAAGCCAGATGAGAATTGACCTGTGAGCTTGTCGAGGGCAATGGTTCCCTCTCTCAGGCGCGGGTGAGGTCGGGTCGACGTGAGCAGCTCTCGTTAAGATACAGTAGAGGCTCAAGATTTTAACACAAGTCACTGATCCTAAGCGATCAATGGATGCTTTTTTTGTCTTCATATATGCAGCGAGCATGACGCTCTCGCCACATAGTCACTGGCGCTGACTGTATCTTAGAAATGTTTCGATACTCATCAAGGGGTAAAATATGTATCCAACGCACTCAGGAAGCTTAGATGAGGCATATGGGCACTATAAGAATAAAGAAAGCTGCTGAAAGTTTGCCAAAATGACGTGCAATCAAGTAAGATGAGCTCTGGGAATATTTGTGAGATAAACTGGGCACTCGGACCCGTTCTTTCCGCGGCAACGAGACAGAGTAGTCAAGCTTATTCACATTATCCACAACTCGTTTTCACTTCCCAGCCCTTCAAGCCTGCTGCCTCGCGTCTTCGGCCTTCCCGGTCGCACCATCCGACGAAAGATTCATTCCCTTACAAGCGCAAAGTAGTCTGTGTAGTAACAATTTTTCCTACCTCACCGTCCTCAGAGCCGCTGCCGAGCTTCTCCTGATCATGCACTTCACCGGGCGTAACCTTTAAACGGCCTGCGGCGTCATGGGTCGCATCGAACTCCGCCAATTCGGCATTAGGTATCTTCTTGATCTCATGAGTCTGCGCTCCGTTGTCCAGCTTGATGACTTCTTGTCGTAGTTGATATCCTTTCCACTTAGGAATCAATTTCGCCCAGACCCAGTAGTAAGTGCCACAAGCAATGAGACTGATCAGAGAATATGATTAATAAACGCAACACAATGGGAATCGGAGGATTCCAGGCCATTACTTACATTCCAATGCCAGTGACAACGTAAGTAGCGTACCAGAAGCTCACGTCGCCGGCGTACTGGCCTCCCTCTGGAGGGTACCAAGGCATGACGAGCAGGTAGAGTTGCACCAAAATGTTGAAAACAACAACAGGTTGCCATGTCCGAAACTCGGGAGGCGGCAAGTTTGCTCGCCTGCGTCTCCACCGCACAGCATATAGACCGACAGCCATCGCCAGGTTGAAGGCAGCTGTCGGCAGAACAGCGAGATCGCTCACTATACAACGTTAAGCACGTTTTCTGTGGCAATGCCGCGAGATCGAATTCGACTCACCAAAATTAAAGGCGTCTCCTGATGGTAAAGCAAGTATCATCAAGGCAGTGAGTGCCCACTTCACGAAGTAAGGTCCAATTGGGGTCCCAAACGGTCTGGTCGTCACCCAAAATTTGGTCCACGGAAGGACTCCTTGTCTAGAAGAATACGTCAGATGGCTCGGAAACGTATCAAACTGATTTTTGCTAAATGCTTACCTGCCGCATTCCCGTATCATCCGCGATGAGCCCAAGGCGCTTGCAATAATGTTTCCAAAGGCGCTCAGGGCGACTAAGAAGTTCAGTCCACGCACCGCTCCGCTATCTCCGAATACAGCTCTAAAGAACAATGTCGCAACCGTGGTACCCGAATTCTCAAGGTCATATTTGGACACTGGGGTGTTTTCACTGTCAAAAAAATCTACTCAAAGCCAACCAGGTGACATTTGATCATCCATGTGCACTTACCTGCGGCGAAGAACGCCACGTTTGCAAACATGTAGAGCACGTAGACAACAAAAAGGGCCAGAAACGCATACTTCCGGAGCGACTTGACCGGGTTCTGTAGTCGGAAAGATATCAGCTTCTGTACTGGTTGTTGCTGGCGGCCGACCATCATACCTTGACTTCATTAACGACATTGAAGGCATTGTTATATCCGCCGTATGAAAAGATGATCCTGTACAGCGCATTGGTCAAGCCGTAAGCCGTCGCGGCTTCGGTACCGTGAAAGGAGTTCTGAAAATTCGCTGTAGGATTTTCAATCTTAGTGTTGCCACCCAGGACAACGAATCCAGTCACGATAACGAATAGCAGCGTTGCGATCTTGACGAGCCCAATCGCATTGGACAAGTAGTATGAGAACTTCGTGTTGAAGATCAAAGCTTATTGATAAACCTGTTAGCGTACATGAAACTACCCTTTGATGCGGCGTAGCAACGAGCGCTCTTACATAGAGTGGCAATTGTGTAGCCGGCCAATGCGACACCTTTCACCTGCCAGTCGGTACCCTCTTTGCCGGAAATGGCAAACAAATAGTTTGCCAACACTGCACGCGTACACAATTAGCTGCGGCCCGACGACGTCCGGACCCTGGGAAGATCTTTACCAATGGCATTGCTACTGGCGAATGAAAGTATGACATTCTGAACAGCGAAAGTTGTCGGGAAGAACCACATCGGTCGTGGATAGGCTTGTTCGAGGAATACCACTTCGGATCCGGAGCGGCTGGGAAAGTACGCTGTGAATTCGAGATATACTGATCCTGAAGCGATGCAAACCTGGATGATGGGAGAACCATTAGTGCTGACCTTGCCTGATTAAGTAACTCAATACATACCAAGAAGCCGATTGTCCAATAGATAAAGCTCAGACCGACAGACCCAGTACCTGACAATATAGCGGAGGCTTGGGTATGTTAGCAACTTCCATACGGAACTGGATGCGGAAGGTGACCTTACGCGTTGAGTAGATTCCAGTGCCTATCATCATGCTGATGTTCATTAGCAGAATGGTGATAGGCCCGACAGCGTAGCCCAGAGGCGAATTACTCTCGACTGGTGCTCCAGATGCCTCTTGGTACGTAGCAGCAGCATTGTTGCCTCCCTTTTCTCCGATGTAAGTGATACTTCCATCGGAGATCTGGCTCGCGTTATCGGCCGTGACAACGTTCTCGCCGCCGCCGCCGCTGAACGGCTTTCTCCAGGACACCATGGCGTCAGGACCGACTGTGTGATCTCAAAGACAAACACAGGCACAGACCAGGAAGGAGAAGGGCAGATCTCTATAGGGACTCTGTGCCACCACTGCTGGGACAGGTGATAGGCCTGAGGGAATTGGTGTACAGGCTTTCCTGGGGTTCAATACGTTTCTTCTTATGAAGATTCCGCTGCATTGAGCTTTTCGCCCCTGCCATCTATTCAGGTACATTTTACCGTAGAAAGCCCGAATGCAAGATACGGAGCGCGCCTCACCCCACCGGGCCCGGCCAATATCTCGGAAGTGGCTGCTATCTACCTAGGTAGACTCGGTTGGATGCAACCAAAAGCACGATATCGAATGTCGGCATTGGGTGGGAGGATGATACAACCACCCCGGTTATGGACTACACGCCGAGCACGCGATCTCCCACCTTGCGCGGCATTGAGACGCATTACACGCGGCAGGGGGTTGCACCTAATACGATTGTGTCCTCATTTGATCGGCGCCAATGAGGGAGTCTCGAATTGCATGGCCCCGATGTGGCTATAAAAGGGACGTATCACTTACTCGGGCGGGTTTCGCGGGATGCAGCTGTCACGGCAGATCGCGTTGAAATGGTGAAATACGGTTAGCTAACAACACCGCAGCTATGTAGCATTTTTTGTACGCAAGACCTCGGCGACGATAAGACAGAGCTGATACCTTATCGCGGGCCTTTCCGAGTGACCGTTCTTCTTTCATTGACTTCGCCATCACCTTCGACAATTCTTCTATTTCCTGTCCGACTCGCGGAGCCTCGGCGAGCCCTCTCAGAGAACGTTGGACTGCCCTAGGAGTCGTCCCAAGGGGATCGCATCGCACAAAGACAAATGGATCAAGACAAATCAAGTGAACCCCTTTCTCGTTATCGTTGACTTGAATGTAGTCGACTCCCTCTGTATTTCCCGCACAGGAGCAATTACTGTGCGGAAAGCAGCGAGTATGCGGTTGGTCTTGCAACACTCCATCTATGGCAAATAAGATCTTAGAATATACACCTCTCAAAGAAAGGAAAGTAGCCACCAAAGACCTCGGCAAGTGGCAGATAGATAAAAATGTTGGGCCAGGTACGAAGTGAGCAACTTACTGGAAGAGGTAGCACGCGAATGGTTCACGTCGAACTAGGTAGGTTGCAGAGCAGATGGGAAGTTCCCCAGGAATATGAGTCACTAACAGAATATTTTCCAAGCGATAAGTAGTTTTCATATGAGTGTTCATCTAACGACTTTCCTCCATGGGACATGGCATGTCAAGCAGGGTGTACTAACAGCAATCAGTGGCAAGGAATCCAAAGATGTCCCAGGTTGCCTGTATCATCGAATGCAGTCTCAGCCATTCTTGTCTCTCCCACTGAAACCCTAGTGATTGGCAGCGAGCTTCATGTTTTGTGCTTTCCGAGGGCTTTCACAAATTGGCGATTTCTGGCACGGGCGTGATGCGCTTGTTGTGGTATTGGCTTGGTTACGTGTGGCTTATCTGTTGCACTCGGGTTCTTGTTGAGAGTTTTCAGGCCACGACTCTTTGATTATTCTATAGCGGTTGGGACTGTTGATGGACTCTACCAACTGTCATTGTCCCGCACGAGCTTGCAAGCTGCTGCCGTGACTTACACATAGTCACAAACCGACGTTATCTAGTGCCACTAGGATTCTCCTACATCTTCGTTCCGGGCTTGCAGTACATGCAAAGCGTCGCGAGTGACTGAGCTCTATTGTGAAGTATTCAAGTCGCGCGTCTGATGTAGTGTTCTAGTAGCCACATTATCTACGACGATATAGTCCATTTAATGACAAACACAATCGAGTCCCGTACATTGCCTCTGATTAACCTTCTCGGTCACATTCGAAGAGCTTAGAAGCATAGAGTGATTTTCAGATAACTATTCAACAAGCGAGAGACACTCTACTTGATACTCAAGATGTAGGAGTGCAGACGGAAGAGTAGTGGCTGGAGTCATGAGATGGCTGATTACGGTGATGGCTCTCCTAGCTTGAATTTTCACAAGTGCCGTTCAACAGACTGCCGGCGCCATATACTTGTCAATTTGCTGTAGATGGGCCTAGTGGCCCAGTTTAGGGAGGTCCAAGTTGATTAGCGATTCGCTGTACCCAGGCCAACCTCTTGAATAAAGAGTCTCTGGAGACCTATAAACCATTCGCAATATCTGCAGGAAGCGCAATCGATGATGGTTTGTCAGATGGTCATATCTTTGGTCCCTTCTAGTAGCCACACTTTTTGATTGTGACGGAACACTGCGTCCCTTCACTCGCTGACCGTCGGAAGGGGCTGTTCGCGAGGTATCGGACTGACGCGCGTGAGGTAGCAGTGCAGAGGTATCCTCGCCCACAACGCGTAACTCCTCTGCCTTTCAATCCACCTATGGCTGTCCTCGGCAAGTCGTAGGTCGAAGTTGTAGATCAGGCGTGCTAAGATAATGCGCATCTCAACATAGGCCAAGCTGAGTGACCGTGTTTCGTTAGTGGCCACATCGCTCTCAAGAACCAAGCAAGACGAACGAGCTTCCTGAGAATAGTACGTACTTGCGTCCGATGCAATTTCTCGGGCCAACACTGAAGGCTTGCAGGGCTTCCAGCTTATCTCCTGGTACGTCCTCCAGGAACCGTTCCGGCTTGAATGCCCAGGGCTCGGTCCAGTTCTCCGGGCTGTGGTTCATTGACCAGTGCTGGCACTCAACCATGGTCTTCCGAAGCGTTAGTAGGCGCTAGACCATCAAGGTTTGAAGTGAAAAGAGGAAAGGGAGTCGAGGCAAGACTTCTGCTTACACCCTCGGGGACCCAATGATCTGCAATCATATCGCCACCAGGGGGCACCACCCGCACCAGGCTAGATGTCACTGGCGGGTATAGCCTGAGTGCCTCATTGAGAGCTCCGAGCATATATGATAGTTTGTTGACGGAGCTTGCCGTGATCTCGCTGTCACTTGCAAATGCCGATCGAACCTCATGCTTCAGCTTCTCCATCTTGTCTGGGTTTGTGAGCAATAGATAGGTGCAACCGGACAGCAGAGTTGCTGTGGTCTCGCTACCGGCAAGCACAAGGATCTCAGCGTTGGCGGAGAGCTGCTCGAAAGACATTTTCTAGTGCACAAACGGAGTAAGTGTCAGTGGGTTCTTTTCTTGTCCGCACCGTGACAGCCAAGTAAAAGAGATACTTACCCATTCAGCTTGTTTCTTAACTATTCCTTCAAACAAATCATTCCTCTCCTGGGTCAGATTAAGTCTTGAGACGACCATATCATTTGTGTACTTCTTGAGCTGCTTTATGCTCTTGCTCCCAACAAAGCGGAAGAACAGCTGGACAAACCTATTCCACCCCACATAGATCATGCCCGACATTGTGGCACCGTACTTGATGCTAGCCAGCATGGAGTGGACCCAGGGATTGTACTGAAACTTATCAAGGCAGCCGAACGACAGGCCAAAGACCAGATCACCGACGACGTCAAAGGTTGTCCAATTGTACCAGGCCTCAATGTTCAACGGCTTTCCTTCTTTGCAATGGGTTTCCAGGCCGCTAATCAGCTTGTCAACGTACTTCATGATCAGCGGCTCCTGTGACCGAATGGACGCGTCGCTGAACCCGTGACTCATTGCCCTTCTCAGGCGCTGATGCTCTTCCTTGTCCGAGTTGACGATCGTAGTGGGCAGGGCATCAATCGGTGACGCGGTGACGCGCGACTTGGACATCTCCAGCTGGTGAGAGCCATCTTTCTCGCCCCCAGTGCGGTGGCCATAGATGTCCTTCCATGCTCTAGGGTCGGTGAAGGAGAGGTGGTTCGGCCCGATGCGCACCACAGGCCCGTACTTCTCGTGCTGCCGGTGCGTGTAGAATGCCTGGACACCGACAGCCTGGCGGAGAGCCCACGGCCATGGCGTTGCTCGGGACAGCAGAGGCCCCGGGATGCTGCGCAGCGGGTGGAAGAAGAGGTTGTAGACAACGAGGCTCAGTTGGTGGGTCAGGATCTGCTTTGGTCAGCTTAATGACACAATATGCTTGTCTACCAACCGGAAGACGCTGGGCAATGGGGGAACCTTGCAAATGCGGACGTGGGTCAGATCTCACCGCGCCTAGGAAGACAACAACAATTGCCATTGGACCGATGGGGGCCCCTGCATCCACGATCTTGTTTAGTATAGCCATAGTGTTGAATGTATCTGTATCCTTTCTGGATTGGTTTGAGGATGATATTCAGAACACTGCCGTGGAATTTGGACGTATTAAGTGTGGCAAGGAGCGGGTTCAAGAGCATGTCCGACGACGTCCAGATGTCAAGCATCTCGTGCGGGGCATCCTGACCGAGAAAGCAATCAACCTCACATGGCTGCAGCATGGTCGTGCAGCATGATACGCTGCGTCGAAGATCGGCCGCAGCGGAAACGTGCCTCCCGGGCTTTGACACCCGTCCCAGCCGTGTCTGGAGGTGCTGGGATTCGCTCGGTGCACATGTGCTGGCTCGTTTTGGAGTCGAGACTTACTTTCCATGAAGCGTTGCACTGAGCCCCGTACTTGGGGAGAGCATGATGCTTCTACTGCGCCTCTGTTGCTCTGTCCTTCCCGCTTTGCCTCATGTGCAAAGTCAAGCCCGTCGGTGTTACTATAGAGTCTATAATTTGCGGCATGGGTACATATAAGGTGAGAAGGATTTTGATAGGCTGATCACTCCATCAGTCCTACTCACAATCTCAAGCACAGCTCCCGATGTATCAGCAGCGCTGGTCTTGCTCTCCTCGCGGTGCCTCATAGCAAACCTTCTCACCTGTGCACTGACATGGTCACTTATGTTCTGGCAAACCGGCCAACATATTGCCTGCACACAACGTTCGCGCTGAGGCATCATCTGGAAGAAGTGGATGGCAACACTCATTAAAATTGCAGTCTGTACAGGATGCTGCTCTAACTTGAGGAGATGATCCTCTCCAGCTCTGCTGCATCCTTGACGACACTGGTGAAATTCTCACACCCGTCCTTGGTTATCAGGACATTGTCCTCAATCCTCACCCCACCAACATCCCAGTACCGTTCTAGCACGCCGGCATCAATGTGTTTTGCTGTGGCAGGGTCATTGAGGGCCGGGTCGATGATGAACTTGCAGAAGTAAATGCCCGGCTCGACCGTGATCACGCTGCCAGCAGGCAGAGTGCCGCGCTTCCGCAGATACCTGAACATGGGATCGGTATCAGCGTAATTAGGGTCGCCGCCCGTGTCATGGGTGTCCATGCCCATGTAGTGCCCGAGTCCGTGAGGGAAGAAGGCCACGCTCGCCTTGCTCTTGAAAATATCCTCCCGGTCGCCCTTTAGTATTCCCAGCTGGAGCAGGCCGTCGATGGCGATCCGGTGTGCGTTGGCGTGCACGTCGTCCCAGCTGACGCCCTCTTTGAGCATGGCGATACTCTCGAGCTGCATCTTGAGGACGGTGTCGTATATGGCACGGCTCTCGGGGGTGAACTTGCCGCTGATGGGAAAGGTGCGGGTAATATCGGAGGCGTAGCAGTTGATTTCGCACCCGGCGTCCAGCAGGAGGTTCAGCTTGCCTTCGAGGGGCTGGTCGTTGCGGACGTAATGCAGGGTCGCAGCCGAGCGGCCACTGGCGACAATCGTGCTGTAGGCTTGGTTCTTGGAGCCTTTGGATACGAACTGCGACAGCAGCACTGCCTCCAACTCTGTCTCGTTCTTTGCGTGGCGGACCTTCTCCATGACGGCTCTGTGGGCGGCGGACGAGATGTCACTGGCTTTCTGGATCAGAGCAACCTCATAGTCGGACTTGACGACACGAGAGTATTCGATGGCTTCTTTAAGAATGCTCATGTTCTTGTCCTCGAACTCGAGGAAGGTAATGTGGTCAGAAACCTGGCCGGATATCGCGTACACCGTCTTGGAGCTGTTTTTGGCGAGGTGGGCAAGGGTGGAGTTGACGTCTGTGGTGAGGGCAGCGTGGTGGACATCGTACTGGTTGAGTGCCTCGCTGGTGCTCAGCGGCAGGCCGGACCAGACTACAGAATCGGCGTCGACGGGAGGAACGTAGAGAGTCGACTCGCCCGAGGCGATGTCGTAGGTGTAGTGGCAGTCGGGCAGGTCGCAGCCGGTCAGGTAGTAAAAGTAGCGACGTTGCCTTGCGCCCAGCCAGGGGATGTCAGCGAGACAGAACAGAGCAGAGAGCTGGGAGACGGGGTCTAGCGCTACCGGAAGTGCTCCTCCTGATCGCAGTTCTCGATCATCCTCGTCTTGCCGCCCTCGAGATAGATGACACCAGTGGTGGCGTCTGGTAGCTTGGAGCGGATGTAGTCGGCGACGCGCTTGGCATGGAGATTGCCAGGGTACTTGCCCTTCAGGATCTCCTCGTAAGGCGCCATGTTGATGGGCTGTGGCTCAGGTTTCCCCGCCGGCGGTCGAAAGAGCTGTGATGAGCTTGCGAGGCCACGAACCTGAAGCGACGGCAGTAGCTGGGTCCAGGTGGTACCGAGGCCCGGGGACGACGAAGCTGGGCTGCGCGCGCACAACGGGCGAGAGCCAGCACGGGTGAGGACGAGTGTTGGGTGGTTCGTGAGCGCTGTTGATATCGCTGCTTGCTTCGGTATTGGGATGCGTTGTGGCCGCAGGGGGAGAAAGGCTCGCATGGAGGAGGCAGAGCAAAAGCTCCAATAGCCAGGCAAAGCCAATGGCAATGGCAATGGCAACGATTATGCAACGCCGTGTGGTTATCGTCGGGAAGAAGCAGGCTGACAGGCCGTTGAGCTGTGTTGCCCCGCAGTTGAGCTGCTCTGGTCTGCCCACCTGCCCACCTAATCTTGGCTGGGGCGCCGCGGTTGATCGGCACAGGGCCCAGATGGGCTACCCTGCTATCTGGGTACGTACTGAGGTACCTAGGTGCAGTATTGGATCGGTGGTGGGGCTCGTAGCCAGATGAAATCCAGGGTCCGTCCCAGTGATGCGCTTGCCCGCCGCAAACTGATGATCTGCAATCAGCTCGACCACGTCTCTCGAAAATCAGATCTCAGAAGTCAGAATTCATTTTCCAACCAATGGCTGCTGTGCAACAGTCGTCCCAGTCCCAGGAAACAGGATAGGACAGGACAGGACGGCCACACCTTGGATCCCGCGCGTGCGTCGCTGTGTATGTGTTCTGTTTTGTGTGTTTGTGTGTTATATGCGTATTGTACTTGTGTACGAGAATATATAGATATATGTATGCGTCAGATAAATGCTCTTTCATGTGTTCCCTCGCGCCGATGCAAAACATGTTTCTCGCTTCGAGTAGATGGCCTGGACCGAACCCATAGGCACGAACGAGCACACGCATGATGTGACGCTTCGCTCAAATAAAAAGAAATGGTTCCCAATGCAGTGTGATATATATAACAAGAGACAGGTCCCATATATGCTCTGCTTCAAACCTGCCCGCTTCATGATGTGGGCACCCAACTACACATTGCCTTCCTCAGCCTTCAACAACTGCCTGGGGCGGTAGGTTCCTCGGCTTGGGCAGGTTCGCGAGACTCAGCCCCGGCAGAGGGACCCTACCGCCCGCCCCGATGATGGTCAGGTCGGCACCGTTCTTCATGTTTGTCCAGTGGTCCTGCAGCAGCCCGGCGCCGACCACCAGCTCGAAGCCGCACAGGAAGCAGAAGCTGATCTCGAGCCTGGCCAGCTCCAGCTCGCTCACGCCGCCCACCTTGGCCACCTTGGCGTGCGGGTAGCTCAGGTCCTCCAGCGCCTTCATGGCCACCCTCAGACCGGCCAGAAGTAGCCTGTGCGCGTTCCTCTTCGTGACGGCCACCGCCCGCTCGTCGACCGCGAGCCTGTGGATGTAGAGACTCGTAGCGAGGTAAACAGCGGTGCTCATGGGGCAGAAGCGGTGGATGCGCAGAAGATAGTCGCTGATGCCGATCGGTGGCGGCTTTTTGCTGTAGAACTTGCGCGTGATGGCATTATGCTGCATGTTAAGGGGCTGACTGTTGGCGCCGATGATGACGTACGGCTCGGGTGTGGAGGAGGGCGGCGGCGGCGGCACGAAGCTGCTCGGCTCAGGGCTGGGTGTGGGCCTGAGGTGCACGCCGTCGATGGGTGGGGGCGCTGGGGGGTGTAGGCCGGGCACGGTGAGGTTCGCAGTGCGCGTCGGCTTCGGTACAGCCAGGACGGGCCCAGCGGGACTCTGCTGCGACGAGGGCGGTGATATGGTGCCCTGGTCGTCTGGCAGGGTGGCTGCTGGGCCGGGGGTGTTGCCGGCGTCCTGGGTGTGGCGCGCGGCCAGCTCCTCTTCGCGCAGGCTCTGTTCGCGCAGGCGCGTCAGGCTCTTCTCGGAGTGGTTGCGCACGATGCTCTCCTTCTCGGCCTGCATGCTCCTCATGTTGGGTATGTGTGGGACCATGGGGGGCGGGGTGGGTGGGATGTCGCCGGTGATGCGCACCAGGGCCTCGACGCCGGCACTGAGCAGCTTGAGGGCGGCCATGGCGGGGACCTTGAAGATGTCATCGGGCTGGGCGGTGAGCTGGGGAGACGTTATAGGCTGGAGGTCGGGGTGGGGAGGCTGTATCACCAGGACGGGGTCGGTCGAGGGCTTGGGCGGCGGCGGAGGGGACTGCGGCACGGAGGAGCTGTCGCTGGACTCGGGGTCGGGGTGTGGTGGCGGTGCCGCCCCGCGGTCGTGGGGGTCGGGCGACATGGCTGGGGTTGGTTGGGGTTGTTCTTGTCCTACGCCGTGGCTTTGTGTCGGCGGAGGGCGGCGACTGCTGCGCGACTCTTGTACGGCCAACAAGGTGCGGCGAGTGCGGCAAGAATACGGGAGGGGTTTGTTTTTGGTTTGTGCGATCGGTATACGATGTGTGGCGAGGTCTAGATCGTCGTGAGAGCGGCGGTGGTCTTTGCGCTACTATCGTGTGCCGTGCCACCTTTTCCTTTCTCTCCGTCGTCTGCTCTGCCAAACCTGCCGGCCAGCTTGCCTGCCTGTAACCCTTTAATCGTGTGGGCTCGCGAGTCGTATCTCTACCTCGTCGACGAGAGTAGCAAGGAAGAAAGCAGCGGTGCTGTGCTGTGCTGTGCTGTGTCGTGGACTAGGAGGGCCAGGGCGGTTGGTCTCTTTTCCTGCTTCTTGATAAGTATATCGAAGCAGGACTGCTCATGGTCTCGTGGTCTTGTCCTCTCTTCCTCTGGTCCTGGGTCTATCAGCTGCTTTTTGGCTGCTGGCCTGGGGCTGGTGGTCGAGAGGGTGCAACTATGCAGCGAGGTCGGATGGGCGAGGAGACAAGAAGATACCTGTTGAGAGTTGGTCGAGATCGAGGTCGAGGTCGAGATTGAGGTCGAGGGCTGTGAGTCGAGAGAGGGGAGCAGCAAGAGAGGGTCTAGTGTAGTGTAGTCGAGTCGAGTCGAGTCGAGTCGAGACCCTGACTGTTTGGGGTGGGCTGGAAAAATGAAGCCGAGGCGGCCAGGTGCAGGGCCGGGGCAGGGTGGAGGTGGAGGTGCACTGGGTGCAGCAGACGCAGACGGGCGGAACAAGGCCAGCAGACAGGGTACCACAGGATAGTCTATGTGTGGGGTGGGGTAGCAGCGAGATTGAATTGGGGGGGAGCAATGGGGCATGGGGCCTGGGCCAGCTTTGGGGGTGGCCGCCGAGCAGGCGAGACAAACACGAGAACAGAAGAGAGAAGAGAAGAGGGGAGGAAACGCCACACCACAGACGACAACGACAGATCAACGAGGATTGCAATTATCGATGGCCAATGCCAATGCCAATTCCAATTCCAATTCCAATTCCAGTGGTCGAGACAGAGAAGAGCCGAGGGACGGGCGGGTGGTCTTCAGTTCGCTTCATCTAAACGCTGGGTCCCTTGCCTTGTCTTCCCTTTGTCCGCTCTTCTTCTGACGGCCACACGCGCCCACCACCCGAACACCAGTCGACGGGAACGGGCGGCTATTGCACAACAACAACAACAACCGAGGGGTTGCTTCTGTTCTCGACCTTGCGACCTGGCGAGACCTGGTAGCTACAGCCTGGCAGTCGTAGACGAGGAAGTTCTTGGGAGGGGCAAATTGCCAATTTGCTTTGCCTTAGTGTTGTTATTAGTTCTCTCGACGTTACTGTCGGGCTGTATATTATGTACTTTTATCATGTGCACATCGATCGTTCCGACAGTAGAACCAACAATAACGGACAAGTGGCGGTGACAAGCTGACGACGAGATCGTTTCAATTGCAAGGGGGCGACGAGCGAGCTGCAGGACGAAGATCGAGGGTCTAGGACGGTGGATATGTCGACATTGGGATGCGAGACGGTGGATGATTTGGTGTCTGTCTGTGTGTCTGTCTACCGTGTAGACTAGATATGGAGTCGGAGTGTATGTCTAGGTCGGCTCTGTAGACTGCATCTAGCCCAATATCTAGACTGCTAGACTATTAGACTATTATCTATCTTGGAGTTATACCACGTAGACATGGAACCACAACACGCCACGACCAGACTACACAAGAAGTGGCCAGACGCGGTTCAATGTTGATCACGCAGGCTCACACACAGCCCACACGGTCTGACAGACTGACAACTGCCCCTCATTTCTTGCTGGGGCTTTGAGCTGCTTCTCCTCATCTCTGTCTTTACCCCCGCAACCACCCCCCAGCCAGCCTGGCCCAAGCTCCTTGCAGGACCCCTAGACACGAAGACATGCAGATACTGTACTACAGTAGGACGCCCGCAGAGATCACCAGGCCCTAAGGGTCGGCGGGGCTGGCTGAGCTGCAGAGCCCGCGTTCTCGTGGGTGGTGGCAAACCAACCGGCCCAAGCCTCCTGTAGGTCGAGATAACGACAGCAGATCTTCCACGGTTGCGTTCGCTCCCGGAATTCCCGCAATCCCAGTCGCCATCTACGTGCTACAGATTGTTGAGAGATGATCTACACTGGTGCATGTTCTGCGCTTTAATGTCTGCTACAATAGGTTGCAGTGCTACGAAGTAGTCAAAGCTCCAGGAAGACACGTTCACGTCCACGCTCACTTCTCACATCGCAAACATGCAGGGCCTGCATCACATGGGAAGGCTGAGAAGCGTCTAGACCTTTGGTCCCTTCTGCTCGGTCCGTCCCAGGCATTTCACAGCCAGACAATACGATTCAAGACCCGATTCGTCAGATGGTTTGATGCCACTTCATCTTTGTCGTCGTTGTCGTCGTCGTCGTTGCTCAAATAGTCCAGATATTGTCGCACGGCAGAAGCCACGTCGTATCCGATACGCCATCCACCGCTTAGCCTGCTTCTCCCGTATGTTCAAATTAGATAGATAATTCTGGTAGTTGCACACAGATGTAAGCTCTACGGGTTATTTCCGATGCCAGGTACATGCAATGCACACACACACACACACACACACACACACACACACACACACACAGCGGTAGTTAGTAGGCCAGTCTGTGGTGTAGCCACTCACGTTCCAAACAGAAATCTTACTGCATCATGTAGTACACATCTTACCTGCGTTTGCACGACGTGGTCCAAGGCACACACAGAGACAGAGAAAGAGAGGTCCCGGGAACTCATGACAGACAGCTAGCCAGAATGGCAGAATAAACACGTTCTTCTCTATCATCACCTAGCAGTCCTTGAGCACCTTGACGTCCAGCACCGCCGGCTGGCCCTGCTGGACACTCTCGATGGCCTCCTTCAGCACGGCGTCCAGGTTCTTGGCGCTGTCCACCTTGGCCGCGTGCAGCTTGCCGCCCGCGGCAGCCTTGGCGATGCCCGAGTAGTCTGGCACCGGGTCGAACGAGATGTTGATCTCCTCGTTGGTCGCCGTCGAGCCCAGGCCGTTGGGGTGCACCAGAAGGAGGGACTTGCGCGGCGCGTTCCATCCTGTTGGGTAGTTCACGGCGTCAGCATGCATGATATACCACCAGTGAGTGAGTGAGGGAGGGGGCGGGGGAGAGGGAGAGGGAGAAAGAGAGAAAAGCAGAATAAAAGGCCATCACTTACCCTTGTTATTCAGCACAATAGTCAGGACCGGGATCCCGTACCTCTGTGCGATCCAGTACACTGAGCCAGGGACGCTGAACAGGAACGTCCCGTCGCCGACGATCTGCACCACAAACTTGCCCTTGCCGGGCCCGCCGCCCTCCGCGTCCGTCGCCAGCTTGATGCCCAGCGTGCCGCCGCCCGACCAGCCGAGGCCGCCGCCGCCGCAGTTGATCCACGAGCCCGGCGCCTCGGGCTGCAGGTTGTCGTGCACGAACGCCGTGTTGGTCACCGCCTCGATCGCCCAGATCGTGTCCTCTGGGCACAGCTCCCGCAGCCTGCGGCACAGGTACCCCGTGCCGAACCCGCCGTCGTCCGCCGGCTTCGTCCTGGCCTCGATGTCCCGCAGGCGCTGCGCGTGGCTCTCCTTCAGCGCCTTGCCGCGCGCGCTGGCCTCTGCGCTCGAGATCAGCGCCTTGGTGCCCTCATTAGTCTTGAGGTAGTCCGTGATCTGGCCCACCGACAGGAGGCTGTCGGCGCGGTAGCGCTGCAGGGCGTCGATGTAGAAGACGGGCATCAGCTGCTTCAGCGGGTCGCAGTCGACGTGGAAGACCCTGGCGTCGGCGCGCGGCTTGCAGCCCGTCGGGATCCACGGCACGTCGCAGTCCAGCACCAGGATCACGTCGGCCGACTGGATGTACTCCTCGCGCCCGAACCGCAGGCCCAGCCAGCCCGGGTGCGACGCCGGGAAGCACATGTCGCTGCCGCCCGTGTCGAGCACGCGCAGGCCCGGCACCGCGTCCGCCAGCTCCACCAGCCGCGCCGGGAACGCGTGGTTGCGCCCCGCGTACCCCGTGATCACCAGCGGCTGCTCGGCCCCCGCCAGCGCCTCGGCGATGCCGCTGACCCCCCGCGGCGGCAGCCCGCCCAGCTCCACCGGCTCCCAGAACCGCTGGTCCACGCTGTAGGGCTCGATGTCCTCCTCCATGACCTCGCGCGCGCCGCACAGGTAGACGGGGCCCTGCGGCGCCGACCGCGCGAACTGCAGCGCGCGGTTGACCATCTGCTTGACGTTCTTGCCCGTCTTGAGCTCGCCGGCGTAGCGGCAGTACTGCGCCACGATGGCCTTCTGGTCCGGCACGTCCTGCACCCAGTGGATGTACTCGGTGCGGGAGCCGCGCATCTCGCCCTCGATGGTGTAGGGCGACAGGCCGGCGAACAGCAGGATGGGCGCGCGGCCCGTGCTGGCGTTGTGCACCGCCGCGCCTAGGCCCTGCGTGCCGACGTCGACGTGCACGATGACGGCTTGTGGCTTGTTGGTCAGGCGGGCGTAGCCGTCTGCCATGGACATGGCCACCATCTGAAGTTAATGGGTGTGAGCACAGTGAAGACCAGGGGATGAGGCCGGAGGAGCTTTTGCTGTCCTCGTATACTACATACCTCATTGGGACAGGTGATGATGCGAGGGAAGTTGGCCTTCTTCTCGCGCTGGCCCTTGACCATGGCCTCGATGATGCTGGGGTGATCAGACCCCAGGTTGACAAAGACATGGCTGATGCCGGCCTCCCAGAGGGCCTCGAAGAAGGCGAATGAGGTTGTGTACATGCCGGGCGGAGAGGCTGTCGTGTGCAGTGCCCTGGATGCGTTTGCAGGTATGAGTGAGCCTGTAGAAGCCGGTGGTAATAGTGTTGATGCTAATGGTGATAGGTTGCTGGTGCTCCTTGTTCCCAGTGTAGATGACGTTGCACTTGATGAGTCTAGGAGGTCCGTTCGCCCACTGGGGCTCAGCGTGGTGGTCCCGGGGAGTAAAGACTTGGATATAGCAATCGAGGATGAGTACCTCACTTGAGAATGGTTCAAGCAAGGTAAGGTTGAACAGCCGGTGGTGATGCCGTTCCGCGGGGGGTTCCTGGGGGCAGCTATGTCCGCTTCGGTGTTCGGCCGGAGCTGCGGGGCGCGAGGGCGGTCTCGGGATGGAATTCCGGCATCGTAGCAGCCAGGAGAACGGTGGAACTGGCGCAGGCCACTGGACCCTGCCGCCCGATGGCGCAACAGATGCAGAGCGCTTCTGCTATTGCTGCGTGTGGTGGCCGAGAGCGCGAGGACAGCGGGCCGTGGCACAGAGTTTCCCCTGGACGAATTGGAGAGCGGGGTCCTGCGCAAGAGCATTTCCGGGGAACCAATGCGGGAGCTCACCAAGCTTTGGGGGCACGGGGGTATGGGAGCAAGGGGCTGGTCCGGATGAATGTGTATAGAGTGGAGAGGTGGAGGGTTGAGAGTGGAGGAGAGTAAAGGGAACAAGTGCTGCTTTGTTGCTGCTGCTACTGGTGCTGGCAACGACGTGCTCTATTCTCAGGTCACTTGCACAACATGCACGCGTATTGGTTCTCGTCAATGTCCTGGTGTTTGTTGGTCGTGTACAGGATGAAGTTGGAAGCCCATGGAGTCTAGGGATTGGATTACAGTAAAGGGAGAGGGAGACATTGACAGGTAATGCTCGGCTTCCCCAGGTTTAAGCATGGGCCGGGTGCCAGCGTGGAGAAGGGCGATAGTTACATAACAGAATAATAATAGATAGGCTAGGATACAATGTACGATGGTATCTCGTGCTGCGTAGCACAATGCGGCACAGTAGTCTACAAATTGCTCGGTCAGATGGTCTGGACTGTGCTTGAAATTGTGAATAATTCTGCTTGAGGGTCTTCTAGATTTTAGGACGCTGAGCAACAATGATTGTGTGTTTGCGTGTGTATTCTGCACTCTGGTCAGTGCAGATTTTCAAGTCCACTTCAAGAAATGTTCCAATCTGTCTATATATATGGAAACTTACTTCTGTTCTATCCATTGTGACGACTATTGGAGGATCAATGGCAAGTGGGCAACCTGTTCTGTTCATTATTATTTACTCCGTATCTATTGTACGTGGTATCTAGTCGAGGGTAAAATGTGGATCCAGGAGTGCCCGCCCCAGCTTCCCCGCACCCGTCTTCGCATGGGTACGTACTCTGGTTCAATGGGCTGGACATTGGGATATTGGAGAAGATACAAACGCCTAGACTGGATAGACCACCTTCTTTAGCTACTGTACAAGATCATTTCACCATTTACTAGACTATATGACCATGGTAGTTTCCCCCTTGTTCGATTCACATTGACTGCCAGGGTTTGGCCATCTGGCAAGTCTACTTTCCCTCTCTTTTGTCCTTCCGCAATAGGAAAACGAGCTATGTGCGGGGAAACCTTACCCCCCAGGTATTTGTGCAATCATGTGGCCGTATCTCCAAGGTTTGAAGTCTCGCTTATCGTCGGGACACTGCAACACTACGCTTTCTCAAGCTCGAGCTCGAGCTCAAACTCAACCCAGACGCTGAGTCCTGAACGAGCTCAGCCACCCGGCCAACCACGCTCTGTCACATGGCTCACGGGGGCCCACATGGCCAGCATGGCTCGCATACTGTCAGAGAGCATAGTCGACGTCCGGTCTCGGTCTCTCATCTGACCTTCACTCGGCTAGGTAGGTTTCGTGACCCAACTCGGTCTCGCGAAAGGGACACTTGAGCTCCAAGGACGAGGAGTTGCAGCTTCCTTTTTTTAGGACGTGTCCTATTGTCACGGCTATAACAAAGTTAGCTGACACCATGCACTGCTGTGCTCACTACTGCCAGTGAGAGAATATAACAGAGGGTGTGTGATTTCGGCGTCTCTTTGCGGACAACATAGATAATTGTTCAGGGCAGCAGGCTTTCGGCAGCAATCCCGATATTTTCAAGTCAATTCTAGTAGAATTCTGCTTATTCAGTATACGATCGTGTATTCTTCCTTCGCACAAGCCTCCGGGTAGTGTAGGAGTGTAGGCACTGTCTGATAGGTTATGAAATTTTGATAATATTTTCCATTTTCAATGGTTGCCCGAGTCTGGTAACTCCCTAGGTGTGGATATTCGAACAAGCAGACTGACACGCACTGCACAACGCTGGCCGAGGGATCTTGCATGCTGACCTCAAGATCTTCCCCTTGGTTACCTCGCTGACCTAATTCGTTCGAACTTTTTTTTTCTCTGAAAAGGCAAAGCCTGTGGGCTTTATTACTGGAGAGCTCGTAAGCCCTTCCCGTTTGTCAGATAATACAAATCCTCTAATCTGCACACTGCCAGCACTTTTTGATTCCGATGCCGTTCTTGCACGAGATCTCCTCGTCATGAACTGGATTCTACGACTATGGTTTCTTGCATGATATTCTGATCAATATGTAGCCTTGGCGGATTGTTATTCAGGACATTGGTGAGCTTTTTAGCATCTACGACTATCCATATGGTACTAGAACAACTGCATGGAGACTACGTATCGCTTGATGGCTAGGAAATTGTTTAGTATGGTGGACTTTGCCTCAGGTCTTAACGACGTTTCTTTGGTGACCTCGCTTGTGAGTCCAGCTTGGCTACGGGTCGTCCCCGTTTTGTTCCTCTCGTGTTAGTCGGATGAAATCCGCCGGTCTTTTGTTTCTTCGGTGGAATCCTCGAGACCACCGTACCACTTCCAGTGAAACGTTTCTGATTGGTCTCAAGCCTCCCAATGGCAGCCCTCAAGCGCTTGTGATAGATCTTCGCTTCTCGAGGCATGGAGCTACACACTGGATCCTCCATCTCTTTACTAAAGACGTAACTGCAGACACCCCCTTCAACGAGGTTTTCTCGGAAGAAAAGCTTTGTGTTCCAGGCCCAGCGATTCGTGACGTTCGCACTTATTCTGGCGTTGGAGAGTATGGATTTGATGCTGACATCCATTCCATCGAGGATATAATTCAAACGTGAGTCGCGGGGACGCTGTGAGTCCAACTGAGCGGCATATGGCATCAGCTGATTTGTGAGCCATTGGATATATGGTGTGACACCATCCGGATTATTGTCGGTATCGGACATCCAGTACCGTGCCCAGGATCCTCGATTTAGAACCTGCGGGGTGGCTCGTTTAACCCATGCTGCATAGGCGCGCAAGATACTGAGCTCCGGGATGAATTTGCGGCCCGAGTACTCAGGAAGTTTCTGCTTCAGGATCCCTGACAGGGGCTGGGTAGAAAGGTAGTCTTTCACGGTTCGATGGAGAAAATTTACCTGGAAGGATTGGAGTTCTAAGAGACCACGAGTCCTGCTGTTCAGGTGATACGCCATACGACAATGGATTTCATCAAATTCTCTTTCGGTGAAAGGCAACATCGGGCTTTGCTGCCAGTAATCCTCATCGTCATGCCCTAGGTCGTGGTAGTCGTAAATGACCATATGCAACGGCTCCTTTGCCGCAAGTGCGATGTGGAGCATGGTGGCCATCTTTGCGTGATAGAGAGGTTCCACTGAATCCAGTATCTGCTTGAAGAAGTCGCCCAGCTCGCGTGGGATGGACTCCAACCTCCTACGCAGATCAGGGAATCGATCCCGGTTTGTCATTCCCTGCCGCAGGAGGTTTGTCACCAAGAACACCCAAAGGAATACCCCAGAACAGCGTTCTGCGATCTCCTCAACAAACCATTCGCCCCCGAAAGGTGTCGATGCACAGATATCAGCCCATTTGGGATGCTCTTGTAGGCGGCTGGCCGCGTAATTCCTAATATCGTTTCTTGTCAAGTCATGTATGTAAATCTTCGGCATACTTTCGAACGCTTCCTCGAACACATTCCATGGTCTACTAGATAAACAGATCTTGATATGGCGAGATGCAGACAATTCACACATCGTCCGGCACTGTATTCGAAATGATTGTCAGTAAGCACAGAGTTCGAAATCAGAAGGTGAAGGAAGGACATTGCATAGTTGCGAACGAACCAACTGAAAATGACCATCGTGATCTCCTTCGAACTCGTCCAAACCGTCGATGAAGAGACAAAAGTTGACCTCGTCGTCTACGCCATTCTCTGTGATTTTTCTCAAAGCCTCATTGAGGCTATGTAGCGACCACATCCTGCCAGAATTTCCCGGATTGTCAAGCTCACGCCATCTTTCTTCGCAGGCAATAGGGATGAGGGCGGGACGCTGCCGAAAGATGTCATAAAGTAGTGATCGTAGGAGCCCTTCCTGCAATTTCTGCATTGGTGAACCCGAATTCCAGAAATAGTGAGCCGCGACGATGGTCGGAGATGCCCACCGGGACACATACTCATTTGTCATTGGTGCACCAGCGATAAACTTCATAAGTGTGGACTTTCCAGAACCTGGTTTTCCTGCAACCCAAAAGATCCCACTCCCCGACTCTAACCACTGCGCCAATGTCGGGCTGCCCTGATCGGTGGGACTGTCGTATTTTCCTGGGTCGTCTTCAAGCAGCCAGCGAAAGGTTTGTTCGTGAGCCTGTGGAATAGCGTCGTGTCTCAGCGGTCGCGCGTCAAATTGTAATGTAGACAGGAATTTCTGTTCCTTCTCCAGAAGATTTTGAGTAATGGAAAGTCGCTTGAATTGTCGATTCAGAGACTCAATATCAATCATTGCAATTGAGTTAGGTTCGTTGGCTTGGTGGATTTCTCGCAGCATTTCTCCCAGTTCGGCTAATGATCTCTTGACTTCATCTAGTCCTTTCTTTTGGTCGAGTTGCAACTCCACGCTTCTTGTTTGCAGCCTATCTCGCAATGCGTTCTGACGCTTGTGGTAATTTCTGTCAATCTTTGTGAGTACTCTGTCCCGAATGTATCGAAAGGCTAATGAAAGGAACGAATGTACCCCGATATTACACAAATATGGACAGTCAGCGTCATTTGTGTCTTCAATAAACGGTCTTCTATATCATCGATGGCTTTCTGTGTCCACATCTTCCTCAAGGCGATGCGAAAGCTCTCCCATTTTCTTCTCGAGCTCCCGCCATCTTTCAGTCGCAGTTTATTAGTGACTCGCAGCAGCTCGTCGCAATCTCTTCTGCACGTCTCGGCTAGCCTTTTCACTGCAATGGCCGAATCCTTTACATCGTCTTCCGGGCCACTCCAATTGGCCCCCTCGTCGGCGATATTATGTTCACAAGTAAGAATGAGTTTGTTGTTCAAACCTTTCAGGTCGCCGTAAACTTGCTCCATACATAGAGCAGCACCTGGATGATCAGAACCTGAACGGTACACCTCAACGCCGGCCTTGATAAGCTCTGATGCGAACGAGACAAAGGATAGAACGTTCGAGGCAAGCCCAAATGCAGTCAAGGGATCCATCATGGGATGTGAAGCAAACCTCGCTAATATGCTCGCGTGTAAAGAGCATGAAAGCACTGATTTGAGCAGAGTTTCTCAATTGGTGGGGTTACAAGCTGGAATATATACTTGCAGTAAGCGCTAATTGCGATTTCGCAAGGCAGACTGGTGTTTGTTAGGCTGCAATGCAGCCATGTTCGCGCGGTCGAGGCCGGCTTCGTGTTGTTCATTTGGCAGCTGCTGGACCAACCATGGGTCTCCTTTAAGTGCCACGGTGGTTCCCAAATCTACCAGCCACGATGCAGTGAAACCACTTGTGTGGCGCAGTCTTTGAGAAATTTTGATCTTGGACGAGAACAGAGGTCTGGAAGCATACCATCATGGCGCAAAGCTTGGTGTTAGCAACTCGCAGGTCTTCATTGACTTTCCACTCCACACCTCGTTACAATTATAGAGTAAAATTCTCAATAAATAATCCCCGCGTACAAAAAAAATGCAATGCAAAGAAAGAGAGAAGCAGAAGGGAAAAAATTAATCAATAAACTTTTTAGAACAAAGCGCATTGTTTTGCTTTTGACGCTATTACTTGATGAAGTTTTGATATTCATATTGTAAAGCTCGAAATTATACATGTCAGTACCGAGGTAATTTTCTTAGGTTATCATGACGAGATTGAACTTCAATATCGAATGCTACAGTTAAAAAATAACTACTGAAGAAGACCAGATAGATAATATCTATGTATTATAACATTATAATATAATAGTTTACAGTCCTTGGTGGGGAAAGGGGGGCCACAGATGGGTGCGGTCTGATAGTAGGTCCCATGGCTTTAGAGCTGTTGAAGCTACGCAGTGAGGCCAGACAACCACCCTCAAGGTGCATTTAAATAGCACATTATGACTCGACTTGATAATCTCTATAGCGGAGCCTGAAAGGCTCTGTGGTAGGCGTCAAAGTGCACCGTCTGGAAATAGAACATGTCCCAGCCGCCGCCCATGACACATCTGACAATGCACCAACGACGATCTGGTGTCAGATGCCAGGAACAGTCAAGTTTGCTTTGAAGTCCAGGGAGCCCCAGGGTCTAGGTGCTCAGGATGCGATTCAGTAAGAAATTTAAGAAATTTGCTCCCGTGGAAAATCCCTGGCCAGTAAATTTGAGCCACGATTCTGTTGCAACGGACGCCTCAGTCCCTGTTTTCTTCTTCTGAAAACATGAGTCTTTGCATTAGAGGTGTGACCAAATTAGAACAATCACATGCTTGCGGAGATGGCCCACTCCGGATATGAACATGCCACATTTGGAACGTAACAGTTGATCGACAAGATCGTCGCCCCTCGATTTCTTCTTGACTCCCCACTGTCTGAACAGCTGGCCGGGAACTTTGATGTACGGGTATTGTGGTAACCTCATCCGTCCCGCTGGCGAGGGTAACCATAGACCACACGGCTATAGCTTCTACCCCTTCTTTGACTCAGACTCATTGACAACAATCAGAGTCTGCACCTGTGCTGAATATTGCCGAGGCTACCAATACTAGGAAGAATTTCGGTGTGATATCCACAATGATTATGACTGACTACCTTTTGTGCGATACGATGGGTATGATTAACGCCAAGACAGCAAGCAAATAGTAGTTGTTATGAGGCTGGACCTTTCCGAGTGGCTGCCCCTTCAAGGCTCTTAGTGGTGTCAGTCTCCTTTTGGTTTCCATGAGACATTGCTTTTGGCAGAGATGGGCCGGTCCGTGTCTCTCTTGCTTTTTGTGCAGAGCGCCGTTGAGACATCCAAGTATATTGTTTGAAATGACTTCAGTGGTTCTGAGCAATCATCTCGACAAGGACTGCAAACATCCAAGAACAAACGCATAGAGGCAAACTGTCCGTATTTATCAGCCGCAGCATCTTCGTCAGTCTTGCCCATGACAGCAGTCGACAAGTTCCAGCTCGTTATCTCACTGCACAAGTCTAGTTCAGAACTTCTTATCAATGTATGCCACAGGCAATTTTTCAGCACTTCCGACGAGATGCGAATTCGGAACACTTTACTTTCAGAACCGGAAACTATTGTCCGGGAAATGAGCTTATGCTGGGCTATCTGCAGTCAAGATCAGGCAGGCTAAGAACGAAATGAACAAACACACTGCGATATTCCACGCATCTTCTTGTACTTATGCGTTGTAGTAACACGCAAAAACTGGGCCTTGATCCTTAGGCTTAGCAGGAACATCCCCGGTGACAGCGACACCGATTTCTCCCTCGGGCTGCCCAGCCTCTTTGGTCGCATTTTGTACGATGAATTTCGCCATCCTTGCCTCGAGTTCTTTTGCTTGCTTCTGTGCAAAATATTGGACCGAGTCGTAATCCTCTGTCTCCTCTTCATCAAGCTTGCCGGAGTCCATATCGCTTCTCCGGTGCTTGGCAAACCTAAGCGGCGTCGAGGTGGCTTTCATCTTGCGCACGAAGGCCGCTCGCCGGCTGTGGTATCTCTCTGCCCTGGGGCTCCAGAAATCCCGCGACATCTCGCCGAGCTCCATTGCTCTTGCGCGGTTCAGACCTTGAGGGGTGATGTCCGCATTGCTCTTCCAGGCGCCAGGTGCATATCGCGGCCCGCTGGAGGTCCCGTTGAGACTGGCAACGCTGGTCTTCTTTTTCAGGCTTGGTGTGCTGCTCCTGCTCTTGAGGATATTCCTGCTGGTACTCCTGGAGCTCGGGCTGGTATTAGGGCTGCCATTGGGAGTAGACGGAGCGGACGAGCGGACGACAGCCTTGACGTGGTTTCTGATCCTGGTGTCGAGTAGTGTGCCATAACCGGGAAGAACGTGATCCACGAGACCAATAGATCGCGCGTCATATGCAGAAATTGGCGTCATGTCTCTCAGAATTCGCTTACCGCCAGTCGGTCCGCAGCGTCCGTAATAGCTGATGCTGTGGTACTCGGACCCATACAGACCCAAGGCTCTATATGCAGGGTTCAAGACGACATCCGCACCAGCCACGACAGAATCACATGCTGCAGCGAGAGCGACACCGCCGGCGGCAGCGTTGCCACGAATTCCGGCGATGGTGAGAATATTGCGGGAAGGGAATTCATGCAGAAGGTGGTATACTACGTCATTGATGCGGTTGATGTTGTCCCAGGACTCCATCGCCGGGTCGGCCGCAGACTCGATGACGTTCAAGTGTATGCCATTGCTGAAATAACCATTGCCGCCCATCATGACGAGCGCAGACAATGGATTTTGGGAAGTGTGAGTGCTGAGGACGTAATCCAAGGCCTCGACGAGCTTGTTGCATTGGGCAGTCGACATGGCACCGTTGTAGAAGTCTGAGTAGACATAGGCCACGCGCGATGAGCTAGTCTCGTCGACAGTCGCGAAGTCGACCCAGACTTCCTGAAAGGTGCCATGTGGGCACTTAGACCAGCCTTGGGTGGCATTTGGGCGGGAAAGCTTGGCGACAGCATCGTCTGTGAGGAGTCCAAGCTGGCGCAGGCCAAATACCGCTGGGACCTTGGGCCAGAGCTTGGGATCTGTCTTCTTCTTGATACGTCGAACGTGTGTGATCCAGATGCCATGCTGATCTGCCGTCTTTATGCAGACCGCTTCGTCGCGGACAGCGATGATAGCACCAGGAAGGGCATTGACAGCTGAGATCCATGGCCCATCGTCGACGATACCGCCGTAGATGTACATTCCTTGACCCAAGACGGCGCTCTGGCAGCCGGGTTGCGAATCAGCGCACCGGATCCTTCTCGAGATCTCCTTGGCGCTGTGGGACTTGATGTCGAAGTCTCGCTGGCCAGCTTTAAGGAGTGGGCGGTGGTGTGTGACGCCGCCGAGGAACGGTTTCTGGAGTCCAACGGACAGTTCCTTGTATTGGGGCTTTGCCTTCAGACCGGGATGTATGGCACGGTAAACTGGGCTTGGACAGTTACTGGAACCGGGTGTGAGTGGTGGTGTGATGGGCGCCGAGGTGTAAGCGGTCGCATTGATTCTATCCACAGCGGCGAGACATGCAGAAACGGCTGCACGTGTGACAGGTCCACGGTACAGACCAGACTTGGTAAGGCCCGGTTCGTCGATGTTGACCGGGAACTGCTCATATGCCCAGACCGGACCAGCGTCGAATTCGGCCTCAGCCTGCAGGACAGTGAGTCCCCAGTATGGCCGGCCCTTTTCGCTCAGAGTGTCTCTCTGGAGCAGCTTTGCAGGGTCGGACTCAGAACCATCGTCGCCCATGAGTACCCAGTCGAGGGAAGACGGGCCGGCGTCGCCTGGAGGCCCAGGGTGGACGATGAGGGTCATATACTCCTCATATATATCCGTTGGGACGCGGGAGGTCAGGAAGGGACATATGATGAGGTCTGGTTTGGACAGGCGGACGGCTTCCCGCATGCCTTCGTCGGAGAGGGCATACTCGATAGTGACGGCGTGGAGTTGAGAGAGGGCAAGGTAGAGCCTCTGAGAGAGGGAGTTGTGCGCTGTGCAGATGAAGAGGATCTTCATCTTGGCCGTCTAACCCGTACAGGTACAGTGCAGTGGGTTGATATTGATGTTGTACACCGGGATGAGTACCGAGAAGCAACGGACAGCCAGACTGGATAGAGAGTAGGGAAATCCAGGAAGGTTGTCTCATATACTGCTGCAGTGCTGTAGGCAGGGTCGCACGGCCGAGGGGGGCAGCATGTATAAATCTGCTCCGTGGAGTCTGGGTGCCTGCGAGTGCGTGAGTCGCGACTCGCAAGCGACGAGAAACCTCATCGAACAGCAGTCACCCAACGCAACATGACCGGAACCTTGACCCCTGTGCGGCCCCTGGGCCCCCTCCCTCTTCGCCTGCGGGTCAGTACTTGCATCCGCGAGAGCCAGGAAACGGCGCGAAGGGGAAATGTGTGGTTCGTGGACGGGCCGTCTGTTCATGTGAGCGTCTGTGCAGACGGCGAAGCCTAATCAACCTTTAGTAAGTTACTACTCTCCCGAGCTCGCATGAGATCCGACATCAATGTTGGATCGCAGACGGCACATACCGGACCCAGAGTTGACAGATGCTCAGCTCCTCGCCGGGCCTGAGCGCAGCAGCCAACCGTGACCTGTATCACAGACGCCATCGTGCAGCATGCGAATCCATCCAGATTCCATGAGGGTGTCGTGCTACCACTAGGCACAGTTGAGGTCGTACAGTATGAGGCAACAGTTTTGGCCGCAGTAAAGATGAGTGCGCAAGAGTTGGGCACTTTTGGACCGGCTTGCAGCAAGCCCACCGGAAGTGTCTGGGGGATCTTCGGATCGTCGAAATCAAGGGGTTGCTCGGCTGCTCTATTACCCAGAAGGGCTTAGGTTGGCGCTTACTATCGCTAAGTGTCCGTGATTTAGCATTTTGAGTGTAGAGCTATCTTGCTTGCCACTTTGCCCACACACGCGCAAACATCCCGGGCTTCCGACCTGCATCTTCGTCCCTCATCCAGTTCTGCCCAGCTCTGCCAGCTCTGCCAGCCAACTCGCAGGCCGCGCTCGGGGCGCTTATACGAATGGAGAACCAACAGCTGCAAGTCGCTTCCGCACGAGGCCAATCAAGGCTTTTCCCGGCACCGCTTGAGTCTTTCCATGTCCGGTATCTCTTGTCTGCGTCAGCCTAACGGGGCCTCCCCGCCCTTGAGTGGACTTGTAAGTGGATCTATGCACTAAGATGTGGTGAAGAATCCCGCTCTCCCACGTTCTCCATCAACGATCTAGGCGCACCTCAGCCTCATCAATGGGTCCTCTTCAACGACGTCGACTCATGTACATTCGTACTACGTAAATTGGATATTGGACAGAGGCATTATATGCCAGGACCCTGGCGATAACTCGGGAAGTTGGGCCAATACTTGACCGTTGATTCCCAGGGGATCCTCGCCAAGGTCGCAAGGTTCTTGGTTCCCACATGTGCAGAGAGGAGCGAGATGGGGAAAAAAACAGCGGGAAGGCAGCAATGGACGTTGTCCGTCCGGTTCCAGCTCATCGCCCACCAGATTCACTCTAGACTTCTCACGGACACTTGACTAGTGACCAAAGGAGCGCTCATAAGACGAACGATTGCTAGTTATGGTGTTTGGCCCAAAGGACCGGGAGTCTCTGTGCGCACAGTCCGTTATCTGCTCGATGAGCGCTAGCATTCCGTCTCTGGTCGGTAACCCCAGAAGCTCGGAAATGCTTTCCATCCATGAGCATTCTCCAGGAACCACATCTTCGGGTATGCCATGTGGGAGGCTGGGAGAGGGGATGTCTGAGACTTCCTTGATAACAGGCCTTCTGACTCGGGCGAGTCAGTGCGTTGCAAGTCAATCTGGCCTGGAGACCCAGGACTGCGGGCACACGTTGGAGTCCGTTACGCTCTCGAGCCTAGACAGAGACATTATCTTGAGCCCACTGCCGTGCATACAGAACACGTGTAGCTTTATTTCTGCGCAAACCTTGTTAGAATCCATTCCTGATGACGGTCCATGATTCTTTATCAGGGTCATTATCCGAAATCTCGCATCAATTGATACCTATGTAACCCTGTTGCGTGATTAAACAATTGCACACCTGCCCTTTTCCAATGCACATGCCCGCCTTACTTTGCACAAGGTAAGGCATTGCGTACTGCATAATAGCAATCCCGGTAACAACGAAGCTTGATCACAGGGGCACAAATGGCAATCAATTGAGCGTAGCGGTACGATCGGTCACTGCTACGCGGTAGGTGATATTAAGTGCCAACCATCATCGGATGGTCACGCGAATGATACTTCGACCCGGGTTGTACAACGCACAGATGCTGCAAGTTTGTCTATCAGGGGCCGCCCTCTCACCGTCTGTGCATCACACAAAATCGTGTCCTAACTTTGTTCGGATGGACTGTGACAATTGCGCGGATCTGCTCAAATAGATCGAAATGTCACGCACCATCATAACTACGTCGTACACGTCGCACGCGAGCCGCGGCAAGCTCGCTGCTGAAATTTCTCAGCGATTAAGTTTCCAGCTCGCCACTGTCAAGATTTGCGTATTCGCCAGTTCCGAGTGCTAGCTTCACCTAGAAAACTAAGTATCTCGGCAAATCAACTCTGACAAATTTGAGTGGAAGGTCTAGCCAACAATTGAAGACAACAGGTTACATACAGTTCGGGGTCTAAGGCCAATGATATTCGTAAAGGCAACCAGTAAAGTTACCAGTCTGATACTCCCATATGCCGTTCACACGCCCACATAGACTTTGCCACCCTGGATTGAGCGGTGAGAAGACATCCCAGCAGTTTGGCACTTAATTTGTACACAAAACGCGCTACAGTTCTTGCTACTTGATTCTGGTGTATATTATTGGTTATGTACGCGGAGGATTGTGCATGAGTTGGCTTTAGGTTATGACGGCAACCACGAACCCCCCTTTAGGACCTCAATATCCACTAATCTGTCGCCATGTCCTGCTGCAATAGCATGGAACTATAGGCAGCCCAATTTGAATTCTTGTCCGCTCTTCACTTCATGTTCCGGAGCAAGTACTTGACACCCTCATACGACTCTTGGCCGGTTGGAAGGATCTGGCTTGCTGGCAGGATGAAACCGTTGCGGCCAGTATCACGGAGTTCCACTGTGAAGACATAGTCTGCGCCAACAACGTCGTTGACATAGTCTACACTCGATCCAGTGGCGGGGTAAATGGTCGTGCAGATGGGGCCATAGGTGTACTGCGTGCCGAAAAGCGAAGCTATCGCCTTGGAAGCACCGCCGGCAAGAGACTGCAGCTCAGCGTTATTGGCGGCGACTGCGGAACAAGAGTACCCGTACGGCGTCATGAACAGCTGGGAGTAGGAGTGCCAGTCGATGTAGAGCTTGACACCCTGTTGGGCCTTGATCGCGGCGATCTTGTCCCTGAGCGACTTGTTCTCCGGGGCATCGCCAGCAGCAAGACCCTTGAAGTCTTCAGCGCAGGGGTTCGTCGAGGCACCACCGGCGACGTTCCACTGGTATGGCCAGTTGCGGTTGATGTCATGGCCAAGACAGGTGCTCCCTGAGGTCGACTGTCTGTTCTTGCGCCACAGGCGGTCTGTCTGCGTGTAGATGAAGCCTAGTCCACATCAGCAAACAATTCCCCGGCGGTAGGTACTGCTGGGTATTTGTTTGAAGACTTACCATCTGGGTTGACAACCGGGAAGAGGTAGAAGTCGTACTTGTCGACAAAAGACTTCGTCTCGGTGTCGGAAGCGTAGTTGCTCAGAAGGATATTGGCAAAGTACTCAACAGTCTTTAGACAGTGGTTAGATCCTTGATATCAAGATATTGAGAGGGAAAAAGGCTGACTTACCAGAGTGGTGATCCACTCTCGAGCGTGGACAGTGCCGTGGAATATGATAGCGGGCTTCGTATTCTTGCCTGCGCTGCCATAGATGTGGATGCCGGTGATGGTGTTACCCTGGAGCGAGTTTCCAGACGTGACAATCTCCGAGTTGCTGGGGTATTGCGCCTGGAGACCACTAAGGAACGACAGGTGGTCCGCATACGTGTGGTAGGCCGTGAACCAGGTCGAGTTAATCGCCGCCGCGGCTCTGTCCACCAGTACGTCGAGCGCAGGCTCTTGCTCAGCCGCAATGGAAGCCCCGAGGTCCTCGTGCATCACCTCGATGCCTTCGATGCCGGCAACCTCCTCATTGAACGCCTGCAACTTATCAGGGGACACAACAATGTCGGAAAAGGCTCCGGCCTTGTTAGGGGCCTTCCAAGTGTCCAGACCCAGCTTGTCCACGATCTCGGTGACCTTGGATGCATCGAGGCCGACGGGTACGCGGAAGACCTGGTACCCATCGTACGAGACCTTTCGAGGTTGGATGTAGGGACTGGCAACTGCCAGACCCAGGGTCGAGAGAAGCAGCCCAAGGTACTTCATCTTGAATCCAAATATCTTCAGAGCTCGGCGGCAAAATGTCCCAGTTGCTAGTCCCACTTGCTATGGGGTGCTGAATGGCTTTGAAGGTGCAACTGGTCGGAACAGCGAGCCACACACCCAGTCGGAGAGATGTCGTTGGGACAAGCTTTATGTATAAGATGGACTTAAAGGGGGGTGGGCGGGCTGTTTATAGATATATTGCAAGTGTGTGTGCCACTGCGGGGAGGGATTAGATGTGGTTGTTCGTGAACAATGTCAAGCGAGCCCGGGTTCGCCTCTGTGTTCGGTACGCTGCCATACTGAACTTTAATTTTATGGTTAAGCTCGGAATACGACCTTCCTCTTCAGGCCTTGGCCACTGGCCTTGGGACGTTGCGACCATCCCAATGTCATCTAGACTGACTGCCTGGGCACAACATTTGCCAGGGATCTGCTAAGGTACTGGATGCAGTCCAAGGCTTGATAGGGCACAGTCTTGCCAGGCCAAGCCCTCGACTTGACGGGATCAAATTGCATATTGTTCGATTAATGTTTCCCACCATGATTTCTACTTTCCTCCAAGCTCTTTTACCCCTCAGTGTGTCTCTTCATGAGCCTATATCTTTATTAATGCGCCCTCTGTTTACGGAGATTACAGCCAGGGCTGGGCTTGGGGTAGCGCTTGCCAAGAGGAAACAAGTGCACTGACCGGCAGAAGGTTCGGCACACGATGTGACCCCCAGCTAGGGACCTGCCGAAAGGATGAATGCCAAGCTTATGGACGGGGTAAGCAGCTGTTTGTGATAAGAAGGTTAGGATCGTTCCATGGACGTTCTGTCAGCTGCCGGGGGTGGTGTGTTCATTAGTGATATCATGATCGCTCCGCACGCTTGATTCTCAAAGCCAATGGGATAGTGACACTGAAGACTCGACCTGCCGGTTCGGGCTTGATAATAGGGTCCAGATGACACTGTCGCACCAAGCACGACATGTGTTCAAAAACCTGTCTCCCAGCTCTCCCAGCCATAGATAATACCTAGGAAGGAAGGCCACAAACTGCGATGACATGGTGAGGAGGAACAAAATGGAACCTTCCACTAAGCCATGGCGGAAGCAAGTCTGCGAATGACTTTCCTTCATTTACATCACCGTCGTGCCTGGACTACGTACTCAAAGCGGAAGATCCGAAATGGCTGGGCAGTTCGATCCTAGGATGGCTGGGATAAGCGAACAAAAGTGTGGACGTGAGGCCAACACGGCACCACGCTTGTTCGACTGAACCAATTTAGGATGCTAGTTGATTGCTGGCTAGTTTCTCTCTACAAAGAAGTTGTCAAATTCTGTATATGCTTCAATCAAGCGCCTGCCCCTTTATTAGTAGTATCATAGCTAATCATGGTCTAGTGACTTTGTCGCTAGAGTCATTGCACATGTGGCCCTCCTCTTGCATTAATCCTTCTTCAAGAGGCAACGGGTAATTTAATCGCTGCGCTAAGGGCTCATGAGCCTTTATTAAACATTGATTTGTAGACAGACGTGCAGCTTCTCGTTATCCTGAGATGTAAAGCACTGTGGATTATATAGTAAGTAGTAGAGTATAAATAAAAGCGTTGTTATTCTAGCTAAGTTTGCTTTAATAAAAGGCAAGCCCTTAAAGTATAATTTATAAGTGCTCTAGCAGGTATATACTTTTTTATAATAGCTTTTAGCAGCTTATATATACACTAAATTTATAATATACCCTTTAAATATTATTAAGCTTTTACTTAAAAATAATTTAAAACTAATTATTATAAATATAACTAGTTAAAAAGAATTTTAATAAAAAAAATATTAATTTAATAAAATATAATACTTTTTTTTAAAAAAGCATTTAATAATTATAATAGGATATTTAATAATAATAATTTTAAAGCACTAATAAGCTTAATAATAATATATACTAATTACTATTTTAAATATAAAAATAATTTTTTAAAATATATACTTTAATTTTTAATTTCTTTTATTTATAACTATTAACTATATTAATAGCAACCTTTTTTTTATTATTTATTTTATAATATATAATACTCTTTTACTTTTATTTATAAAAACTTTATATATAGCTATTTAAATTATAACTTTTATAAATAATTAATATATTTTAAATTAATACTTTTATAAAATAATTTTTTTAAGTTATTATTTATATATTTATTAAAAAACTTTTTTATTAATTCTTTTTTATTATAAACTATATTAATAAAAACTATAAATAACTAGCTTATTATATATTAAAAATTATTAAATAATATTATCACGAATATAATAGAAATAGAACTAAGGGAGCATTATTAGTCCCCTGAAGGCGCAGATAAACCCTATAGGCTAGTAGGGCAAGCCTAGAAGGATTCGCTATGTGACAGAAGCAGGTTATATAATGGAGCGAAAGGATAACTAAGATAATTAAAGCAATGCTTTACTTTAAATAATCTAAATAATTTAACGCTTTTGCTACTTTAGGTAAGCAATGCTTTAAGTAAACTGTTAAGAGCGATGCTCCCGTTGCTTTAGCTGAAGAGATGGACTATATAGATTATGCTTATTATTAGTAAATAGTATTAGCTTAGGATAGCTTTTTAGTAGTTAATTTAAGTATTTACTTAGAATAGCTGTAAAGCTTTTGATCTATTATTGTTATATATTGCTTAAAATATTACTATTTTAAATATTTTTTGAATATAAACCTGCTTATTAAGTTTATTAGCTAGGAATTAGCTATAATTATTATATTTTAACTGTTTTTGTTTAGATGTTTTATATGGACCCTAAGCAATAACTTATACAGTTATTACTTTTATTTTAATATATTTTCTAGCTGTATTTAGAAAAACTTTTAGTAAAAGCTAAATAATAATAACTTTAAACTTTTATAGGCCTAGTATTTTAAAATAGTTAAGGAGATTAAGAAACTTTGTGCTTATATTTAGGGATAGGCTAGCTAGAATAATAAAGTAAAAAAACTTAAGGCTAAGGTTAAGATACTTTAAAGCGCTGCTAATATTATTAATACCCTAGTTAAATTTAAAGAATTTATTAAGCTTGCTAACCCAACCCCCTATAATGGTTCCTTGGGATAGTTATAGGCTTATTTTATTTAGGTTAGGGCTTATTAGCGCTTTTATAGCCTTAATAATTAGTTTAATAAAGAATGAGTTATATATGCGGCCTTTTTTTTGAAAGAATGGGCCCTAATATAGTTTAAACCTTACCTTATGGACTTCTTTAAAAAAGATGAGTTTGAATAATGTAAGTAAGAAATTTAGGATATTTTTAGCAACTTTAAGAACTATGAGCTTACCTTTAGGTTACTTTTTTAGGACTTGGATAAGGAATGGTAAGTAGAAAGGGAACTTATGAGACTATGCTAGAAAGGATTTGCTATAACTTATACTGCAGAGTTTCGCTAAATCTATATTAGAGTCAACTATACTGATACTATGAAGATCTTTATGTTTTATAACAGGTTGAAAGATAAAGTAAAAAACGAACTATTTAAATTAAATTAACTGGATAATTTTATTTAATATATGGAATTGGCTATTTAAATTAATAATTAAATTTATAAGCGTAAACTTAAGAAGAAAGGGCAGAACCTAATATATTCCTTCTGCTAGTAAAATAAGCTAAGCTTTAGAAAACGGTATTAGCTATAAACAATAGCTAGCAGGTAGTATTCAGGCCTAATAGAACTTAATGCTGCTTAAAAAAAACCTAAAAAGGACGTTAAATGCTATAACTATAGTAAGAAAGGATACTTTATACAAGATTGCTAAAGTAAGAAGAAGGATAATTAGAAACTAGTACTAGAGTAATAATAGGCTAACCTAGCTATTAAAGAACCTGTGGAAAACTATATATTTATAAGCTGGATGGTGTGCTATAATGATAACTGTAATATGCACTTTTTGAGTAAAGAAGCGTTAGGATGGTTTTTAAAGGCGCTTAAAGGCTAAAAGACTTTTATAGTAGTAAAATAAAAGCTACTTATAATTATAGTTAGTATTAATTAGGTAGCACTTTTAGATTTAAAGGACTGGAACCCTTATAAGTAGATAGGTAAGGTACCCTTTATAGTACTTAATACTAGTATTACCTGAATTGTAATCTTAGGATAGGATAGGAGTATAGTAATATTAGTAGTTTGTAAAGGATTCCTTATGTTATTATTAGCGCGTTTTCCTAATAATAACCCTTGAATATACTATTAGTACTTAAACTATAAGGAAATCTTATAGGCTTTGTATATTTTTGATAAGTATGGGATATACTATATAAGTAAAATTAAGGAGGATTTCTTTCCTAAACAGCTAAGTATGATAGAGATGGTAAGGCTTTATGAGTAGAAGGAACTATAATACTAGAGCATTTAATAATACTCCCTGGGCTAAAGATATATAATCCTTAAACTTTAAATAGATTACCCTTTATATTGCCTATAGAACTCTAAATTATAGAGGCATTATTTGTAAACTAATTATTAGATATACTTTAAACTAAAATTCTAGGACTGGTACTAATGCTACTAACCTAATATAGTTTTACTACTTAATAAAAAAGATATAATGCTAAAAGACTTTACTATTGCAATATAAGCGCTAAGGGTAGTAAAAGGGCTTATATAAAAAGCTATTTAATAGATTAAAAAGATCCTAGTAGAAAACTAGATAATAAAAAACGACTAAGGCTGAATTTAAATGAGCCTTAACTGGCCTTGACTAATACAAAAAGGTCTTTCTGCACAACAGATATTAGAAAATATAAGCATATAAAAATTATACTGCAGATTAGATAACAACCCCTTATAGTACTCCTAAATAGTAGAGTATAAGGAAACTTTATATTATTAGCAATAGTAAACTAATATAAAATACTATAGTAATAGAAAATAGAACCTTATATACTTAGTACTATTAATAGATAAAAGGTATTCTATAAAAACAGGATTATTAATATAAAAACTAATTATCTACTAGTTATCTTTAACAACTATAAGGAAATTATCTAGTTTAATATTATAAATACAGTAAAATACAAAATTATACTAGGGATTCTATAGCTTAGGAAGAGCAACCTTTAAATCGATTGGACTACTAGCTAGATTTATTAGAACTAACTAATAAATAGGAAAGTTAAAGATAAGGGAATAAATTTAGTCTTTAAGGATAGCTGCAATGCTAGCGCTTATACAGATTCACATAGTAAACCTTTCTAGGAATAAGAGAAAGACTTAGTTATTAAAGCAGGAACAGCTAACCCCTTAAACAAGTTAAATAAATAGTAGTAGCACCTTAGTCCGTTATAAATTAAAGGAAAAATAAAGCAGCTAGCTTAAGTAGTATAGTAGCGGATATAGGAAATCCAGATAATACTTGAATAAATATACTACTTATTAGAAATCCTAAGGATTACAGTTATATCCCTAAAAGGAACTTTATAATAAATATAAAAACAACAATATCTAGCGCATTATAAGATAGTATAGCTGCTATTTA